CCTATTAAACACAAGGCTGTGATGTTCCTACATCCGTTGGAAATGCAGTTTATTTAGCAATTTAATTCAGGTATCGCGAGGCGTTGAGAAAAGTGGGGGTCTAAAAAAGTGGGGATGGCTAAAACCGAATAAAAAGTGACTTGACTGGTGATTCATTGGAAATTCTTTTTGCATTTTGGAACAAGGTGAGGGGGGCTTTAGCCAGCCCCCTTCTCCTCGGTGCCTGTAATCTAATTCATTTTTTTCCGAGTTCGCATTGAAATTTAATCAATTCGCTTTACAGCTACAATAGTAAATCAATCGCAACAATCTTGTTAATAACTACCATTGCTGAAATAAGTTCTTTTTATGTTTTTTGTTTAATTATCCACAGGATGCATATTCCAGAGTCAGGTATACACTTTCTCTATTCTCATCAGAAGGTGCCGTAGAGCCTTGGAATGTTAATATGCCTGAAAGAAAGCGTGGTGCAACAATTATCATTTCAGTTTTATAGTATAAACTCATCACAAAAGCTTTCTTGTGAATGATTATGATTGGAGAGGCTGTTATAATAAACACTTTGATACAATTTAGTAATGTAGAAACATATGTTTCAGAAAGGCCAGAGAAACAATGTTCCGGGTTTTTACTCACAGAAAAAATGACGTCTATGACAGCGTGTGGACATACAAACCATAATCTCGCTTATTTACTGTCGGTATAATCAACCATTAGTAATGAAGTACCCGTTTTTAAAAACTAAATTTCTATACACAATTCTTAGATATCAGTGTATCTCCAAACTCCAAACATAGAGTAAGTAAAAAGATTATATTCCTCATAAAGAAAGCAAATAAAATATTATGATCTGATTCCTCTAAACTCCACATAGCAAATTTGTTTCTTACTATCACAATACAACTTGCTTTCTTATATATCTAGAAAACTCTCTTACATAGCTGTTTTATTTCTCTTTTTCTTGGACGATTGTTGTTGCGTTGTAATTTTACATTCCCTAAACTATAGTTGTGTTTTTTGTTACTAGAATTATGAACTGAGATTAAGGGCCATCTCGACATGGATTTCTTTTAAAGGAAAACATATTTTCGTAAAGAAGAAAAAAATTAGCATAGATTTTGACCTTCTTCTCAAGGAGATTTTAAGACCAATTTAAGGCTCAAGATCACAATTATTGATAAAAATGGTGGCTCAGGAAAATGTACAACCTTTTAAAAAAACGTGTTGAATACAAACGGGGTTTCACTTACAAAGAAGCAATGAATAGAAAATGGTTGTGTCTTGAATCTCTTAAGAAGCATATAGAGAGGATACATCTCAGCAACATAAGTCAATTAGAAAATAAATTTAAATAATAGGTAACATTAGCATAGGGAATCAGCACCTTTATTCATAAATCAAAATATAAAAGCTGTCGAAGAAAAACAGCGAAACAAGCGGCCTAGAGTACATAAAAGTGACCAAAGTTGCTCCAGCGTTAGGACAAAGCACTGGAATGAAGGCATGACTTATTTCTACAAGAGCAGAGACCATTCGCTTAAGGCAAAATGGAACAGCTTCCTTGAGAAGGTAAGGAGTGAACGGGTAATTAACACTGTCGCTGAAACACAGAAAAGGAATATTCCGTGGCTGAAGTAGAAGAGTAGAAAATGGGCTTTCTTTCTCTAGGAATCGAAACAGTCAATATTATTTAACGTTCTTTACAAAAAAAATCTAGAATGATTCCCTGAGAATGGCCTAGGCTTTACGCATCTTTTCAAATTATACGCTTGATAAATTATGCAGCGATTGAGAATGGAACAGAGAAAAGATGTTTTGAACAGATTTGCTGAAAAAAATAATTTTTTCTCATCTGATAGAGCTCCGCCAAAACCACAGAGTGCAACAGTATTATGAAAATGCAGCAATGATCCTTCAATGATATTCATTGAATTTAATAATTACCTATAAAGAAAATTGACAAAGTCAATACCTGAGAAACCTTTCCAATTAAGATCTAATATGAAGGTTAATTAAGAGCCTGTTTATTATGGAGAAAATCATCCCACCCTCAGGCGGCGAGGGGCGGGGGAGGCGGGGGAGGAGGAGGCGGGGGAGGAGGAGGCGGGGGAGGAGGAGGCGGGGGAGGAGGAGTCTCCGTCCGAGCCTGATCTCAGGCCAGTGGTAATCAATCCAGATGACAAAATTTTGTAGTGTAAGAATATATGCTTCAGGGAAGCAAGGAAAACAAGCTTCAGGGCTTTAACTCTCAGAAAAAAGCATGTGTCAACTTTTGGTCATACAAATAATAATTTAGCACTTGTTTACTAGTATAATCAATCCCTAGTAAAGAATTGGCTGCCTTTAGTAACAAAATATACACATCCATTCTAAGATTTAGTTATCTGCAAAGACTTCTTTCGAAGAAGAAATGTAGGAGAAAGGGGTGGTCAATTACAGAAAACAAATAGTTATATAGATTGAAGATGAGTATGTATATAGAAAAATTCTGTTAAGTTACTGTTTTAATTTCATGTAGACCAATTGTTAAAATGGCAAATTTTAATTAAAGGCAATTTCGTCTTAGATATCTTTGTCTTAGGTATCTTTTCATGGAAGAACATTACTTTTGAAATGAAGAAAGACATTAGCAAAGATTTGAACATTCTTCTAAAGAAGAATTTTAGATAAATTTTAGGCTCAGAATCACAATTTCTTATGAATATTGTGATCCAGAAAAAAATACGGTTTTCATATCAAAAGTGTGTACTCAGAGCAAAAAGCGTAAAAATTCCGTGACAGGGAGAGTGTTGAATGAAAACATTGGTTTTATCAAGGAAGAAGCGATAAATAGGAAGTGGTTGAGCTTATATCTGCTAATAACCATATAGAGATGGTAAAATTTAGAAACCTTAGTCAATTACAGGACAAGTTTAATCAACGCCAATCACTATCCATTCATAGATCAATACACTCATTTTTTTTATAAGAAACTGGCTATAAGAAACGAGTACTGGACAGTCAGAAAAAATTAAGAAACTTCAGTACTCGAAGCAAAAAAAATAAGAAACTATTAAATCGTGATAAAACTAAGAACAACGAAATTTTGTAAAATCCAAGAACATTATTGCCCTGTTGGCCTAGAACTCAAGACACGAGTGATAAAAATATACTTCCCACATCTAAATACAGCATCGGAACGGAAGCGAATCTCTTGACGTGATAAAGGTTACGAACATTTCATAACATCATTCATGACATCATAATTAAGAAACTCTTAAGAAACAATGAGTTTTGAAGTTTCCAGAACATTAAGAAAATGGAGTACTCACTATCGACCTTTGTTTCTAATAAAAAAAATGAGTGTATCTAAAAGCTGTTGGAAGAAAACATCGATAAAGCGGCCTTGTGCACAGGAAATTGTTTATCTTTCCTCTAGACAATACTAGGCCTGGGCATGAAAACCCTCCTCCGAAAAGAAAAATTTATCAGGGTATAGGCATGGCACCCTCATTTCCTTTATGATTGACCTTCCTAAAGGTCGTTGATTTTGTGATCACCATATTTTCTTGGCTCTGGAAGGCAGTTAAGCAAAGCTGTTGGGTTAATGTTGATCCAGCAAAAGTAAAAAGCAATGAAATGCAGGCAAAGCTTATACGAGCAAGCTCAGAGACCACCAGTTTTTAGCCGACAGAATAGCACATCGTCCTTGTAAAGGTAGAGTTAACATAACAATAAAGAAAGACCTAATGTAACAAGGAATATTTTATGGTTTAAAGACAACAGTAAAATTGCATTTCTTCTGAGAGTGGAAATAATAAACATTTTTCAATGTTCTTTACAAGAAATCAAGGAGCTCCGATTCCTTGAGAGTGGCCTTGGCGTTTTGCATCTTGTCAGATTATTTGTTAGATCAATTTTTCAGCAATTTGAAATGGAGTAGGGAAAAGATTTTTCGAATAAATTTGCTGAACAAAATAATTTCTTCTCATTTGATACAAGCTTGACCTCTGCAAAAGCATTGTGGAAATGCGGCAATGGTCTTTCAAGCAAAGATATTGAATTTACTGATTATTTAAGAAGCAATAAACGAAATTAATATTTGTGAACATTCTCTCAATAAATATAAAATACGAACGTTAATTAAAGCAAAGGAAATAAGCCTAGCAAGCAGGCAAGCAAATTTTTTAATTACAAGATTTTAAATAACGCCGAAAAGCTAATTAAACGCTGAAGTTATTATTTATTGTTTAAAATGTTTATGCCTTTTATTTGATAAATAATTCAATTGAAAAGCATAGATGTCGTGCAATTTGAACTTTATGGTCAATACCTCTGAAAAACGTCCATCATTGTTTGCCTGTTCTTTTAATTTATGCGTCCAATTGCACTATCTGCCTAGAGAGAAATCAAAGCTGGCATTCTTGGAAACCTCTCAAAGTCATAGTTTGAGAATGCACAGCAAGTTCAGGATTGCATGAGAAAAGATAAGAGAATGGCATGAACTTTCTTTTCTAAAGAAATCAGAGCATTGACATTTCAGGCAAATTCATAAGTAGAAAGTACAGAAAATCGGTATTATCTACGGATATGGAGGTGGATATTTTAATACTTCTGTTCTTTCGATTTAATAATTTAGTAAACCCTATAATATACGTAATGCTGAATCCAAAAGCAAGGACAACATTGATCAATATTTGTAGGTCAGCAAATCGAAAGTCTTTGCATCTTCACTCGGGAGACAGTGGGGTCAGGAATGAAAATCAGTCTGCTTGCACTCAAACAATTGCCAACCGGGCTCAAGAAAACGGAGGTTGTGAGCCTGATTGGGAGAACGATCAGGACAGAGAGAATACTGATAGAAAAGTATAGCCATTGGCAAAGACGCCATGTACCTACATCGGTTTGAAATTTGCTCGATGTTCCGATCCAACCTAATTCACTTTGCCAATAATGGAGCCAACGAGATTGGCAATTGCAAAGTTGGAAGGTAAAAAATGAAGAACAAGAGAATAAACAGCTTGACGAGAAAAAGTTTGCACGAACATCAACAAAGTACAGAAAGGGTAATTATAAAAATATAATACAATACGAAGTTTCCAAAAAATTGCTAAATTAATTTCAATTAATAATGATTGCAGCTAGAAGAACTTAAAAAAGAAGATGGCAAACTGCATCTCCTGGTATTCTCTATTCGCATATATGGCTGTTATTTTATCCCCGTTTTTACAGACGGTGATATTCAACGCTTAAAGCCATGAGCATGAATTAGCATCAGAAAAGTACAACAGGTTTTACTGATAGGGGTTTTCATTATGGAAGTATCACAGATATCCCAAAAGCATGCAACTGCTTATCCACTTCCAATCATTTGCTAGCTCTTTGCCGTAACGGAAAATAGAGTTGCACTACGCACATTGTACTGACATGCCAAACGTTTGGCTCGGATATATAATTTGGAAACAAGTTAACAAGCTCCAAACCACGACCAGGATATTATGTACTGGTATATACATAACAAGAGCAGCGTTTTATACTTCTGTGTACATTCAGAAAATGATGGCTTCTCTTATACATGCAATGGGTACAATGCCCTTTACCTTTTGAATGAAGAATACCCTTGATAATCTTCAAGGTAGCTTCAACTCTGTACGTAGACGAAGGGTGTGCACGGCATTTGACCCCTCAACCAATGTAGAAATTGAAAAATGAATTGTATAATATCCAAAATAACAGTTCAAAGAAGTGTTAAACCAATCCCTAAACTGTCCAGGATTTTCTACATTCTACGACTGGTTAAATACGCATGGATAAAAAATATTTACATTATACGTTGACAGGCCTTGAACAACTGAAATTATTCGGCAGAAATCTCACAGGTGACGTCATTGACAAGGATTAAATCCAGTTCCTGAGTCAGAAGTGTTACACCGTGTAAAATTTGAGTATTCACCGATAGCTTTAAACTTGCGTCTTTTTAACCAGTTGCGTTGGTAGGCAATCTCCGGGCACCTTATCTTTGAACATGGCAGCGTTATTTCGGATCCAAGGATGTCGAAGAACTTCGTCCAGCGGTAATCGATCGGATGGATCATGCTGCAAGAGCTGTATTAAACAAAACACTATCATCAATATCACTATCATTTATTATCAATAAAAATAAACTGTCATTTCTTTACATTTAGAAGAAGAAATTTTTTATAGATATAAAAAAGAAACTTATACAAATGAAGTTGCGTCTGTTCTGAACACAAGAATGTATAGAAGAATTGCATGCTGCATAATTGTAATGGTAAGGCAACTAGAGACTAAAACTAGAGGTGAAGGAAACGTAATTGAGGGAGTTTGGCCGTCATTCGTGTAATTGTTGACATATCAGTTGATTCTTCTTTGGCACTCTAGAATAAAATACTGGCCGGCTTGCTTCGAGCTTTAAACATAAGCTTTCTTCTAAATTCTTTAATAAAAAAAGTAAAAACCAGAATTGAATTTAAAATGATCTTTTGGAGCAGCTCACCTTTTTAATCAAATCCCTAGCAGGCAAAGATACATGTTCTGGAAACTTGTACTTAACCTGGAAATATAACAAACCATACATTCGTTAGACATGAGATAATTTTAAACAACAAGTGTAGTAATAAATGGATACAGCCTTGCCACTTAGATTGTGACACAGGCTGATACCGCTGACCAATATCTTTTAAGAAAACAGAGAACAGAGAAGAGAGTCTTGACGTCATTCAAGTGTTAGAAACCAAAAGAAAGTTAATTTGGGGAACGCTTATACATGCAATAGGCACAATGCCCTTTACTTTTTAAATTAAAGATACCGTTGATATTCTCTTAAACGACTTCTTCTCCGGTAAATCTCGAAGATGGGAAAAACGTTGGACAATCAAAAACTCACTGTTTCTATTTCAATCCACCTTGGTATTATCAGACCATTTTATGTTTCATTCTTTGGTTAAAATGCAGGAAACGGCGCTCCAGTGAGTTTCATTATTGTACCAGTAGTAAATATTTTAACAGATCTATTTTAACAAGTTCAAACATTACCATATCAACGAGACAGAGAATCCTGAATTGTTATTTCTGGTCCATCTTTCTATATGGATGTGAGATATTGAGTCTCTCATCTGTTATGCAAAAACGTTTGGAGGCAACAGAAATGTGGTTTTCAAGAAAAATACTGAAGACTTCATGGACTGATAGGATATCAAATGAGCGAGTACTCACAATTGCTAACGTGAAGTGAAATTGTTACAGACCATCAAAAACAGGAAAAACGACATTTTTGGGACATGTTATGCGGAGAAAAGGTATAGAGAACCTATCGCTAACCGGAAAAGTAGAAGGTAAAAGAGCAAGAGGCAGTTAGAGAATGATGTATTTGAGCAACATCAAAGAATGGACTAACAAGACAAATGGAAATGAACTCATTCAAGCATGTCAAGATAGAGAAGTTCGGAGGAGCATGATCGTCTTAGCGCATGACATATAAAGAAGAAGTAAATACTATTTCCAAGTTTTTTGTTTTCTTAGAATTGGAAAAGGCTTCTTGTTAAGCTCCTTGGAAAAGAGCCTAACTGGCGCTTTTGAAGGAAAACTTATAACGTACCTCTGTTATTAGTTTGTAAGTGTCATTGTGTGTCTTTGTCTCAAACGGAGGGTGTCCAACTAGAAATTCGTAGCAAAGAACACCCAAACTCCATAAATCGACCTGAAATGATAAAACAAACCTTGAAGCATACATACAACTACAACATAACAGGAGAAAGTAGACAAAAAAAATTATTTCTGGAAATTTATGGCATTGACAGTTATTTGAAAAAGAAAAAAAAAGAAAAAAAAAGAAAAAAAGAGAAAAGGGTAGCCAGTCGCCTGCCCAGTTAAGCCTACAACCGATCATCAAGCGTAAGTTCCTTCAGAATGTCAAAAAGTGTTTAAGGAGGATCAAGCTGTGCATTGTATGTCATGATCTCTTGTTTTCAACTTGAAAAACCCAGAATAAAATGCTGTATACACAACACTATATGCCTCTGAAAAGGCTTTCCACACGTAATGTTATCTGCACATATTTCTGGGAGTTACAAACCTTTTCATCATGCAGTCCACCTTCAATCATTTCAGGTGGCAGATAATCCAGTGTGCCACACAGAGTTGTTCGTCTGGATGATGGGGCATGAACCGACCAGCCGAAGTCGGATATTTTCAGCTCACCCTGTAGATGAAAATAAGAAGTATGTTATTACAAAAAAGTGAACATCTTCAAAAAGCAAAAGAGCCAACATTGCAGACAACATTTGCCTCGCAACTTTTGCCACGTTGTGACTGCCAGGAGAAAGGTTTCAATGCTGCTGAGAAATTTGACAATCTTTGACAAGACACCATCTGCATGCTTGACAAGTTACTGACTGCATTAGAAATAAAATCATGGGTATAAAAGAGTTTATTTGCATGTTGTATAGCTGCATAGTAACTTTTTGCAACTGGATGCGACTTTTTGCCAGTGCAAAAACATGTCATACATATCACAATAAATATTACAGACCTTGTGTCCAAGAAGCAGATTTTCTGGTTTAATGTCTCTGTGAATGACCTTCTTTGAATGACAGTACCTAAGTGCATTGGCCAGCTGAGCAATGTACTGCAAAAAACATTTATATTTAAAACCAAAGAGTTCTCTGTAAAGAAGTTTTCATGACATTGAAACCTCTCAAGCCAACTTTCATGTTTGATATTTTAAAAACAAAACCTTTGAGATATCAATGACAAATCCACATGATCAAAAATCCCAGCCGGACAAAATTGTTGAGATAAAATGCAAATTTTGCAATTTTCTACTTTAAATTGCTCCTGTAAATTCAAATCCTCCCCTTTTCCCCGAATCAATGCTGGATTTGTAGTTCTATCATTTTCCCTTCAAAACCATGCATTCAACATTGAATTGGAGTTATTCTTCAAATAAAAGAGAAAATATCAACTTTTCTTAAAAAGTCTCAATTACTTTTGTCCAGGATTGTAGGACCCAATTAAGACTTCAAATCTGTAATGAACTACCGATTTAAAGATAACCCAGCCAACCGAAATTTAATCATAGAAAACTTGTCAATAACTACCGTTGCTGAAGTCTGTTCTGAGAATCTGGTTTTCTTGGTCAGTTCTTTGTACAATTCTCCTCCTGGTGCATATTCCAGAATCAGGTATACCCGTTTTTCATCATAAAAGTAGCCATAGAGTCTAAGAATGTTATTATGCCTGAAAAAATTGTTGTATGATAGTTATCATTGAGTTCAATAAAAAAAGTCACTATCAACATTTACCGTATTTGATCAATATAATGCTCTCTCTCAAATGAGCGCCCAGGCCTGGCCGTTTGAGGCGAGCGATAGCTCGCGCTCGCCTCCACGCTCCCCTCGCAACCTGAGGCGAGCTATGAATTGCTCTCCTAAACAGAACATGAAGGGAGAATCGCTCCCCTAAAATTTCCATTCATTTGCCCTTTTCCTATTCAGAGAACCCTGAAAACAGGTTAATTGGCTTATTTTTGTAACAGCGATTTCTCCCGTCACTGCATTTTTTGCAATTAACTTTTTGCTTGTTGGGCGGTTTTTGTTATGATATGCATAAACTTCGATCTATTTGGAAAAGGATAGTTAACCGAAAGGTCGTTTGTAGCGTTAACCGAAATAGTCAAACGTCGTTTGTAGCGATTAGAACCTTTCGATCCTAAGAAAACAGGAATATTTTTGGAAGGAAAGTCGAAGAAATGGGTAGGAATTGTAGATTGGAGATATAATAAGACAGCAGGTCCCTTCCAGCAATAGAAACAAAACTATCCCTCAAAGAGAACAGGGTACTCTGTCTTGCAGATAAAAAACGACAACCAAAACATGGAATTCCACTATCCAGCAGCATTTACTGAAAAACCCAGATTGGGTGAAAGACTATAACGGCGACATGTTTCGCATTATTGGCAAAGCCTGATCATCGTTCCATCTATGTAGCAGTTTGTGAATCTATCTACTATATAAACATGGCCGACTGCTTTTGTGTAGACATAAGTGAGTTCGTTTTCACCTTAGGACTCCGTTGGTAACATTTTCAATAGGAAAGGGGCACTAATTGGAAAACCTCAACAGTCATGTCCTCGCGTTTTCTGATGGCCTATTTCGATCCAAAACTGGGTATTTTAGCGTAGAGTTTTCCTTCTATGTTCTGACGTTTTATTCTCTGAAGAGTGCTAGACGTATAATTAAGTTTGTTTCAAAATTTGTTTTTTAAAGCCATTTTCAAATTCTGTGCAACAAAAAGATTGTTTTGCAAGAGAATTGTTGTTTTTGTGTTGTGCCAGCTTTACATAAAACGGAGAGAGTCTGTTCTTTCAAATACTTCAAGTAAAGGGGGTGCCTAAGTCACGTTTAAAGCAAATGCAAATTGAAAGAAGTAAAACAGCACACTCCTGACTGAGGCTATTACATTTAGGCAACCAACAGATACTAAAGGGGCTTATTAAGTCATCTGTCGATTGTCTTTAAAGTACATTCTATGTGTTACTGATTTAGCTCGCCTCAGCAAATGAGGGGAGCAATTCACAGCTCACCTATGAAAATACAAACGGCCAGGCCTGAGCGCCGCTATTCAAAAGCGCCCTCCCCCTATCAGACCAAATTTGTTTGAATGCACAGAACTCTTTGCTCAAAAACAATTTCTAACAGCTTTGTTCAAAAACAAATTGTTTGCTTTGTTCTAAGTCAACTTAAATGCAAGTGTCAAAATTCTGTCTTTTTTGTAATTGTAAAAAATGATCTTTACTATGAGCAAATATCTTTATTTCATCTAAAGAGGAATTTCAATCTTATAGTTTACTTTTGGTGTGTTTCTGAGCATCACCAACCCAACTCCTTTAAGTTACTTGAAGACTACTTTATGTCTCTTGGCAACTACTCTGTCATGAAGTATATGAATAATTTTGCAAGAACTATCAAACAGAAGCTAAAAGGATTACCGTAGGTGAGATTGTATTTCAATTTCCCTCCTCAACTGATGCTCAACATTGGCTTTGGACAACTGAGCCTTGAAAAGTACCTGAGACAGAGGAAGAGCTTATAGGTTTAGAGCTAAATGAAAGAAAAATATTTTTGTAGTACTGGTTGAATAGCACCGTCAAACTTGCAAAATAGTTTTATTTAAAAGCCTCTCTATCCAAAACCTGCAAGTCCCTGTTATTAGTTTATCTGATAAATTTCAAGATGGGGATTGTGAATTTTCCACAAAATTATTTGTGTATAAATATATTAGCAGCACCTTCTCCTATGCTTTCTTCTAACCCTCCAACTGAGTTATGTTAGCTCTATTTGATTTGTAAAGTATTATCGATGAAGACTCGGTCGAAACGCTTACATGAGAGACTCCTGTTCCAAACAAATGCTTTGACATTAATTTTCAGTAAACTGAAAAAATTTTAATTGTTGATTGCTATTTGTTGGTCACATGGGGATGCCAGTTTGTTTTCATGTGCTAAAGCTATGTTTAACTGTTTTTTCTTTAACTTTGTACAGAACTGAAACCCTGTGAATATTCAAAGGGTACTGAAACCTCTCTGCACCCTGTACAGTAATTTGATTGTTTTTGGAAATCATTCTCTTTGGAATAAAGATGAAAGGGCTTTGGAATAAAGATGAAAGGGTCGATACCATTGTGAAAAGAATGAAATATAAATACTTCAAAATGAAAAGGGGAATGAAAATAAACAATAAAGAAAGCATCCAAACTTCAAAAGAAAGTTCATTCAATGGCTGATTCATCAGAGTTAGACAATGGTGATAAAATCGAGAAACTTGATTTCTTTGAGGAGCAACTTGAACATAATTAGACAACATAGCATTCTCTCCTTTTTGAAATATTTGTTGTGTGCAGGTTTTCAATAAAAAACTTTTTTATTTTGCATTATCAAATAAATTTGATTTATGTCCCATTCTGATTATGCAAGCTTTTGGCTATGCCTGCAAAGTTTCTCAATTGTTACATTGTTCAAAGAGAGTTGATTAAAAGCAAAAATATAGCACTTACTTTTAAAGCAACAATGAATTTACTTTGTTTTTCTCTTGCAAGATATACTCTACCAAATTTCCCTAAAAAGAATAATTTTTATAAGAAATGATTCTATCATAAACAGAATGATTAAGTCTATACATAAAAGTACATACAACTCTGCCTATACAGCATTGAGCACTTCCACAGACCAGTAGACAGTAATTTTCACTAGAAATATATATACACACAAACACCACAACTACATACATATATATACATTTTAGGGGGTTGATTATTCTCAATGCAGTGTGGTTTGGTCCAAAAAGGTGAAACTTCTAAAAAGGCTAGTAGCACTTTTTCAAGTTTCCTATGAAGAAACATCCTTACATGTTCTTATCAAGTTAAATAGCATACTAAGCATACAGGACCTTGTTATGTATCATCAGCATTAGACCCTGTCATGACGACAAAGTTATGCTATCAAATGGGCAATGGATCAATTAAGCTAGGCAGCTAGCGCATCAGAACTGCAACACCAACTTGAATGACCACCTCTTGTTTATGTTGTTAAAAATAAAAAGCCACAATACTGCATATGGTTTTGAAATGGGTTTTAAATATTTTCCTTGCATCCTTAACTTTGCAGAAGCCAACATAGTGGCATTATATATTTACTTATCTTTTTATTACTTTGATAGAGGAAAATGCTTTAGAGATGCTCAGTTTTGAAGATAAAGTCAAAGTAATAATTATGATCAAGTACCTCTTCCAAGGGGTTTACCAATATCAAAATCATCTACTGACCAACATTTTCTAAAAAAACAAACATATATTTCATAAAATTTCTTGGCTTCTTCAAAAATTTTAATTAACAAAAACCATGAAAGTAATTTTTAAAACATTCAGGCCTTTTCCTGAAGAAATATTCATAAGGGTGACAAACTGCCAACACTATAAGACTATAAGAGGGAGATCCCTCATTCAAATATTTTGGTTTGTTAAAGGAGAAATCATCCAGGGCTTGAGGGGGGCATTAAAGTCTAAAGACCCGTGATTGCTTTTTCTTTGAATCTTTAAGTGAGTGGTTACTGCTATTTTTCAAATAAACTATTTGGTGTAATAAAGAAACAATAATGCTATGCTCCCCTTTAGCAACTTGACCTTATATTCAGGAATGCTGCAATTTATAGGAATTTTTTTATAAATTTATCTTCTTGCATCTTACACAGAAGACATGTTTTATGTGGTCAATAGCCTATAACAATAATTCACATATTATCCATGAATCCCTTTTTTCATTTTTTGATATGTTTATATTATTTCATGTTTTAAGAATTTGCTATTTAGATAAACTTGTACAATTTTATTACAGCATAAGACTATTAGGAAATGTAAACATACCCTTCACGTCCGTGCTTATGGTGACTATTCTCTTTATCTTCATTAGTCATCTTTTGTTTCTTGTGATTACTGTGGAGATGGTTAAGATGGCTATGTCCATCTGTAATGTGATCATGTCCATGCTTTAGCTGATCATTCTTGAGCATTTTTACTTCGTTATCTTTTCTCTTCTCCCCAGATACTACGAGCTTCTCAATATTTGACTGATTTGAGCTATCTTTCAGTGCTGCATTGTGAAGTGTAGTGGCCATTTCTGAAACATTGAAAGAATTGAAAGTCAGTTCTATTGATGGCGGATGAGGCCTGACCATCACGGATGAGAAAAAGGGCAGCCACTGGCCATGATAAGATGTTAACACCTTTATATAATGCATATAGGTGGCGAAAAAACAATTTTAAACAAATGTCAGAATTTATTTAATTATGATCACCTGACAAAGAGAAAGATCATTTTGGCGTGTGTCGTTGTTTGCTTAAAAGGACAAATGCAACCGTCTAAAAAAACAGCTAGGCGCTAAGGTAAATGCAATTCAGAGTGATAGAAGTTGACTATGCTGTGTGGAAATTCAACTGATTCCAAAGTTTAAAAATTTATTTGTCGAAGCGCCATGAACAAAGAAAATTCTTCATTCTGTAGAAAAAATGTCAGTCAACAACCCCGATAAGATGCGGCTGGGTTTGGGTTCTTTTCATGAAAACAGAAACCTGATCCTCTATAGCATGATTCAAACAGCTAGTAAGCTTGTGAAGTATTGCAGCATCCAAGTTGGCGTCCTTCTTTTCTAAATTGTACAGGCCATGCCTCTTCTATCGGGAAAGTGGAAAATACACGCGCATTTCAACACATCAGTTCTAGGCAAATTTTGCAAAGTTGTAACCTGTAAAGGATAATATCCCTTTCTTTGAAAGCTTGTTATTTGTAAGATTTATATTTATTCATGGACAAAATATGTTTTCTTCGGTTTACATTTAGAAATATGTTATGGCACAACGTGGCCTAAGTTAGGACGGTGGTTAACCTGAAATCAAAGCAACAGAAAAATCATAACTGCACTTACCAACGGTACTGACGATCAATGATGACCTTGAATGTGAACAGAAATACCAAACTTTCAAAAACTTTGCCAGTTACTAGACTAAAAGCAGTTGCGACAGTGAATTTGCCGTAGGAATGTTCAAAGTAACCGAACAACTGACGCGAAGGATCCTGGTTATAATATTTGATTTGATGCGCCTAAAAACGGTTGAGAGAATGGAGGCATCTGATTGGTCCGTTTGAAGGTACAACAAAAGACCGAAGTATATTCTATACCCTTTGTGTGAAAATCATCAAATCATGGAAATAAGCCACCTGGGGTCCCAAAGCTAGACAATGACTTTTTGGCATATAAAGGCTTTGGATGTGGCAGCAGGACCGTCGCTTACGGGTGGGGGGGGGGGGGGGGGGGGGGGGGGTGACACCCCTCCAGACCCTAACCTTGTCGGCAAATCTTCGAAAATGGAAGTTTTGTCGTCAACCTTTTGGAAACTGGCAAATTTTCAGAAGAAAGACAGAGTTTTGCCATTTTCAAATAGATATCATCGGTTGTTGATGACAGCACCAGTCACAGTTGAAATTTGTGAAAACCTAACGAGAATAATTGATGATCGTTCAAACTCTCTCGTGCTAAAGGCCAGGCGCGTTCTGGCCCGGGTGGCAAAGTAGCGATCCCCACCGGGCCCTCAGACATGTAAAGTAAAGAAAGTTACGGGCCCTTTCTGCAAAAGTTGAAGTAGAGAAGATAATTTTCATAAACTGGAAACTACATACAGTCACCACAGCCAAGGTCCCTAACATGCGTGCTGGCTTCACAACTAAGCATCAAAATGAAGTCTGCGCGCAGGCCAAAGGGCCCCACTATGACCAACATCCACTTTACAGAAATTCTATTTCAAATTTCGCACAAAGACAAATCTGTCCTACTTTCTAGAGAAATAATTTTAAACTGTATGTAGAGATCAAGGAGCTGTTGTTTTTAGTTAGTTGTCTAGAGTCGCCATTGTTACATTTCTAGCTAATAATGACCTTCCATACATGATCGAACGTTCCCTAGGGTCATATCACTTTAAGGGAAGAAAATTGCGCAGGAAGCTTCTCAAATTGGGAAATTTTTGGAACCAACTTTGCGAAAAAAGCGAAATAGGAGCTTTGCAAAAACAAACTTTCGCGTTTAAGCGAAAATCATGGACTTTGCGTGAAAAACATTTCTTTTCAATTGATGTTTCCTTCTATTTTTATTCCACATGATACCAGCAAAGCAACGAAAAAAAATGTAAAATTTGTCCAACAGAAAAATTCTTCGTCAAAGTTTTCAAGAGAATCAACAGCAAAATTTTCTGGATATTTCACAAAAATAAATTTTCGAAAATTTAGTATTTCAGGAAGTTTTGCGTATCAATCATCCGCAATTTTAGGCCATAAACGCTAAAAAACGCAATGGTTCCTTCCCTCGAAAGTTTCTTTCCGTGAATATTTCTTTCCGCGAAAGTTTCTTCCTTGAAAGTAGTAAACAACAGTTAAAGGCCTTCCCTGCTGCCCTTTAAGTTTTTCCCTGTCTGAAACCCTCTGCAAGGTGCATGCTTAAAAGTTATAATAAAGTTTTTCTGTTTGCTAATTGTTAAATAAACAAAGTGTTTAGAATAATAAAGTTTGGTACAGACTAAGGAATCTGTATCGTTTTAAGTTTTCTCAATGATGTTTTAGTGTGAATAAGTTTGTAGGTCACTAGATTTCAAATTGTAGCCAAGATACTAACCTAGACAAATGAAAGGATGACACATAAAAGAAAAGAAGATGCAGGTTGAATTTTTGATTATTTTCTTGGCTCAATTTCAGAATACTATATATATATATATATATTTATATATTAGGTTCGCTTGAAAATGTTGCAAAAAGTTGTCACACTAGGATTGTTATTTTGAACTGTTATTAAAGTTACAAATAGAACCATTGTTTTGCTGTTATTGTGCAGAGTTTAACTCCATACATAGAGTCCTTGATTAAAATAGAGAGCCACAACTGTCAATAATTGATTTGAACTGAGAATATTTTAGCCTTTTCTCGCATTAGTTGGTGTGGCTCAAAAAAGTTTATCTGCCACACCCTGAGCCGGGACCATTTGGTTTGCTGGCCACCCTGCAATTATGACACTGAGCAAAACTGAAATATAGCAGTTCGAGAAAAAATGTTCGCGAATTTTATCAATGATAATTATAATCGCTTGAGAACCACGCCCGTATCTGTTGCCACGCCCATATTGTCGGCAAACCACTGGTTTTGCACCCCCCATGAAAATTTTCTAGCGACGGCCCTGTGTGGCAGAGAGAATATGTTGCCCCAAAGCAGGGGTGGCGCTAGAGACAAACCTTCAAGGTGACGAAGTTTATATTCTCCGTAACTGCCGACGCTGGATGTGTCAAATTGCCGACAGAAAAAAAAATCTATTTGCCCCATATAGCAGGCAGGGCCGTCGCGAGGCAAGCCTCGTTGGGGGGGGGGGTGTGGTATGCAATATTACCTGATTAAAAAATTATTGCCTGAAACTTTTTAGCTGGTGCCACAAACCTCTGCAATACATTTTGTCAATCTAACTCTGTAAGATAACCGACTTTCCTAATAGTCTTGTCAAATCTCTATATCGGGACGGGCAAAATATATAGTTACTACCTGAGGCGGCACCATGGTTGCCGCCGAAAGGGGAGGAAATTTTCGAATTGTGATGCTTCTAGTTCCCTGGAAAATGCACTCTTTTAAGCAGATTCCACTAAAGCAATTCTCCTAATCCCATTGAAAATTATTGTCTTTTTGCAAAACTTTTTTACAGCAGATAAAACAACAATTTCGCCGTGGTCTTGAAAAATACCAGGTTGTCAGTTACTTCTAAATTTAGATCCCTCTCTCTATCTTGGCATGCCTTTTGAATGTGGAGCTCATAGTGAATTGCAGTTGACGCTTCTACTGAGAAACTTTAGGAGAAATGAACACGAGGCACAATTTTACCTAAGATTGCTTGATCCTTTATTGATTTTATGACAGGAAGGTCTCTGAAATACCTAAAGCGTTTCTTCCATCGAGCGGATTTTACCTGAAATTTCCTATTGAGCAATAGAGCATTTTTCCAAAATCTTTTGTTGTGGGTGCAAAATTCTCCCTTGCCCCCTTCCCGTCCCCCACTTTCCAACCTGTGTCGGAGTCCACCAGATTTTCTCGGCAATTTGTGCCTTGTTAGAAACTTAATGCGCAAATATTGCCCATTGTTGAATATTTCTTCCTATCTATGGTGGAAGAAGTTAATCAATGGTTTTCTCTAAACCATTTGTTTGTCGCAAGCTATGCGGCGAACAATGCTATTGAAAAATAGTATATGAAAAAGGACAAGAAGTGCTTTTTGAAAAATTTATTACGCAAAATGTGCTCATGATCGAAATGTTTTCATTGGCAATAATAATGTCTTGAAACGAAAAGAGAATCCCGAAGAAAATTCTTTAAAGACTTTATTTATCACAGCGTGATTTTGCTGTTGTTAGGGTAAATTTCCTTGAAACGGTCCAAAACATGATCCAAATCAAGCATCTGCACGTTTCGCCTGAATTCCAAGCAGCAACAGGAATTTCAACCGAGAGGAGCACCATGGTATTGTGGGTCATGCGAAGGAGCACCATGAAATTAAGTCACAGCTTTCACGGAAGCGACAGGATATAATGCCACTTTGATAATAAAATTGCCGAAGAGAAGCCATTGAGAAAACCATAAACCAGCCAGCGCAGTTTTCTCCTCGATTATTTATGTCATTTAAACAACATGTGAACCGGGTGACATCCATCAAGTGCCGACGGTATTGAGAAAGCAAAAATTGATTGGCTGCCGACCGGGGGGGGGGCTAGCAAAAATCTAGGGGGGGCTAAAGCCCCCCCTTGCCCCCCCATGCCGCCACTCCTGCCCCAAAGTCGGTCAAAATGGGCCAAACAATTTTTCAAAAACTGATCAGAAAGAAATTCGCAAATGTTGCTTGAATCTTGGGACACAGTGGAAAGAATGGCAACCAAGGGCCCACGCCACCTTGCGGGGTGGCCATAGCTGTGCTCCCCCACTTGTTTGCGAAGCAAATAGTTTTAAAGCTACAGTAAAAGGGGTAAGAAGCCCTGGCCCCTATATTATTAGCCTTATCCCCCCCCCCCCACTTTCAAATTTGTGGCGTGGGCCCTGCGACCGGACGCTAACAATAATCCGAAACATGTCGCCATTATAGTTTTTGGCACAATCTGGGTTTCCAGCAGGACCGTAGATCCCGGGGAGACGGGGGGACTGGAGCCCCTAACATCGTCATTTTCTTTTATCCTTGGTAGCTGGGTCAGAACAAAATTACGTTTTTCTGTTTTATTGTAACAAACTTCAGCCAATATGTCATAGCGCAAGATGACTTTTGTTGATGATTGTTATTTATGTAAGCAGAATGGTGTCGAGTTGGTGATTGTATAAGTCGACAAATATCTCAAAAAATCCACATTACATGAATATTAATTACACCCTTTTTATAAAGATCCTAGCTCAAGACCTAATTCCTAAAGTTCTTATTGGGTGGATAACGTTCTTTTATTCACAAGGAGCCACTTTTGAAGGGATCTACATGTAGAGGACCGAAGAAGTTAAAGAACTTATACTTCTAAAGACAAAATATCTTAGGAACTTCCCAATTTTGAATTATTTTGTCGCTGCAAATAAGAATTAGAACGTCAGTTGAATTCAATTGCAGTCGAAGCTCGCATAAGTATTTTATGCATCCATAAGGTTTTTAATCGAGTAGTTTGCTGTCTCTGTTTATAATACATATTTATAAGATAGTTTTTTATAAGAAATTCGCAATGTTCACAACAAAGAATCGCAATACTAACATTTCTCGTTTTTTCAAAAAGCATGCTTTCTATTCGAGAGCGAGCGATGTTCTCCTTAAACCATATCAAATTTGAAAAATTAAAATAATTGAAGACTATATTCAGGCTCAAGACAAAAGTTTCTTAGGAATATCAAGGATTTATAATATTTGTATAAAAAACAGGGTAGTCATTCACACTCTCTATATTAAATGCGAAGGTACTTCTTCATCAACATTGTACTTTTGCGCAAATTGAATTTCTTTGTTGCCCTCTTTGTCTTTTGGCCTTGCTATAGTTCAAGGCAAAACTCAGAATTTATTTGCTTCTCTTGCATCTATGCTATTTTCATGGCATTAAAATGCAGAGCAATTCGATTAATATAGTGGTCCAGAAATTAAGGATGTAACGGCATGTTAGCAGGGGGAAATGAAACGGAAGAAAAGCAAGAACAAAACTCTTAATGCGCCCTGCAAGTCATCAAAAATTTTGAAACAGTTTTCGTCTGTGTTTTCTTCGTATATGGAAAAATGAGATTTGAAACATGGCCTCCAAAATCCCCAAATAACATCGATTTTCAAAATCAGCAACCTCGAATTAACCAAATGCACTTGGCTCCATAATTTTGCTCTCAGGCGACCATTCCCCTATTCTCCGCCTGCTCCATTATATTGTTAGAACTGCCAAATATGGCTAAATACAATGTAACCAAAATATAAAAATATTGTGCAAATATTAGCAAGTAGAGTTTTTAAATACGATTTTTAGGATAAAATCGCAATTCACAGAGATTTTCACATTCGGTTCTCCGCAAATTTTTGATGACAAGGACAAATACAAAAAATGACAACTCATCAACATGTTTTAAAATCTACATTTTAATGAATCGCTAAAGAATACAGACAGTAGAATGATGATATGATCTTGTGATGTCCTAAAAAAGGAAAAATGGTGCAAACACGATATTCCAGCTTTATAAATATCACATGAAGAATTTGTTCCTTGATAATATAAACATTGATAACTGCCAATCTTTCCTAATTTGCATTTCATAAGCTAGGTCGTCGGTTGCTGTTGGTGTTGGGATTGATAATTTTGTGTTTGTGATGGTTTAAATGATCAAAATAGTTTGGCGCTGGTTTGAGCAGATGGCGCTTTTTGTTTATCTCAATTTCAATTTTGCTCCTATTGTTTTTTCTATTTTGCTATTTCATTGCAACTCTATTCGGCGTACTTGGCAGCTATGAATAACTTCTACATTTTTAAACAATACCTAGAAATTCCTGCGGATCGATGGCTGAAAGCTGGGTCGAAATCTTAATGAAACTTGAAAATTCATTTGTGACAACGACACTCTTCATTTTTGGTCATGTGACAACTGCTATTTTGCAAATTTGACTATGCATTACTATTTAGGTAGATTCGGTGTGATCCAGACATCCATCTCAAAAACAGATTTTTGGCCGGAAAAGATGTAAACAAATGGCCACTCAATTAGAAGATTCGGCAATTTTTTCAAAGCAGTCTACATTAACGAGTAACGATAAATTTGCGATGAGTTTGCATAGAAATTTAAACATCTGAAATATTTAGTTAACTCATTTCTATCAATAGACATCTCCTGTCTTTTCCACTTCACATCATTTCATCCTTTTCTTTGTCTTCTGAGAAAATGTCTAGGCTTGAGGTGAGGAAATTGCCTGAAGGAAGAATTAACTATTTTCTGGACTCTGCTGTGTACCATAATTGATAGCTGATAATAGTTTTACGTTTGAAACTTTGAGGGATGCCCAAGACCCCTAGTATACTGTTAATTTAGCTTCATCAGTTCACTGGCAATATCAGCCTTTCTTTTCTTTACTGTTACTTTTTGAGCAACTTCCGCAAACGTAAAGAGAGAATGTTTGTTCTACCTTGTTTTAGTCTGGCTTTCATTTTTCTGCAGCAGTAAGCCGTATTAGACGGAATATATTTTTGTTGCAATAGACAAACATTGCTGATCTACATAAAACAATACTTAACAAGACAGGTCTTTGATAATGCAAAAGTTGAAAATTGCACGGAAAAGAAGAACTTCTCTTTAGCATCTGGATTTGATCTTATGATAACATCTTGTCAATTGCCGATGTTAATTCTTGGAGGAAGAAAATCACTTAAATATGCCATGTTTCCGCTTTTCCGCGCTATCTTTATATATGTACCGAAAACAGAAATCGTTGTAATCAGTGGTGTAGTGGAAGTGTAATGCGGCATAACGCCGTTATGCTTTCTAAAATGTTTGGGCTGCAGCGTTATACTACCTACCCAAGCAAACAGTAGCGTTATGCTTCTTAAATATTAGTATCATACTAGATATAAGTACAAATAGCCAATCTTTGATTAGACAAAATAGCAAATAAAATTATTAGGCTTTCAATAATTGTCTCAACCAAGGTCCGAGTGAGTATGAAAGTGATTAAAGTCATATGAAGATATCGCAATTGAATTTTGGACATTTGCTTATGGGAATCGGGCAGGTGTAGTTCGAAGATCCTTTTGTTCGCAGTACCATAGGATAGATATTTTTTATTGGTCAAAATAGAGAGAAATATCATAGAAATGAATATGGTTACCTAGGTCATCTACTAGTATCCGAAAACGAAACAAATTGAGAAAATTGACAGAAGGATAGCTGCAGGAGGGCAAAGATTTGGGCGATATGTCAATTCACCAGAAAAAAATCAATGCTTTAATTTTAGAGAAATGAATAATGGGTGAAGTCATACTTGCAGCAATAACATATGGTATTAAAACATAGACACTGGCGATGAAAAGAGGATGGAAACGACTCAAAAAGGGACAAAAGATGATCTGTAGAACATCGCATATATCTATAGGATTACTTTTTACGCGAACACTGAAATGTTCAGTGCTGAGATGTCTTAAAAAGACAAAATATGATATTTTTCTGATAAGCACCAATGAAAAGTGCTAAATTCGTTTTTTGACTTTTGCGTTATTCTTCCTAAGAATTTACGACTACACTACTGGTTATGATCTTTGACAAAAAGCTCCTAATAATCATAAATTTTAATTGTTTAGAAAAACTTACTGGTTAGCAATAGCAGGTCTTCTTGAGATTAGGTTGAAAATAGTTTATAAGAAACTCGTTGACGGCGTCATTGCAGTATGGAGGTTGTAGAAGGGGGGTTAATGCTGGTCATTAGTTTGGCGAAAAAGAACCACATTAGAAAAAGCTAGTTAAGAGTTTTGGCTTCGGTTAGTCGTCAAATTTTATTTTTAGTACAGAACTCGTGGTTTTAACGTTTCATATACCAAAAAGCAAGATGCTTTTACGTTCTTAATTGAAATTGCAATAGAAAATAGCATGTCACAGGATGTTTATATATTGTTATCTTCTGTCATACTTCGAGCAGACTTAACTTTTAAAGGATAATCGATGGCCAAAGGAAAAGGAACTAATTAAAGAGAAACAACACAGGGAAAGTGAATATATGTAATCAAAATAAGGCAGCTTAAAAACCCCTTACCCTAAATTATCAGTTATCAGTGAGCTTTTAATAGTATGTGATAACAATAACCATAATTGTTTATGTTTATCCCATCCCTCCATCTTTGAATACGTAATATGTGAAAGTTCCCATACCCAATAGCCAACACCATAAAGGTCTTGGGTGGGTCGAGCTATTGGCTAGTCTAATAAAGCATATTGCTATGGAAACTTTTACAGAAATATATCAAGTTATGAAATTTAAAAGACACACTCAATAGAAACCGCGGTCCCCCATCAAAATAATTTCCATTAGTCATAAGTCAAATAAAAGTATATTGTTTGTCATTAGTATTGGGATTTACACAGATTTAGTCATTATTCAGTTGGCCAAACACTCTGTTAGTCAGCTTGTCGACAAAACCCCTTCTACACCCTCAGTATGGTTTCATGCTATTGCAAGCCAGTGGTACACGATCAATTCCTTCACACTCACCAACTGCACCTCAAACTAAACACAATGATTGAGATGTGACAATTATTCGACTTTAATCTATAAATTAATCTAAAATATCTACAAGGATGAAGGAAGTTTTTTAAAAGTGGGGGGGGGAGGCACCCGGTTAAAAGGGCAACGTAAAAGAGATTTCAGAAGGGCTTGGCCACAATTATATAGATATATCTGTCTTAGTTGTGACCTGTGCCGCCGAGAGGTTCGGGAGGGCCTTTGGCAAAAGGGACAGACGAACCCTTTGCAAGCGTAGTGAGCAGAAACATTTTTGCGATCATCTCTTTAGATTAGCTTAAATACATTTCAAAATATTTTTTTCAGTCATAGTCTTGCAATCGTTCAAAAAAGTAATACCAATTTGGGTATGCTTTTGATATGTCTTACTAATCGCTTTCTTAATATATACTTCATTGCCCCCCCCATTCTCCCCCCCCTTGGGTACGCCACTGCCCAGAAGCTGTTTGGATGATAAATAGGGTCAGCGGAAGGTTGGAACCTGTGCTTGCGGGCGGGAGAACCCAAAAAGAGGCTCTCCTAACATTGCTTCTCAGAAAAGTCATCAGTGAGAAAAGTACAGGAAGAAGAGCAGGGGAAACTAAACGGAAAAAAAGCAGAAACAAATCTTTTGTCAACATGCCTTCTTCTCAAAGATTGCGATCATTCAAACAGCCTATTTACAGTGTACGTTCCTTACTTGGTACAAGGATTTTTTATCCACCAAGTCAGTCAATCTTCGCGGGAAACCAAGGGAAAAAGAGTTTGATACTGACCAAGAATAATCCAAGATATTTGCATTCCCTATCTGTGAATGTAAAGTTCAATGACAGAATATTTTATTTGGAAAGACCAAAAAGCACACTGTGCAATAAACAATTTTCAACTACTTATCCTAATTTAGATACTGAACCAAAACAAACTGATAGGGAAGAGAAGCTTGGAACTGAAAATGACGGTTCTCTTGATGATAAACCATTAACGCAGAGGCAAAAGCTGTCGCGCACATTTGCTGCATATGGGACAGCAGCCCTGGTTTTTCATACAACTATAAGTTTGTCTTCACTGGGAACATGCTACATGATAGTTAGCAGGTAAACAATAGTAACATACCCTAGGCCCCCAGATACTAGCACCCCATACTGGATTTGCCAACTAGAGGGTGTCATAGATTTATGGTAGCCTATGATAGTAGTACACCTAAAGATGTAAGTTGGTTGCATAAACAACATTTTGTTTGCAATGGAAAGAAGAAGTTGTTCAGAATATTTTGCCATGCAAGTAAAATTATGTACAACTTGTCTTCATGTTAAATGCCAGATTGCAAATACCTTTCCATGGTGCACTATGCATTGATTCTAGTGTTGCTAGTACCATTCTGTTTACAACACATACGCTAGTATCTGAATCACAGTAGAATAGGCTGTTAGAGTAAGCAAAATAAACAACAACAAAAAGGGCAATGTGACTTTATTGAGTCTGGTCATTTCATTTTGAATTTTGCATTAATGGAAGTTTAAAAAGGGCTAAAACAATAGCTTATCTGAATGTAAAGATAGAACAGCTTCAAAATAAAGATAATTGTTTGCTAGTTAATGTATTTCTCAACGGGTTTTGAATGTTAAACAAAGTTATTCATTAATGATTAGATATTTTTATAAGAAAAAGATGCATTAATGTACATCAAATATGCTTTTGCTAAGTTCATTAATTACATAAATACAAGGGAAATGAGCAAATTTTCAAATCCATAAAAAGCAAGCTTGCCTTAACAGCACATGTGCTAGTGCCTGGGGTAAAGAGGTAAGGATTTTTTAAGTGTTTTAATAGAAAGAATGTAACTAGAGATTGTTATTACAAAAATGCCCTGAAAGAAGGTCCATCAAGATAGGGCCCAGGAATAGAAAGTTTGATGTAATGTGTTTAAACTCCATCAGGATTCTATTCTGCAGCCTGGGGATTAAATCTATTTGACATACAAAGTCTGCTACTGGATATGATTTTGAAAAATTTGTCATTAGCAGTCATGTATTGCTTTTGAAATTGACTAATAAATTTTTATTTATATTTTTATATTTTTCAGTGGTGTTGATATGGTTGCATTGTTAGAAAAAGTTGGCATTGCATCCAAAGCAGGTTTGCAGTCAACTCTGGCAAGTGGAGCCAGTACCTTTGTTATTGCCTATGCATGTCACAAAGTTTTCATGCCTCTGCGCATCTTTTTGACTGTTACTTGCACTCCAATCATTGTGCGAAAGCTCAGGAACATTGGGCTGCTGAGAGCAAAAGCAAAGGAAACTTAGATTTTAATGAGTTTATATTTTTTAATTAATTTAGTGATGTACTTGATAAGAAAGCAAACATTAAAGAATTTTTTCCGGCCATATTCATGTCTAGATTCTTTACACAGTAGCTGATTGGTTCCAATAGTTATTTATCATTGACGTAGCCAGTGCAAAACATTTTTTAATGCAGCACAGTATTTTCAGTATATTTAATGTGATCCTGAAATTACTTGAATAAGAGTCGAGGGTTGCTCTGAGGTTGCATTCTCCAGACAATGCTGGTGAAATCCCGTTGCCACAAAAGATATTTGTTATGACAACATAGAATTGCTTTTCTTTTTTTCTTTCACCCCTCTGAAACCTGACAAGGTTAGTTTCAGAACGTTATATACATGTGAAAATTATTTGATATGCATATGTACTAGGTATATCAGCATTTATGATGACATTATGGCAATATTTTTTGTCATCATAAGTGTGTCATTTTACATCATCAGCTAAACATTTGTAAAATAAAGTGTCTTCTTCTGCAAACAAATAAATAGTTTGTAATGGAAAGTTAAATTTGAAATAAGTTGTAGCTTCTCTTTCTCTTTTGTGAACTATTATTGTAACTGACAGGCACAAACATGCAGAGCCCCTTCTTGTAAAAGAGGACTGCCTTAGTTTCTAAATTTATTTCTGTTGTTGTTTATATTCATAATTAGCAATGTAGCAGTACCTTTTGTGTATGCCATTTTGTGAAGTAAATCTGGCCATACAGTATCAAGTGTTGCTCACTCTATCCTCTCACTGGCTAAACGAGTTCTGTTCTATCAAAAATAAAAGGAGTAGCCTAGTGTACAAGTAAAATTCAAGCAGTAACCATCACTACAGGCTCTTATATGGGGAAGAAGTCAGGCTATTATTCCAGACACCGCTGAGAACCCCCCTCCCCCCACTTTTTGTCAAAATGCAAAATATTTCCCAATGAATCACCAGTCTAGCCACTCTTTATTCGGTTTTAGCCCCCCCCCCCACTTTTTTAGACCCCCTCTTTTCTCAACGCTCGGCGGTGCCTGTATTCTCCTGAAAGAATAAAAATGAAATCCAGTACAATCCACGGGGAAGTCTGATCACATTTTGGAGTGACGGGAGAGCTGTGAAAAAAACGTCTATAGTTGTTTGCAATCATTATCTTCGATGCATTTACCATTATCGTTGATATCAGCAGACAGTGTTCAAGTTGATAAATATTTGAGTTATCAGGTGCTCGCACGTATTAGAGGAAGCAATCTGAATGCAATGCAATTTGAGTAATCAGGGGATCAAGTTATCTGTGCTTCAGGTTATCAGATTATGCTGTGTAGCATCCGAAATACACACCTTGACACCAAGAGAGATAAAATATGAAGTACGTTACCCTATATGTTACACATTTACAATCTATTGAAAATGATTAAAGTCGAAAATTTTCATGTGTATGTCATATTCATCAAAATCTTTGTTGCCCTAAAATGCACTACATCATCTATCGAATTTGGATGTAAAATTGGGTCAATTGTGTTTGTACTTACCATTAATTGATCCCTGTATTAAAGAATTAAAAAGTGCAAAATGTTGCCTTCTATTGCAATCTCCAGCTGGAATTAAATGAGAAAAAAGTCGCTATGTTCCCAAACTCGTGGTTTCTTTATCTCTTGACAATTTATTATTTTCGTCAGAGTCAGTCTATAAATAAAATAATCGCAGAGATTAATAGATATATGCTGATTTTTCACCTAGATTTATTATTCTCACTAACGGTATTTCGTTAAATTATGATACAAATATAGTTTTGAATACGATATATCTAATACATATATTTACAAGAAGTGAATCGAGAAGAAATTCCAAAGTGTATTAAGTGTTTTAACCTACTCATAACCAAAACTCATAACATAACCAAAATGTACCTTTGAAATGCTTAGCGGTTTTACGAAATGTGCAAAGAGAAAAGGGGGTGACGATTTGGGCCATGATCTAAAATTTTTGCATGCGATCTGCTTTTAGAAACATCAAAACAATTTAACTCACAATCAGGGCCGCCGAGAGCGGGTAAGAGATGGAGGACTGCTTTAGGGCCTCCAGGTTGAAGGGGCCTTAAAGATATTGAATCCTATTTTAGGTAGGCAGTTAATCAAATTAATAAACATATGGCTAAAGGGTGCACAACGTTTTAAACGATTGCAAGAAAATGACTGTAAAGAGTTTTCTGAAGTGGATTGTAAGCAAAACTAAAGAGTGTGGTCGTAACATTTTCTGCTTGCTTCGATTGCATGGGGCTTCACCTTACTGTTTTTCGCTAGGGCCTTCGAAATCTCTCGATAGCACTACAACTTAGCCAGAAAATGTTACCTATCTTGAACTTTAAAGAAACTTCCTTAAGGTTCATAATGCTTCCCATGTCCTCGGTTGTTCATGATCATGTAATGCACCAATTTCAAAACCTTCATTGATCTTAACGCTCTCGATTTTTGACATTTTTGGCTTATTCTTCACTTAAAGTTATTTCATTGTGCTGTGAAAAACGCTAACGTTAAACCAAAAAATGGATTTCATAATGATTATTGCAAATTCTGTGAAGGAAATTTTGCGTGGTCTTAAAGATTATAAGCCATGGTCAACATGTTATTTTGTTAGCACATAAGTACGCGGAAAGAATTCTATGCGCTGGTCAATTTAGTCCTTCTAATATTTGAAGTTTCTATTTGGGTAACCATGAAAAAAATCCATTCCTTACCAAGATGATTTGTTGATAATGAGCTAACATTTAGTTAAACTTTCCTTGTTTGCTATTTGCTTCTTCCCATTTATTCAGATGCTGTCTTTGGTATGATTCCCATTATGCAACAGAACACTTAATCTCTTCTGTGATAATGCATTCATTTTTTGTACTTGAATGTGTTCCTAGGAGCATGCAACAGCAATAACAAAATGTCAGAAGAAGTTGCTTGATTGGCAGAATGGAACAGGGGCTTTGTCTCTAAAGGTCTTTGCAAGAATTGTCATTTCTAGGTGCTATAATGCATTTATCAACTAAACAAGTGTACAGGTTAGGGAAAGTCTATAAAATTGGAATTGATGCGATAAGATCAATTTGTTGCTTTTTGATAGTTGAAAATTCAATGAAGAAGCTAACAAAATGATTTTAGAGTGCAGTCGGTTTGTTGCATCATGCAAATCGGTTCATATGGAACAGTTATTGCACGATGAAACAAGCTGTTCCGTCTTGAATATTGTTTGTGTCAGGGGTGTCTTCCTGAAAAGCTACGAGGAGGGGCTGTACTGTAGGGAAATTCAAGTGACCACACCCACACTCTTACGACACCCAAAAAACTGTGCTAAAGACTATCCATTGTGTGTAGAAACCATTCAAACTATTCGATGACACAAAAGACTGATAAGAAATTGCTCTGAATTTTGACAAGGGTGGCTAAACCCCCCTAAGCCCCCTCCACGGCACCACTGCTTTGTGTTGTGAAGTTTAGTACTTTTTATTTCGCTTTATACTATCCATTTAAATTGCAATGTTGAGTCAGAGGTGACCTGATAACGTTGAGAAATGTTTTTTACCTCGAATCTGTCATATCAAAATCAAAGTTGTTGTTTATGCTAGATTCAATTTCAATATTTCACCCTAAGGAAAAGAAATCAATGAATTGTTGTGACGGAAAGGTTAAAGAAAGCTACCGAATAGTGGTGGAAAGTTGGTGTTGAACGATAACTTTCGATTAGCGTCACGAAAGCGAAGTTGCAGGGGCTAAATAATTTATTTTAGGCCGTGTATCTCGATAATTTGAATTTCTCTTAAGCCCGATTGTGATGGACTCTGTTGTCCTCTTTGGTCGTTAAACCTCGATGTATATGCTGTTCCAGTATCAATATATCTTTCCCGAATGCTAGTAGGTTCGGCGCGTTTGGCTGAATGTGCTTGCCCCAGTTCATTAGCTGCAACTGGTGTGCGTGAAACTACCGATGCTTGTCTCTCAGAATTAACGCTGTTCTGCCAATGACAACAACATCTAATTTGACTCCTCCTAATCGTTGGCATCAAGAATATGTAGATTAAGGGATCAGCCAAAAGGTTTAAACTCCAGCACAGTTCAAATGCGAGCTGATAGAACTCTCGTGTGTCTTCACTTGTCATAAACAGCATTGAGCTTGCAATAGATGGAAATGTTTCAAAAACAAGGAATGTAGCCAACATTGCTGTAGTGACACCAAAGAATTTCTGGTTCCCTGTCCCACGTTTACTGAGCCCAAAGCGTTTGTCACTTCTTTGTTTCCTAAAGAAGATTGACAGATAAGTAGACACGAAAAAGGCAATAAAGAGAGAATCAAGAACCACCCAAACGTATTTGTCAATAATGATCCGAAGGGTGCGAGGTTCAGTGAAACAGAAGATTGGGCCAATTAAAATCGGTATTCCCCAGCAGGCAAAAATGACATTTCGGAACCTCTTCGGCGTGCTAAAACGACGATGTCTGAATGGAAAATGCGCTCCAATAAGCCTTTCCAAAGTCAGAAGATAAAACATCGAGAACCAAAAAAAGTAGCAACTTGTTCTGATCACCCAGAAGTATATACTTTCGTTGTCAGCTGTCAAATTTCTTCCCAACATGTCTAGCACAGTTATTGTGATTGTAAGGCTGGACAGGAACAAATCGACGACACCAATGTTTAAAATAATCTTTACTTGACTCGAGGCTAGGTGTTTCAGTCTACTTATCAGATATACACCCAGAACATTGCACAAGATTGCTGCTGCATTTATAGTGCAGACACAAATAGCGATTATCTTTTTCGTTGATTCTCCCATTCTCTGTCTTCTTGATTACTGGCACTTGAAAAAAATTCAAATGCACCAGACTATACCTATTGGCAAACTCCTTTCTTTCTTGAACAAATCACATGTTCCAAATGATCTTTCGTTGAAAGTATTTCGATTGATTTCCTGCTTCACCGAGTTCAAATGAATCAGAAGACTGACAGCTTGAAAGAGAAGGCATTTTCAATGCATATGTGCAGCGAATGGTCCAGCTGCTTCCTTTTCGTAGCTTTAATTAAAAACTTTATGAAAAATCGGCTTGGCTGACGGGTTGACCAAAGCTGAGAGGAAAATTTAGACAATGCTATAAACATCAAGAATCTATCCTCCTTGAAATTCCTTTTTATCAAGCATAGCATTTCTACTACGCATGCAAATGTTGCCGTGAAAAATATTTCACAATTTACGCAAGGGCCAAAGCTTTTAAATACCAACTCTAAACCCCCCTGGAAGACGTGATAAACTGTTTACTTTCGACAGTTTCACCTGCCTTGTCATTTGACAAACACTGCTTATCTTTATTGGAAGTTTTTCCACCTTCACATTTTTCTTCAACTTACGACCTGCTCTGTAAATACTAAAAGTTTCCTCCTCGAAAAGATTTTGTCAATTTATTTGAAAAGCGGGTTCTGATAGATGAAATTAAAATTATGCACCTATAGTTAATAGGTGTAAAGAGTTTTCATTTCATTGAATTTTAGAATTTTAAAAGACGTTTTTGGAAATTTTAGGAAAGTCTCGCTATACACAGATTGGTTCTCGCAAAATTTTTGATCTGAAAATCTGCATATAGCCACAGCATCTGATTATGAAATTCATTGTCGCGCATAGCACGATTTTAATTCCTCGTTATTTGTCTGTTGAATGTGCGCCAAATGCCACCGGGCCGAAGATGCAAATCTCCCCAAGCTAAAATTTTAAAAAGACATCTCCACCATAAGCATTTAACATCGAAAAGATTTTGAAAAAAATTAGAAGAAGAGGAACAAAATATGTGCTTTCCAAGTACAAAAAGCGTACCGTTTCTCGTAAACAGTTGGCGTCGGGTGATCAAAAATGAAAACCTTAGCTTCTTTCAAATGAATCCTGATTGTCTCTACACAACATTTTTGGTTTGGATAAAACTCTACACAAATTTTTTGGTAAGGATGTCATAGCTAGTAAATTAAGATGACTGATTGGAAAAATTTCTTCTAGAGCCATGTGGGTTAACCAGAGAAGAAAGTGGATAAGTATGGGCGAACCCTCCTTATATATCATCATAAATTAATTCTCGCCATAAAATGATCTGGCGAGCAAGTTCAAACAACACAATTTTGCGGAATAACAGCGATGATAATATCTTATTTTTGTTTTACGTTCGCAGTAGCATATAATATGCCTTCTAATTTAGCAATTCAGCAGAGAATGCCTAATGGATTTTATCGGACAAATGTGTAATGATATTATTACACAAAAAATAAATGTGTAATGATAAATTCTCTTTCTTTGCTCCCAATGAATCCAGCTAATCTTTCAATGGTACTGAGCTGCGAGCAGATTTTTTGCAATCATGGCGATATGTGTATCAAATTTGAGCTTTACATCAAATTTAATTCAAAGAAGATTACTCCATTGTTTATGATTATTTTGAAAAGAATTGTTAACTTGGAATTGTTTATATAAAAGGCCAATAATTTATTATCATCTTTTTTAATATCAATATCATCACCAATTGTTAATGATTGGAATTCAGATGGATTCTTTTATTCTCGTTTCAATCATTTTTTGCTTAACTTACACCTTAGACAACTTGTAGTTCTGTTATGCTATTGAACATGTATATCCAGTTAAATACGTCCTGGCTATGCCAAGGGCTTTCAAATCTTCTAATTACCTATTTATAAAGCGCTCAAGTCACGGAAAGACAGGTGATGGCTTTGTTGCAAAATGAGCATGAAAACGCAGAAAGGGGATAGTAATCTTTATAAGATTCATGAAAGAGAAATCCAGTTCTGTAACGGTGCATCAGCTGAAACTTGCAGTTGAGAGAATACGAGCATAACGAGCATAAAGACTCTAAAAATTTTGATATGCAGTAAGAAAGGACAGATTTATACGGCAAAGATTGGGGGAGTGTTAGATAGTGATGAGATTTTGGCGCCACACCCTTCAGGTAGCTTAAAAAGGATGGAAACGCCTATTTTTTAATTCAATTTTTTATCTTTAAGGTAAAGAAGATAAGAAGATATATAAAGTAACTTTTTGCATCATTTTGCTACTACTGGCTATCAGAAAATGCTTTTTACTGAATCGAATCGAAATTTACTGAAGGGTAAAAAAATATTGAGTGGGAGTAGTATGTCGCACAACCCCGGTAAATCCGTCCTGGTAGTAAGGAATATAGGGAACTAGAGATAAAGAACCACAGCAGTTTTAATCTGTTTTCATGGAAGACGTTTTCCGTTTGTCATTGGCAGAAAGGTATCGGTGATAGTAATAATAATGATAACAAAAATAATGATCATAATTCTATAAATTTAATGATGTTACTAAATGGTCCAAATATGGCTTTGTGAGCACAGGCTTTCATTTTCAAATGATTGCTTGTTGATAGAGCATGCTTATTACAGCTTCATCAATAACTATATAAGGAACATGTGACCAAAATTCATGTACCTTCATTTGCATTCCGTGTTAATCGACAAGACCATCCTATGTAAACATGAAAGAAATACGAAAGATTTGATTAAATTTTTAATTAAACCTTAGATATTTCCTACTGTTTACATTATTTGTTATTGTCAATTAATATGGATTGTCAAATGCTAGTGATGTGATGAGTTATAAAATGATTTTCGTCGCTTTCATCATTTTTCTATTTTGTCTTTTTCAAGATACTGAAACACTATTAACTAAAAGTGAGCCCCCGTGGTCACTTGCTAAATCTCAGCCAATTTGTTTTCGATTTGACTAATTTTGCCCAGTTGAAGGTATGCCAAGGTATTCTGTTGACTAAAATTCCAAACTCGTGAATTCTGAAAATACACTTTATTATCTCATAGATCTCATTACTTTGCTAGTTGCTACTCTACAGAAACCAGAGGAAATGCAAAATGCTACTTCAGGAAACGAAAAACTTTTATTACCAGCTTTGCTATTTAAAAGAAAATTAGACCTTCGCAAAGAAAAACTATACTTTGTGTCTAACATTGTTAGATTTGCCAAATCTAACTAAACACAATGTTGGAAAATATAACAATATTGTGCAAATATTGGCAAGTAGAGTTTTTAAATACGATTTTAAGGATAAAATCGCAATTCACAGAGATTTTCACATTCGGTTCTCCGCAAATTTTTGATGACAAGGACAAATACAAAAAATGACAACTCATCAACATGTTTCAAGATCTTAATTTTAATGAATCGCTAAAGAATGCAGACAGTAGAATGATGATATGATCTTGTGATGTCCTAAAAAAGGAAAAATGGTGTAAACACGATATTCCAGCTTTATAAATATCACATGAAGAATTTGTTCCTTGATAATATAAACATTGATAACTGCCAATCTTTCCTAATTTGCATTTGAAAAGCTTGGTCGTCGGTTGCTGTTGGGATTGATAAACAATTATGAAAATAGTAAAGATTATTTTGGCTGTTTGTGATGGTTTAGCTGATCGAAATAGTTTGGTGCTGGTTTGAACAGATGGCGCTTTCTGTCTATAGCTCTATATTAATTTACACTTTGTTCCTTTCGTTAATTCTATTGTTATTTTATCCCTAAATGCCGGAGACCCCAACTAAAAGTTGATGTACTTGCCAGCTATGAATAACTATTGCACTTTTGAACAATATTTTGCCAATCACTAGAAGCATCTGAGAAGCGGTGGTTTAAAGCATCACATTGTGCTACATTCTGCAGTAACCAAACCCACGAATGTAAAATGCTTCTAAGTGACAATGTCTCTGATTGAGTTTTGGCCATGCGGTACCTTGTGTTACAAATGTAGCTATATTCTGCTGTGTTCTTGTGATATTTTTGGTCGTTAGAACTAGTGATAGCAACCATTTAGTGTTTGGGCAGCTTTCCCTAAGTCCGACTGGTCCGAGTCATTTAACATTGCCAAAATATAAAACTTGCTCCAGCAATTTCAAAACAACTCAAAGGTAGATTACCTAAACTGCCAAGCAAGCAAGCAAGCAATCAAGCAAGCAAGCAAGCAAGCAAGCAAGCAAGCAAGCAAGCAAGCAAGCAAGCAAGCAAGCAAGCAAGCAAGCAAGCAAGCAAGCAAGCAAGAAAGCAAGCAAGCAAGCAAGCAAGCAAGCAAGCAAGCAAGCAAGCAAGCAAGCAAGCAAGCAAGCAAGCAAGCAAGCAAGCAAGCAAGCAAGCAAGCAAGCAAGCAAGCAAGCAAGCAAGCAAGCAAGCAAGCAAGCAAGCAAGCAAGCAAGCAAGCAAGCAAGCAAGCAAGCAAGCAAGCAAGCAAGCAAGCAAGCAAGCAAGCAAGCAAACAAGCAAGCAAGCAAGCAAGCAAGCAAGCAAGCAAGCAAGCAAGCAAGCAAGCAAGCAAGCAAGCAAGCAAGCAAGCAAGCAAGCAAGCAAGCAAGCAAGCAAGCAAGATTTATTTGGTAACTCGGGTTAGGGTTCTGGCAAGTACTAGCTGTTGTGAACCTACAGCTATCCCCATCGTGCATTTTGAATACTTTTTAAAGGATTTCATTTAAATCTACCTAACTCTACAAGACAAAGGGATTCAGGAAAGGCAAAACACAGACAATGAACTGAGCTGAAAGAAGTTTATAATAAAGTAAATGTTCAGTGGCGAAATTTACTGTTGTGTGGCTCTGAGACCAACTTCTATGCTGCCTACCAGAGCATGATGGTCATAGGGTCATTGACCGTGTAGAAAGCCATGAAAACAAAAGAAGTGCCACGCCCCAACCCCGTCTTATTTTTTTCTGAGAAAGGTTTCTAAAGAAATTCTCCAGAGGAAAGCTAACACGTTTCTGGACTTCGCTGTCTACAATAATTGATAACCGACAATAGTTTAACATTTGAAACTTTAAGGGAAGCCCAAAGCCTTATTTCTTCAAACAGTAAGAGCGGTAATAAACTGAATTTTATACTGAATTATATTTGTTGCAATAGACAGCAGACGTAATTGTTTTACTCAACGTACAATAAAAAACATTGCTGGCTTCGACCAGATGACCTAAGCAAATAAACCTTTGGTAACTAAAAATTTGAAGATTGCACGTCGAAGTAGACGCTGAAAGCGCTACAACGATTGACAGAGGATATCAAAGAGAAACAAATAACGAATGTTTGGAAAAAACCTACTGTTTAACAATAACAGGTCTTTTTGCAATTTTTCTGAAGATAGTTTGTGAGGAACGGGTTGCTGGCGTCGTTGCAGTATGGTTTCATGCCATTGCAAGCCAGTGGTACAAGATCAATTCCAGCACAGCCACCAACTGCACCTCCAGCTAAACATAATAATCAAAATAAAAATTCCTTTCTAAATTATAAGACAAGCAAAAGATCTATCGATATTTTCTTGGTATTTTATAATGCTATTAGCATTTGCGTTAAGTTGTTTGGCATCTTTAAACATCGTTTTCAACTTCCTTGAGAATACTCTTTAACTAGTCTTTTCTTGTGGAGAAGTCTTATTTAGACACTGACCAGAAGTGGAATCATTAAAGCATTGACCAAATGCTAAATTGTTTACAAATATACCTATTTACGGGCAGGGACGGATTTAAGTTGCAAGAATCGGTGGAGGGTGTTGGATAATAGTTTAATTTTTTGTGCCACACCCTTCAGTTTACTGGAAAATGATGTAAACGCCCATTTTTTAAAATTAGGACTTTATCTTTAAGAAAAAGAAGATAAAGAGATTGATAAAGTAAGATCTTGGCGTTATTTGATTACTACTGACTACGAAAAAATGCCTTTTACCGAATGAAAGCTTTTTACCAATTCGCACCCTCCACCATCCCCCTCCCAACAATAATAATTACTCTATAATGAGCTCAGCATAGAAAAGCTTCTTAGACTAACATGTGGAATATGATTTATTTCGATTACTGTAAATGAAAAATAGAAAGCATTCTGGTGAGAAATCACTAAGAGAAAGTTTCCATTAACTTCAATCATTGACTGGCCGATAATATTGTTGGTTGAGCAGAAGCAAATTACAGCTTGATTTTACCTGTGCCTGTTAGCTCTTCAACGGAGAGACTTTCTTTTCCTAAAACAGATTGAAGTTTCATATTATAATTAAATGACATTAACGAGAGTTGTTCTTAACATATGATAATTTTTTCGCACTGTGATCATGTCAAATTGCGTCAAACATTCTTAATAGAAAGATTTTACATCTTCATTACTTTAAATGAATTAATTGAATTTACAATCGCACTCGCCTTCTTTTTTAAATGATTAACAAATTATCAAGCTATAAAGGCTTAGCACTTTTAAGAGTGACTAGCAAAGTATGAATGTCGCTTTGCTTTCAAAATAGAAAGTATATCTCCCAAGTAACAGAACTAATATCTACCTCCTGCCTTCAATTTCATGACGTTCTTAAGAAATTGCATGCTTGTGTTGCCTTTTGGTTTGTACTGGCACACGATAATTGTGTGTATTCTTAAGTTCTTGTAATAAAGTGCTTTTCCACAGCCAACAGTTGTAGTTGATTTCCAGATGACCTGAGTGAAGATTGTTTTCGTTTATGAATCTATCTCGAATAACTGAATATAAGCTTAATTTCCCCTAAAGAAGTAAATGGCGACTTTTGGAGAGCACTGTGCGTTGAAATCGTAACATCCTTACTTCTGCTAGATATGGTCTTTAAATCTGCGACGATATTGAAATTTGTGCTCAATATATTTCTTCCTCAATCGTGATTCATCTCCTTTTAGAAAGGCACAGGTAAGCCAATAATGGGCATTTAATAGCATAATATCACGTACCATTCATATTACGTATATCTTTAGCATTACAGCCTTGCTACAGACATGATTCTTTTACTATTAATGCTACAGATATGAATCCTTGGAATTAGGACATCAATACTACAGTTGGATATCAAAATTCGATGCTAATAGAACATCAAATGTGCTTTAAGATATTTTTGTTACTTTCTAGCAGTGAAAATTATGGCAGTTCCATGGTGTTCTGTCTTGTTCACTTTCAAACACCACTTCAAGCTAAATTTGATATTCAAATAGAATGTCTATGCGTCATATTTCATTTAAATTGCTGCTTGCAATAATTTGTCAAATCAAACGTTTGTTCATTGGTGGTTCGTAGAATTCATGCTGAGAGCCAACGCAGTTAAAAATTTGCTTTTGAACGACTTTTCTTTCCTTATAGACCTTTGAAGGTTTCTGTAAAGAACAAAGCAACTAAACCGATATTCAAATCATCATCAAACAAAGTGTGGAAAAATGTAGCAAGAGGATTCAGTGTAGCGAACCATATTAGATTTCCATTCAGCCTTGGCTTTGATTTATTAAACATTGGAAACATTAACGCGGACCTTTACGAGATAAATAGCATTTTTCATACCTGTGTGAAGTGGCCGGTAGAGGTCCATGGAGCAATGCTTTCATAATTGTACTTAATGCCTTCTCGGTACCTGAAAATGCAAATGATTTCCTCTTAGGTGCAAACTAAGAAAATCTTATTGATTTGTTATTGTCATTTTTGTAGGATTCTCTTAATCGCATTGGAACATCTTGGTTATCTTCAGACTCGATTTGTTAAGATAGCACATCTCAGTAAGGGAAAATTGTACAGATTCTCAGGCATTTAAAATGCGTCATATTATAACAAAATATTTTCATGACATTTATCCATTCTGTTAAACTCCTCCCCCTTTATTAGAAATTTCCTGCATCCCCACTTTTTTGTCAAGTACCTAACAGTAAACAGGCAAAGCGCTTAATGCTGAGCAAACTTGTGGCTTGTGATGCATAAATAGGGGCGCATTTTAAGATAATAGATGATCAGCGATAACAGAGAAGGCTTTTAGGGATAAAATAACCTTCTAGTAGATATAATAGCTGAATCTTGGCTATTCAACTCTTTACAAGAGTTTAGGTATCAAATCATGGTTTAATACTTTAGCAGCCTAGAACATACAATCAATAACCACACTATGAGCTCACAATTACACTGCAACTTAATGACAAATGCTAGAGTGCTCGAAGAGCCAAAGAGCAATGCTTCATTGGTTTGGGAAACTCTCTCACACCCGACGGCATGAACAGAACCACTAACCGTTAACCTTACAGCACTTACGATGTCATTATTTTTCTACCACCTAAATATTATTGATATTACAACTATTTTTTGTCATAATCAAAAATAATCTTTCTTTATTTTGATTGTTATTATTACCGTCATCCATCGTCATTGCACTTTCATTCTGGCACCACAACACACTTGCTCATATCACTCGCCACCCTTGCAGCTTCTAGTTTCATTACCTGTTTCTTCTCCGCTGCGCTGTATTCACACCATTCCACACCCACCAATCCGACTCCAAGATCGTTAATCTCAAATTTGTAAATTGATTAGCCCGTTTACTTTTGCTCTGATGAAGCCCTGTTGAAGCCCTGTATGACCGGGCGAAATATTAGCTATTATTAATTTGCCTGTGCTTATTGTTGTTTGTTCTCGGTGTTTTGTGGTGTTTCTTATTTTCTACATTTTTATCGATTATTCGTTGCAACGCTAAAAATTAGTGAACGCTAAAAATTATGTGATTGCTATACGCTACATAACATTTATGATGATGCATTTTACATTTTGAATTATTACCAGAAATACATGGCATTGGCAATTTTCCTCTCATCAAGCCCTCCTGAATTGCCAATGTAGATATTCTCCCCATAGTCGCGTCCTGCTGCCGGTGAATGGTCCATAAGGTAACTGCTGCCACCTGACTTTTGGTTATCTGATGCCAATTTTTGGGCATAGCTTTCAGCAGAGGTTGCAAGGTCTGCATCCCATGTAAGGTCTGGTGTATCTTCATGCTGGCCTCTTGCCACATTGTGGGCAAAGAGACATTCACCAGCAAAGTCTGAAATATAATAAAATGGCTACCACTTGCATTGTATTTCAGAGTCTTATCTTCATCCATTACTAGCAAAAGTTTTTTTCAACACTGGTAGCCAATTTGTCAAGACAAGGAACACGCACACTTTGAGATCAAACTTTTACCCAAAAACCAATGCAGGACCCACGTCACCAGGGGGCCGGAAGGGCCATGATCCCCTACTTTTTGGTAAGCAAAAACATTTCCATAGAGGCCCTGTCTTGAAGCACTAAATTCAAGTTCGATTTATAGAACAGGGCCCCTTCACCTTGAAATTTGTGGCGTGGGCCCTGCATTAGCTATCTGATAGGACGATGAAGGGTAGTGTCTTAGAAGAATAAAAGATTTCTGTTTACTTGTCTTTTTAAGGAGTAAAAATTTTTTAATGAATGAAGCAAATGTTTGTTTCTGAATGAAAGGAAATTTTCATTGCAAGAATAAAACTTGTATATATTCCCTTACCAGTCAGAGCGTTGATTATAATGTTTTAAAAATATATTGAATATGCTGTAGAAAAGCAGACAAAATCAACTTACCCGACTTAACGGTCATGAACAATCCAAAAGCATACACAACAAAAACTGCAAAAGTCATCATTGTTGCAATTCCAACAGGAGAAGATAAGGATCAGCTAGAAATGTTTATATGTCAAAACGATTATTGGCATCAAGAAAATACATGCAAGACATAAACATAGAATTGGAAACATTGCTTTTTTTAACATAGCTACTAACGCAATTGTAAAATGCTAGATAGTCACCTTCTTTAAACTCCTTACCAAAGATGCAGCAGTTGTCTTCTAAAAGTTTTGGATTCGGTCGCAATGGTCTTTTATAACGATCGCAAAAATGCAAAACAACACAATGCATTTTGCCATGTCACAAATGAAGCAGAGGTCAGCAAGAGTGACCTTGTTGACTTCCCTTTCAAACAAAGACTGTTTGCTAAGAAGCAGCACATAATTTTGAGTTTGTTTTATGAATGAAATGCCGACAAGAAGAACAAAGAGAACATGTTTTGCTTTCTTCAATCACTTATTTAAAAGTTCCGTAGCTTCTTTCAATTAAGTGTTTAATTCGTGGAAACTTTTTCAAACCAGCTACAAAGAACAACAAACTAATAACAAAAAATCGATTTCGTATTAAACCTAACATGACACTTGCTTATTTGGTTACCAAGGAATATAGAATTAATTTTACATATAGAATTGCTAGGCTGTGGCTTCTATGACACCCTTTTCTTGATAACAAGTTTATGAAAGCATATTGCATCCTTCAAACAGGACTTCAAGCACAATGCAAGCTTTTGAAAGCTTTCGTAATCTCATACCACATTTCGTTTATCAGACATTCCCTTTACTTAGCTACAACTATGCATAGAATAGCAGCAATCTGTTTATATCAATCAATTTATTGTAACTCTAAACATCAAACACAAGAGATCTTTAATTTACATAAAAAAATTGGTTTTCTCTACATTAGTATAAAAGCTTTCCTGTTGTAAGAGATCAAATCGATCCTTGAGTTATATCAGAAGATGCCATATAAATTTTCCTAATGATAGCCTTTGAAATTATGATTGTTGAAACGTGATGTAAAAAAATTTGGTTTTGTTTTAATATTCAAAATCGTGTTTTAATTAGACACATTTGCGAACCCGTCAGAGGTTTGGCAAAGCATGGAGGATGTACAGGAGTCGTTTTCGGGTTAGCGCTCCAGACACTTACATGGCTTTAAACAATCAAGTATAAAATGGATGCCTCGTTGTTCTTTCAGAATGGCTTTTGATTTAGAAAAGCCATACATGATTCAAGCAAGTATAAATGATGGCTTTACCTAAGGGAAAGGATGTCTTCAAACATTGGAAGAGGAACCAATGTGGTAGAGCATTCCTTAAAAGGGAGAGACTTATCAAGGATGCATCTAGGGGGCTTTTGGGGGCATATTTGGTCGGAAGAAGAAATGTTCACAATAAGAAAGTCAGCGCCGCAGACTACCCAGCCTCCTAGCTCGATGTTTATAATCGTCCTGTCATGGAGTTGTTGCTCATTTATAGCATATTTAAACCTATACATTATATTTAAATATTTTTATGTTTTAGAACGATTGTACCTCACTATGTTTTAACATCTCTTTATAGAATCAGCAACAACACCACTGCTCTGGAATCTGCACTATTAAAATTTTTTGGTCATATGTCAATAAAATTTGGTAAATGCTGAATGCAACAAAGTCTAGCCTTTTCTAATACTGTTAATATGTCTACTTTGCCACTGTTTTCATTGCACAAAACTGTTTTAATAGGAACTTCAAGGAGATAGAATGGATTTGTTCTGTTAGAAGTCTCTGTGCAATAATTGCGCTTTCGTTTTAATATTTGATAATGATATAGCCATCATGTTTTGGTTCTAAACAGGAAAAAACATCTTGAATGGAAAAAATATGAAAATCAGGTGTGAAACATAAAATTAAAAAAGGGTAAATTTCAAAAGAAAATCTGCCCATGACTCGATGTCAAAGCACTAAAGAAGATTAGATTGACTGATGAATCTTGAGGCTGTTTGTATATGTTTTTAAGCGTTAGAGAAAAACAAAGTGATGTCCATGGAAACAAATTACATCTATCATAACTTTTCTCTTTCTAAAGGAGAGTTACAACTAGCTAAAGAAGGTCAACTGGTATGACCTAGTGAAGAAATTACACTTTTTCCGAAACAAATTGAAGCCAAAACAAACAAAATTTTCTCGTCAAATTTTTGATGAGAAAAATTTCAAATCTATAAACTGGACAGCTTTGATCTAGTTTCAAGGTTCCGACGAGTGAATTAAATGAATGGGAATTGTAGAGCTGTCTCTTTACTTCGTTTACTAACTGTTCGGTCCATAACATTGTTTCTTTTTCATTCACACTGTTCCATGACACTTTTTCAGCCTACATTTTACCCTCCCCTATTTCATCTACATTAAGCTAGTCAGTCTGTCATTTTTCAAGTTCTTTGGTCAACTTTTGCTTTACTTCCTTTTTATCTACTTTTCTTCGCTCTGTTTTCTGCCCGATTTTCGCTCTGTGTTTTTTCCTCAACTAATTCTAGTTAGTCCGCATTTCGTTTTTCCTGCTTCGTGCATCTTTCATTATACTCTGATGTTGCTAGATTCATTGTTTATTTTAGCAAGAAGCAACATATACCGGTGTCAAATCTACCATAAAACCCTTGAATATCATTAAAATGTTTCTTAATTTACAAATTTATATCATTGATTAATAAGCCTAATACAACTTCAAAGAAATAAGGTAGAAATATATCTTTCTCTTTTGCTGTTCAGTATGTTCAGTTACGTATATCAATATTTTCTTTCGTAGATATTTGTAGTAGTTTTTTCTGGTAGCTGAAGGTTGAACATATGTTAATGCAGAACTCACTCACCTTAGTTTTGGCTGTGGTTGACAGCGTTTGTTTGGCACCAATTGGCATTGACTTGTTCCAGTCAATGCTAGCTCCTTTTAAAGCCGCGTTTCTGGTGGCATTATCTACTAATTATTTTTTGTTTGATGACTCAAGTAAACCATACATTCTTCCTTTGTAGTCTTGCAATGCCACTGCTAATATATAATCAATGAAAGGCTGTGCATGATTGTTGTTGAAAACAACTTTCCCAAGTGCGATTTTTTTTGCCTTACAATTCATTACGTTTGAACCCCAAAGGAGACGTACAGAATTCAATAAAGACTACTATGTCATTCAAGTGGCTGTAAACGGGGGTTAAAGGAACCTCTTGCTAGGCTTGAGGGTAGGAGGTTAAACTAACAAATGAAAGGCAAAACAATTAAAAAAGAAGTCAAAGATTTACTGGTCCTAAAAAAAGCGGACAATGATAAAAGACACTGAGATCTAAGAGCTAGGAGTCCCAATGCGCAACTAGAAGACACTAGGGGTCAAAATACGAAGAATCCCTTTATGTAAAAGTTGATCTTGGTTCAGTGAGGCCTTTCATCATTTTGTACAGCCGCATTCTGTGCAGAACTGCTATTTCGATTCCTTATAGTTGACGTAAGGACCACCACCTATCAATTCTTAGTTGAAAGGATTCCTAATTATAGAGAAACAGAGAGGGGGGGGGGGTAATGTTCGTAACAATTCTTTACTACCGTCACTATTTCAGAGAAACTGCCTCTGAAAAACTTCACAGGAGGGTCTATCGCTTCCCTTATTCAATTCCCCTATCCTCAATTGGTTTTTAAACAGGACCCTATATTCTTTATAGCTGCCAAATCACACTTAGAATCGAGGACTCAAATCTTACACGTACAAAGACATTGTTTAAAATATTCGTCTTTGTTCTCCTTCACTTAGAAGCAGGGAGAAGTTACTGAAACGCGCCATTGTAGAAATATTCTGTTATATTCAATTCGCAGCACCAGAAATTAAAATAAAAAAGCAAACTTGAATTTAGTGATCAAACGCTCTTGAAATACAAATACAGCAAGAATTTGCGAATTGAATTACTAAATTCGTGCAGAATGTTATTCTTCTTTTAACAGTTCAGGATCGTTTTGGATCTGCTGTTCACCTGCTTTCTGTGCCCCTGTAAACACAAAGTCTAGTAAGATGAGCAATTAAGTTCTCATAAACAAACAGAAAAACCTCATCCACATTGCAGAATTATTTTCCCTCTATATTCACTCACTTACTTAGTTGAAGAAACCACACCCGGAACTCCTTGCTAGTGCTGAAACAACAAACTAAATTCCTAATACTCGAAAAAGACTTACTGAAATCTCAAATCTGTTACACAAACTTAGGCCTACTGGCAAGAACTTTGACACTACAAATGCCTACAGTATTAAAGCTGACACTTACGAATTTGAGTGAGTTAATTCTTGCAATCTCTTTCACAAACTAACTTAGCAAAAACTCTCAAACTACTAACGCCTATTAAGAACTCGAGTAACTTACTAAAATCTCGCACACACAGGGCCTGCGCCACTGATTCTTAAGTGGGGGGGGGGAGGGGGCCAAAAAGGGGGTTACCTATTTAATACCTAAAGGGGGATTTGATACCTACAGTTAGCAAGAAAAGTTTGACGTGGGCCCTGACACATAAACTAACTGCCTTTGCAAAAACTTTTAAACCAGTACTGCCCACAGTATAAACTGACATGTAAAACTTTGAATGAATGAATTTTCAATTTCTCTTGGTAACTGCCACATATGTACAAAACTCCATTTGGTGATCGCACAATACTAAAAACATAGAAATTAATACGAAGATATTTCATTGACATGCTTACCAATTCGTGTTAGCTTACTCACATGATCAAAATTGAGTAAAAGAGCCGAAGACACTACAAATATGAAACAGAGCTAACCGCACCATGATGCAAAATCTTTCCATTAATTTGCAAACAAGTTCCAAACAAATAAACAAAGAGAAATAAACAGCTTTACAACTCATTCCTCTTTGCTTTGCTGGTTCCAATAACAGAACTTTGCCGAAATTTATACGCTGTTGTCAAGAGCAACTGACTTTAATCGAGATACTAATTAAGTTGAAAAAGCCGAGTGTCAGACGCGAAAATTTTCGAAAAACATAAGACAAAACATTCGAAATCCATTGCACTGGTTGGTCAAGAATAATTTTAGGCTTTAACAACCAAATCTATCGGGTTATCGAACCTCCTGTTAAAGTTGATGCGATTGTGTAATACGTTCTGCATTCACTTCTTAGCTTAATTTTTCCAAAATAAGTTTTTTTTCAAAATGATTTTTGAAAGATGAGTTAGGAACTCAAGAACAACTTAGAAGAACTAGTTTAAAAATCTTGATTCGACTGGGATTTTAGGTAAATCAAAATAGACCGCAAGTAAATGCAGGATTCGCTAATTTCGAGTTTTGTTCTGCATTTTTCAGCTGTATACACCTAAAACTGATAATTCATTAAAAGTTTAGTATTCTTTTCTGTGAGACCCGGGGTCTGTTTTTCGTAGAACTAAGGAATTTGTGGGTTGATCTTCTCAGCTTACCAAATAAATTTGGAAATTGGATGCCAAGTAATTTATCTATTTCTAGATAAAGACAAAGTCTACAAATCTCATGTATACAAATGACTTACACCACTATGCAGCGAGACACTGTACCATGAGAGATTGCTTTGTGTACAGTGGGAAATTATCTTTGCTGACTCAATTGGTCAAAGCTTTTAAAATCCAGTATAATTTGCAAGTACAACCTTATTGTTGAATAACTATACTCATATTTACTGAATAAGTAACTTTTGAAACTATGTTGTCATTGGTACAAAGTGTCATTTCCTAAAATTTTATTTGATGGAATTTCTTGGCATTTTTTGTGTTTTGTTGCTGAAAAAAATTTGAAAAAAACTGTAAAAGGTACTGAACCAGGTTCATTTCGACTTAATTTGAGGTTTCCCATTCCATAAACATAGGTCATAACAACACTGACTTCAGCCAACTATAATTCAAAATTTAAATTAATACAATGATACTGGCTCATTTTGTCAACTGAAGCTGGCTCATTTCTAACAACTCCATTAACAAACTCATTTTTCTATATTGCTTTCTTGTCAAAAAGCATCTTTGAATTACCTGGACTTACTGTATCCAAAATTCTTAGAGAGTGGATTGCATTAAATTTTATAAACTTTTCAAATAACTTAGTACCTTTCAAACTTTTCAAATTACTTTCAAGTCAAATAACTAATGTTAGCATTTTTGAATTGCATCACAATCAAATTGCAATAGATTAATCTGATCTTAATCTTTGGCAAGTACCCAGAGATTCAAATGCCAGTTGGAGGATATTAATCAGAAAATTAGTAAATGCAGGCTCTATGTACTTTACAGGTTGGAAATAGCCTTAGAACAATAACTGCAATTCATACCCTCTAGTATATAAAGAAGACCCTAAAGAAGAAACAGTGTACAATACCAGGAAGGTAAGACAGAAGGAAAATTACATGTAGTCTTACAATTTATTTTTCATGAGCAACATCAACTACATTTATTGGGCATTTGAGTTTGGTCCCCTTCTTCGTCCAAAGCTTTGGACATAGTTGACAAATCGGGAGTTGTACTGCTGTCTTCTCTTTGCTCTGCCTGTTTTTGGTTTCTTCTTCTCTTGTTTGTCAACCTGAAAAACAACCATTATTACTCAAGGATACTGAAGGACAGTATAATTACATCTTTGAAGTTAGCACGGAGAAGCAGAAAATAGTACCAGGCCTGGCCATTTGAGGGGAGCCATAACTCTTGCTCCCCTCCAGGCTCTCCTCAAACACTGGAGGGGAGCTAGAGATTGCTCTCCTAAATTGTTCTAAAAAGCAAATTTGCTCTCCTTGAAATCAATTTTTCCTTTGTTTTTTATTGTTATAGCTCACCTGAATACTACTAGGAGAGCTGTTTACTGCTCTTACAGCCAGGCCTGTAGTACACTTCAGAAAATTTTAGTTCCAATTTCTCAGAGTAAAAATATGGTATAAAGAATAAAGATAATCAGAAATTCATATTCAGGTTCAGATTAAAAGTAATGCAAAGCATAGAATGATTCATTTGCATCTTGTTTTTGACCAATCAGCAACTGCAATTCTCTCACCTAGTTGAAAAGTCTAAGAGAGAAACAAACATGTTGCCTATGCAGTTAAGCAAATGTATGCCAAAACATTTAGTGATAGCAATTTTAAAATCATTGGGCAAGCACAGTCCTTTAGATGTCTGGAATCTGGAGAATTAAAGCAAAAATCATTAACTCACCACTAATAATATTCACAACTCTTACCTTAGGTGTCTGCCCTTTAACTTTACCAGCACGAGCCAAGGAACCGTGAACCTTACCTAAAAAAGCAACATTTATTTATCATATAAAGCAACATCAATATAAAAGGAAGAAGTCAATTAAGCTCCCACTGCTCAGCAAATGTAAATAAACTTTGCACATTTGCCACCATCCTTTAATCTACTTGACTTCTTGTGAGTACTTTTGCCGTGGTTATAAGAACAGTGGATAGAAACTTTTCAGAAAAACTAACAAAAACCTACTGTTGCAAAATAAACAATTACTATAAATCTGGTCAGTTTTTCAAGAAAATTTTAAACTTCAATATACGCCAAGCAGCCAACAAGTCCCCTCCAACAACTTTTTCCTTTAGTCTCTCTAACCATGTATTTGAGAGACTGTATTGAATTGGATGTCACATAAAAACTGTGAAAAGCGTAATCATCCTTGATTAAAACACTTGATTCACTCCACAACCTTGGGCATTTTTGTTTGTGGCATTAGATTGATGAATGATTAAAATAGTTTTTCTTTATCTGTTTCTTCAAAAAAATGGCCAAACATCTGCATTTTTTCAAATCCATCAAACTTGGTGCTTGGGCCTTCATAAATAAGATTCAAGTTTTTCAACTGAAGACCTTCATTCCCAACAAATTTTGAGGAAGCATTAGTGGAAAAAGTTTTTTCTCATTCATCAAAAGAATAAACATGAGAAACCTAGGCTTAAAAACCACAAATAAAAATATAAAAAAATTCTTGTGAAAAGCTTTGAAGCCTAAAGTATATGTCATGTTTAATTGGAGCAGGGAGAAGGGGTACACAGCAGTATAAACTGTGTGAGCCTCATATCATTTTGTTTCCAAAGGCTGCCCTGGAAAAATTCTTAAAATTTATCAAAACATTTCTTCAAAAGAACAAGGCATAGGTATAACCTGCAAAGGAATAAGAATATTCAATTCTTAATAATGTTGCCGTTTTCTTTTTTGCCTTTAAGTGAAAAATGAAAACTTACTATTATATATCTTGTTCTTTTATTAATGGTTTTGGTTAGCTTTAACAAGTTGAAATGTGATTTTGAACAAAATCAAAAACATCATTTCTCAAGTTACCTTATACAGAGACAACAAATAAAAATGGGGTGCCTGGAATCAGGTTGTTAATGGGGATTTTTCTCTTCACTTTGGAGACAAGAATGAAGCCTGTGGGGGCAAAACCCCCTGCTATTATTATTAGGTAAAACAATGCTCTGGTTTGGATTGTTTTTGAGCTGCTTAAAATTACAAAGAACTAATACAAAAAAGAAATTGACTCTTGGCCAACCCTTCTTTGGAGGTTTGCTAAAATAGACCTCTTAGAGGTTTGTGAAGAATTTTTATTATATAATGCAAAGTTTTGGCAACTTATAGCACACTTTATTATAGCAAATAAAGTTTAATAGCAATAGCTTAAGGCTGGTTTAAAGAAATTTCAGAAAGGTAAAATGAAAGCATCTCACAATGAACTTCGAAAGCTGTTGTCCCCCACACTTAGTATCCCCAGTCCCCACAGTAGTGTTGCAATTGTATTTTGATATGCATTGATACTAGCAAAGGCGCCATCCCCTCCAAAAACAGTTCTGCTAGAGCCAGTAACTTCCTTAACAAAACAGCAATAAGACCCTGTTTACACAGGATCAATCCTTTTGTTTACACAGGAATGCTCTGGATCGATCTGCTATCTGTAACAATTTGGGTTTGCTTTGGAGAGCGTTCCAGTTTGGGATTCTTCCCAAATTGGCACGGATAGGAAATGAAGCTAATGTATTCTCCAGTTTGGGGTGCTTTGAGCACGGTGCTTTGACATTTAGTCCAATGACGGACACTTGGGGGGGGGAATGGTCTTTTGTTCTAAAACAATGGGAAATGTGACATCATCTTATTAAAATAATAGGCTTGCCCCCCCCCAATATTTGACCAAGTGTCAGCTCCTGATTTGGTCATATCTTGCGTGCCCTCTTTGCCCACAAGATGGAAAATACAAAACAAGATGGGGGAAGATATTTATCACAAGTTTATTGATTAACTTAGCAAACAGGCTCCAATTTATTTGACCAAGTGTCAGCCCCTGATTTGGTCATATCTTGCGTGCCCTCTTTGCCCACAAGATGGAAAATACAAAACAAGATGGGGGAAGATATTTATCACAACTTTATTGATTAACTTAGCAAACAGGCTCCAATTTATAATGATACTCCATCATGATATTGAGGAGAATGGCCCCTTTCATCGCTCCCATTCTGTTGCTACCATTCAAATTTGAAGCCATTTTCTTCTCAGCCATCCTATAAATTTGGCAATATTTTCTTTGTGTTGTAGATGGCATAAGCAATACACATGACCATTCTTTTCAAAAGGGCGTAAAAAGCCATGGGACTCAATCCAAGATCGATCCAGTGCAAACACAATATATTTTGGGACTGATCCATTGTAAACGTTTGCAAAATTTGGGGAACAATCCCAAACCATATCAAAACTGGATCGCTCCCATTTTTCATGCGTAAACAGGGTCTAGATTATTTAAACTAGAAAATGAGGGGAATCTCCACATGAATGGAGTACTCTCTTCTCTATCAGTTCATACAAATCCCCTACAAATTTCATTTTTTGTAATATCTAACATTGAGCTTTTTTGTTCTCTTGTTACCTTGTTATAATACGAGTTAAATTTTGTATGTTGAAAGGAAATGTGAATTTACTAGTTGAGTTTAAAAGAATGGATTAAGAAAACGCCCTTTCAAAAGAAAAAATTGATTTATTGACATGTACTTGTTATTTTTCCAAAAACTAGGCCTAGAAGAATGAGGCAAGTTTGTTTTTTTTCAAATGGAGGTCATGTGGAAGTAATCAAAGTTTGTATTTAGAGATAAAAAATCCACTTTAAAAGCCATGAATTAGTTGTATTTAATAAAGCCTACCTCCACGGAGAGCAACGCTGAGAGAAATCGTACTCAGTGCATTGACTCCATTTTCGGCCAAGGTCTGTTCACCGTCGAGAGGATGGCCTCCGAATGTTAAAACTTGCTCATCAGTAGTAACCCCGGTTGTGAATGCCAATATCTCTTTGAGATCAGCTACAGTAGCATTTGGGCATACGTCAAGCGTTGATGTTTCGCGTGCAGCTACAAAGATCTGCATTTTCGGCTTTGAGAGAGTTCGTCAGCTCACTATTTTAGCACGAGGGAAAGAAAGAAGTAGCGCTAAGATGGCGCAAGTAGAGTCCAGGTTGCGCTATGATGGCGCAAACCCGACCCAGGCTTTTTATAGTGATTGTGCGCTTGTGCGGCAATGATTGGGAAGAGAGTTCAAAAAGGTATGACGTCACAAACATTTATTTTTAGAATTTTTGAATTTGGATCCCATAGCCTGAAAGACTATCACGAAATACCTCTAAATGTGCAAAATCAGTCAAATGTTCTACGAACTCTAGTATATGATCAGCTATATAATCACCTTGATAGAAACAAGCATCTGTACATGCATCAGTCGACTTCCGAGGTTTACACTCGGTCGTAACATATTTGCTTAAATCCACTCATGACTGGTACGTTAACATCGATAATAGTAAAGTCAAGGCTGTAATATTCATTGATCTAAAAAAAGCGTGCGACACTGTTGATCATGATATACACTTAGCAATAATGCTTCACTATGGCATCAAAGGCGTGGAACATGATTGGTTCCGTTCCTATTTAAATAATCGAAAGCAGTTCTGCAATATCAATAGTGTCTCCTCTGAAATTCAGACCATAGAAATAGGAGTACCACAGGGTTCATGCCTTGGACCTCTTCTCTTTTTATTGTATATAAATGATCTGTCTTTTGCACTGAAAAGAGCCCATGCTACAATTACAATGTATGCTGATGATACAACCATATGTTACGCCTCTGATAATATCGAGGATCTAAATGCTATTGTCAATGCAGAACTTGCAAGTCTCAATTAATGGCTTCGCGGGCAGATTTGCCAGATGCTTGGAATGGTTGGCGGCCAATTACTTCACACTTGACGGCCAAATTCGGCCAGCCAAACAAAACATACGAAAAAGCTACATTTTGGCTTATTCTATGGAGTAATAGTGTAATCAAAAATTGGCTTTGTTTGTCACAAAAGCTCAAACTTGCTTTCATTTTTAATTTTCTGCTATCTTTTACTTTGTTTTCTGCTTCGTTATTTGCAGTTTTGAGATTTCTTCAACGAAATGATGAACATTGTCTGCGCTAATGTTTCAATTTTTTGTGTATTTTTGTGGCTTTCAACATGCGGCAAAAATTCGGCCAACTTTTGCTTTTTCGGCCAAATTAATTTTTGACGGCCAACAGCTTTGAAAAACGGCCAGAATTGAGAAGTTTGGCCGTTAAAACGGCCAAATTGCAACCCTGTTCGCGGGAATAAACTCTCGTTGAACGTTACTAAAACTCAAGCAATGAAAATTGGCTCAAAAAAAACTAAGCCACATTAAGAAATCATCATCTGTTAATCCAAGTTTCAACGTAGGAAATGAAGATATTGGGCTTGTGAACGAAACTAAATATCTTGTTGGAGCAAACTTAAAATCTTTCAATTGCAGTATCTCAACCGATTTTAGACATATTTGACCAATTTTGCATAGTTGGAAGTATTTCATGGTGATCTTTATGCTTTGTGGTTAAATTTAAAAAATTCTAAAAATAAGTTTTTGGTGACGTCGACACATCAGAAACACAGATCAAAGAATCAACAACAAATGGATTAGCCTCCGTTTCAAAGCGAGGTGTGGATACGTAGTCCAAGATGGCGGTAAGTAACAACACTTCCTAGAGAATATTTAGCATCAATATGACTACTTTGTGTTTAATTTATTTCGATAAAACTCCAACAAAGTAATATCTTTAGTATGATATATTCTTTAAAAGATACCGTTTAACTTTATAACTTTTGAACTCGGGATTCGCCTAAATATATGGCCGACTCTATCTATTTTGAAACAGTTTCTTTCCGCTCACATTATTTCATGTAAGCGGGAAAGGAACTGTCTCCCGGTTTTCTTTTTTCCAAACTTTCTATTTTAACTCATTTTGGTACAGCAATCGAGGACGAGAAATAAAAAAAGTTTTGATTTTTATCGCTGATTAGTAATCGTATTTCTAAACAGATATCATATGATATGAGACCGACACCGACCAATTTCTAACCTGAACAGTTATCATAGCCAAAAACGTAGCTTCAAGCTTTCATTTGCAAACAGATCATTCAGTGTCATGGGAACACGACTGTAGAATGATGACATTCCTAATGAAGGAAAACAGTGCAGTGATATTGAAACATTTAAGAAAAGTTTAAGACATTTCTTTTTAATTAGTTTTAAATGAACATTCTAGGTTTTAGAGACTTTTAGGAACTGCACTTGAAGATGTTGCGTCAAAACTGCGCTATATTAAGTGAATTATTTGTATTTGTATCACAAATACTGATTGCTGTTGGTTATGACTATCCAATTTTTGAATATCTTATTGAAATCAATAAAAGTGATGCTGCAAAAGATACATATTGTTTGCCATGTCCTTCTCACTGGTCTGTAAAGAAGACTGGATGGAGCCTTCTGTTGTCTTGAAACGCCAATGTTTGAAGCCCTCTTAATTTCAAAAGGAAGAGGGCTCAAAACAATAGCAGAAAGTTATACTTCAAAAACCACTTCTTGAATGATACGCAAGAGCTGCAATACTGTGTGTATGAGTGCTAAAAAAGAAAAAGGCCAAAGCAGCTGAAAACATTGCTTGGAATGAGAGTGAAGGCTCTCAGCTCGCATTGGCTGTTCTAGGGCCCTGTTCTTGTTTGATGACACTCACTCTTTTCAAAATAGAAGCTCAATTGGGTCTTTTTTTATAGATCAATTGTCCTTCTGCTTTAAAAAAGCTGTGCATGTGTTTGATGATGTCATAGTCTTAATTTAAACCCGTTGTAGGAAAAATTGCAAACCAATAGCCACTACCAATGATGCCCTTGATCTCAGGTATTTTCATTGCATTTTTTCTCTATTTTAGGTGAAGCAAGCTACCAAAGGACAAAAACAAATAGATAAGGAAAATGCTGAAAGTTTGAGATTCTATCGGCATATTGTTTTATTGGCACTAGTAAGTACATTCCATTGAGAGCTTAACCATTGCCATGTTGAAGAATGTATCAACCTGTTAAATTCCTTTTTGTTAAATGAATGTTTTCTCCCCTTTTATGTGATTACTATTGTTCCTCCACTTTCAAAGCAAAAGACTTCGTATATCAGTGTAAATATTGATGAACACATTGAGAAAGATTTTCAATAAAATTTTTATATTTAAACAATTTTGAGACGATTAATTTTATTATTGACTGCTATATTTTAAGTATTTATTTTGAAGGCCTGTTATATTTATTTGGAAAATTATTTTATGATACTAGTTAATTGAATAAATTTACACCATACTAGATATTTGCACAGAAATGCTTCAAACAAACATGTTGTTCAACTAAATAACTCAAATCAAATATAATGAAAATTACTGTTTACCAGGTTGTCACAAAGTGCTCGATGTTGTATAGTCATTGGGCATATAGTACAGGCATTTGGTGTAAAGAACAGGACAATGCTGAAATTTCTATTTCTACAAATCTATTTGTGATGTCATTATAGCAGAAAATTAGGTCTGTGTTGCTTTCATATGTTTATAATGTTTGGTTATGTTCCAGGCAATGTATGCATTAATACGCTTTTTGGTTCTTGGAAATTCTGTTTATTGGGCACACTATGTAAGTATAAGATTGATATTAATTGTAATTCAGAGAGTTGTGAGAAAAACACAACATATATCTCAATCTGAAACATTGAATAAAAATATGATTGAAGTAACATGAAGTTTTTGTGATTATAATTATACCTTAATACAGGCCTTGCCCGGAAAGGCGCTTGATCAAGCAGGTGCCTAGAGCGCACCTAAAAAAGTCTTGGAGAAAAAACAATATTACCACAGAGCAAAATTAATTTTTGACATTTGCTGAATTAACTTGATCAAGCATAAACAATCTTCCCAACAGACCGCAATATTATGATTTGCGTAAGATTCATTCACCTCTTGAAAAACATTCACCTTAATCTAATAACCCTCTCTAATACCCACCAAGGACACAGGCCATCAAGCACATTCTCCGACAGCTTTACTTGAATTTTGAGCAGGCGTTAATATTCTGTTGAAGTATTATTTTCTGTTTTTTCTTAATAACTTAAAATCACCTGTGCAAATCAGCAATCACATTTCCGTCCAAATTGTTGCATTGCTGTTCAGCTTTCATTTGCTTTTATCAGTAGAAGATGTTCTCGCATGTCTTATAGAATGGATAACATGAAAAAGGAAACAAAGTTAAATGTTGGACTTAAAGCCATGCGTTTTGACAAAGCAATATGTGAAGCTGAACATAACTCTACCAAAGCTAATCCTGGGCTGAATACAAATAGGAATAATAATATGGAATGTTAATCACAAAAATCTGCAGATATCTAAAACAGTAGTCTTTGTAACCCCGTGAAAAATGTCTTTTGTGGTATAGTTAGGATTCCAGTTTCTGTAATATATTATGCAAAAACCAGTCACAAAATTTGATTGTTTATGTTTCCTTATAATATTTGGGGGTGCAAGATATAGAGGCTGCATCCCTCCTGCCAAAGAGAAATTTATTTTTATTTAATTTCATGCCCATTCTGGCAATTTTATCTCAATGAAGCAGCAATATTAAGGGCCCATGCTAAGAGCCCCCTCCCTTAAATGTTTAGCCTCCGCTATTTTCATGGTAATATTTGTGATTATGATTTAAATATCATCATAACTTAAATATCATAACAGTTCAGAATTTAAATGCAATCTCTTTATTTTGATAGCTAGCTTGTAATTTATGTAATAATCTGCCAAAATTTTTTCTTACAATGAAAATGAAATCAAGTCATGTTACCAGACAACATGGTATAAACATCACAACTTGACTTTTGATAAAGAATGAGCAGAAATTTTTAATCAGCTTTGTTTTTTCGCTTTTGTCTATAAGCGATGAAGCTCTGTACAACTCTGTGGAAATATTCTTAAAAACTATTAAGATATAATAAGAACATAATTGTTTTCAAACCAATTATTTTGCTTTGCAGTTGATGCTGATTTCATTTTCACTTGCTCACCTTGGTTCATATCAATTCATGAGTAGCATGGCATCTAAAGGTATTGACCTCAATGTCCAATCAGGGATGGCTGAGCATGCTAAAGATGTTATTCTGCTAACAGTTATTATTCAGGCACTTACACTTGTATCTGGATACTTCCTATTACTATGGCTATTGGTGAGCATCTAATGTATTTAACATACTTTTTCATTTAGAGTAGAGAGTAATATGTTCTCAACAACATTTATTTACTTGAAGTGATGAGAAAATTTTCAAGAATGAAATTTATAATTTTTCAAAAAAACATGTACCCATTAACCTCAAAGCACTTTCTCATTTTTTAATTAAGCTTGCTTTCAAAGGGTCCCTAAAATCTATTTTAGACAATAAAGTAGTTTTTTGGCATGTACAGCTATTTTCCATTAATATTTCAATTGTTTTAATCAAAAAAGAAGTATATTTATGTCATTACGTAACCATTCAATTAAATTATTGCCAATCCAACCTTAGGTACTTTCAGGATAAAATTTACATTACATTGATTAACAATCAAATCTGAAAAAGATTGTGATAATCAAATAATTGAATGTGAGTTAATTGTTGTTCATTGTTTTCTAGATACCTGGATATGCCTTCTATTTGCTTTGGGTAAATTTTCTTGGACCTTGGTTTTTTGCTGCCCCACCAGAGGTTGATGAAAAACAGATGAAAAAAATGGACAGAAAAGCTAAGAGACAATTTGCTTACAAATAGATCTAATCTAAATTATATTGCTAAGTTTTTGTGTAATAAAGGTGTTATAAATAGACCATATGTATTGGATGAAAAACCATACAAAATTTGTTTTACCACTACACTGGTTCGCTAGAAGGGGGCTGTGGGGTTTTCATCCTCAAATAATTCCAAAAAGCACTCTAAACATCCACTGAATTAATTTTGCCCTTTGTTCTTAGCTTTTGAAAATTGTTAACCCCCTCTCTCTCTCCAGTTTGTTGTTGAGCTATTGTCCCTGCCCCAACATCAAAATGACAGCAATTTATAAGCCTGGGGAGTAATCTCCAGCTTCTTTGGGTAAGGAAAATTTAGAATAAAGGTTGTGTATATTAAGCTAGACTTGATTTGTAGTAATTTTGAAGCATTTTGTAGCTATTAAGCTATATTGCTATTGACATTGATAGTTTTGGTGTCAAACTGTTTGGGTAATAGTTTTCAGTCACTTTGTATTTGCCCCTGTCAAGGAGGGTTCAGTTTTATGTTAGGCAAAGTTGTATGTTGCTGTTCTTTTTTTTTCTTTATTCTTTTCAACTATCTTACCCAAGGCAACCAATCTCATATTCAGGGGTTTTATTTGTGATTTTCCAGTGTTAATTATTTTCACTTAGTTTTTATCCAACAATTATGATTACTGTCTTATGATAATAAAATCAAAGTATTTATGTTAATTTCATCAGTTTCTTTTTAAACTGTTGTGTCTACTTGAAGTCAAAGATAATATTCCAATAATTTCTGGGCAATTTTTTTGAGTGGCCAAGTGTTGTGGTTGTTTGCTTATTGTCTTTTTGATTAAATATTTATATAGATACATTTATGGACAGTTGTGTTTGTGCTTGTTTATAATGAGCGTGGAATGAGTTTTTGTGACATTCAAGGATAGTTTATTGCATCCATGTATCCAGTTACTGCATGTAATTGTTCATAGTTTTAATCAGCTGAGTCAAATCATTGGATTGATGAAACAGACTGGTATTATCAGGATATGACTAATGTATCTAGGCTGGTATTATCAGCATAAATAGTAAAAGTGGAATCTTGGATGATTGGTAAAGATGAGGAAAAGTAAGGACTAGGGCATGACCACTGCGGAACCCCAAACATCTAAATCAACACCTTTACCCCCACGAATCTGTTTATGATTGGATATGTATGACTTAAATAGTTTTGTAAGACATTTCTTGTTGCTGAATGGCAATAATTCAAGCTTTTTAAAGAGAATTCCATGGTCGACCCTGTCAAATGCCCATTTGGGTTCTTTTTAAGTATAAGGCAAAGCAAGCTTCACATAGTAGATATATTTTGACAACCCCAAAAGTATTTGCTGTCTTAACTTTGGCAACAGCATTCCATATATTTTTCAACTCGAATGTTTTGAAGTTAAACTTAGCCTTATCTCTGTTAACTTCATAGTCACCTGGTAGAAGGAGAATTAAGGGCAAGTTATATTTTTCTGCTGGTTCCCCACTGATAGTGCAATAGAAGTTTTTCATTGGGTTAGAAATTTTCTTTTTCGCAAAGTTTTTGTACCAATTTCATTGAGAAAGGCGATGTTATCGATGAAAATTGATGTTTGACTTTGATCCTTTCGTGCTACCTTTACATGCATTGTTCCCAATTGATATAATGCAGCTTCTTCAACTGAAAATGACCTTTACTTTATTACAGATCTTTTTTATTCGCATTCATAAATGTCGGGGAGACGAAATTCTTCTAATATTTGTGGCAACCCTCCGTCTTGGAGCGAAAGAGCATGTGTAATCATGATCAGTTGAATGCGCAAGCTCTCTGTCTCAAGGACGAAGGGTTGCCTCACTCTTTATTTCATTTCATTTCAAATGTTTAAAAAAAATTATCTTGCTCGTAACAAAATAAGGCCTTGAAGAAGTAAACTCCACACAGAGAGAGAAAATCCCAGCGGGGGTCCCTTATAGTCTGTCATAAACGGTTAAAGACTCATTGCTAACAATGAGCCATTGCGCTACGTAAGCATCCCATAATGCATTTTAAGACTGTCTAAAATCAATTACTGCCATTGTTTGGACCGTCGCCACGCTCGCAAAGGCCCATTGTTAGCAATGAGTCTTTAAGTCGACTTTTTTTGTCTATGATCTGGCCGGCCTCCTTCTCGCCAAGTATGGTGCGCACACGAAAAAAAGCGATGACAACGGCAAAATTACACGAGGAAGCCTGAACAAAGGTTCAGAATACAGAAAGCTGTTATTCATAATTTTATTAACTAGTCCTTCTGTTCTAAGTATTTTTTTATAGGCATGATTACTAATGTTTGGGTTGTTAATGCGTGGAACCGAGATGCTACTACTCAAAGAACAGTGTTGCCTGAAAAGTTTCTTATACATAAAAATCATCCTCATAAAGAAAGTCAAAACCAAACTTCTTATGTTTTTTTATTGATTTAAAATCATAAGCAAAGAATGAATTATTAGCTAAACAACAAAACTTATTAAACAAAACAAACTCTCTTCAACACATTGATATCTAGAATTCAAATAAAGTTTTTTGTTGTTATTTTCTTATATTACTTCTTTTAAAGCTAACTTTTTCTAAGAATACTTTTATAATATTATTTTCCAGCCTCGACATTCTCAAGAAATTTTCGTTTTGAACCTGAATATGTTCTTCAAGTATAATTACTTTTTCAAATCTGATATTGTTTCCGTCCTCAAATAGAAACGTTTTTTGAAAAAATTAGATATGTCATTCATGCGATTCTTTGGTATGGTGTCTCTTTTTTTTTAAATTTCACGATACATGTTACTGATCAATCTACCTACAATTATTTTACAACACTACGATGATGCTCCAAATGGGGAGCAAAAGACTGTGACTACCCCATGGCATTACATGCGCAGTGCTTGCAAAGCATGTGACTGGAGCTTGAAATGACTTGAAATGGCTTGAAATGATTCTTGGATCAAGCGAACGGTTAATTCAAGTATGTCTTTATTCAGGTCATTTAGAAAGGTTTTGAAAATCATATAATAAAGAGTGCATTAAAGGATCGCTTGAGAGATTGTTAATTTCAATCAGGCACGTAAATAATAGGGGGCGTGGGGGGCGTAACGCCCCCCCAAAGTTTGGAAAATCCAGTTACAGTTAGAAAACGTAACGGTTGACTTGGAATTTTTTTCTTAAGACCAAACTTGTGAATTTTATATTTTAAGAAGTTTTTTTATTTTAAATATAAAAATTCTAAACATTAAAATTCACAGGCTGAAGCTGACCCAGCCAATCGTTTTCTATTGTGAATCCCGTCTCCACTGGATCCAAATTGCACACTTGCCCCGTTTTCTTTTTCTTTCTTTCTGACGGGAGTTGAATCAAATTACGAACAGGCAAGGTGAACTTACGGATAAGAAACTTGAAACTTACAGTTTGGAATAATAATACCCGCATTGATCAGAAAATATTAGAGTGGGAATTTTTTTAGAAACTACGAGTAGTTAATTCAATAAAAGATTAAGAATCTTTCAGTACTAAAAATTCTCAACGCTTCTTATAAAAAACGAGTTTATGCTAAACTCCCCCTGTTATTTGTTAATGTCCTTGAGTCCTTATCATAAATTCCTATGACAAAACTGCTGTGGAGCAAGAACACATTGCAAAAACTGCAGTAGAAGTATTTGATCAAAGAAGAGTATTTCATCTTTCGAATCAGGCATATGCACAAGTTTGTTCTCAAATCATCATTTCAATTGTAAAGAATGAAAAGGCATTTGGCCCTCTGAAAAGTTTAAAGGTAGTTTTCTTCGATCAAGAACGAAAATAAAAGGCCCAAATTCTTGGTGCTTCTATATCGTGAAAAATGTATTTTAGATAAAATTGATCAATTGATCTGAAAGAATACTACTAATCATTAAGTATATCTAATACTGGTTTTGCTTAAATGTTGCTTTACTTCTTACAGTATGTTTAATGTTTGTTTCATGTTAATCAAAATTTAGAGATTTAGGCTTTTATGCTTTAGGCTAATTATTGAGTAAAGATTTGGTAATTATAAAGAAAATAGAACTATGGTGCTCGGGCTATTTACAAATATCAATTTGGTAGGTACAACAGATCTACTGGTCGAATGAAAAATTTATCACTTGAAGTTGGAATTTTCATACTTCCACGCCCCCCCAAAATTAGCAACTTGTTTTCGTCCCTGATTTCAATTGGTGTCTCCTTTGCTTATACCATACAATTTGCTTATATCAAGCATTTTCAGTGGTGAAGTCGAACTAATTTTAAGGGATTTAATTTTGAATGAATGAAAGGGCTCTCCTTGCATTGTAAAAAATGCGAGGGTTGATGTCAAAGAATCATTTTGTGATGTTTCTGTTTAATCTGTCAACAGGGGTTTCAGTTGTGATGGAGGAAGAAGTGATGACATGATGCACCATTGTTAGTTTCTGAGGAAAGTAAAATTGATTAAAATAAAACAAAATCTTTGAATCTTGAAGACTTTCGGCTTGCATTGAATCTTTGGTCAAATAATGATGATCGTGCTTTGTGCAACGAAAAAATAGAACAAAAATATTACGACTATGTCATTGAATTCAGTGCAGATATACTGGCGATTATTACAGTGATTTCGAAAAATCACTTGATGTGCTACCGCAATGGAAATATTAAACGTCCGGGCGTTTATTGAACCATTTGCTTTTAGAAGGGGCGATTATCGGAGAGGAGCGTTTATTAGAGAGGGGCTCTTATTGAAGACGTATTTTTGCAAGATAAAATCATTGTTTTCAGTCAGTCCACACCCACTCTGAAAAGTACAAAATCTATTCAATTGCTCAAAATCATTCTCGCCTTTATTTGAATCCATTTCATTTGATAAATTCCTATCCACATAGAAATCTGATATTACAAATGGATCCTCGTTCTCTTTTCCATCACAAAATGTGACCGTTCTTTATCACAAGATGGCACGGCTAATTTCCCTCTTTCCAATATTATATTTCTTCATCACCTGAGCCATGGCAATGTCAACAATGGCAATGCACAACATCGAAACGATTTTATGATGATGTCTTTTTCGACATTGCTCAAAAAGACGACATAAAACAAGAAATTGCTCCATTTCTGGAATATTTTTAAAATAGTCCTGGGCGTTTTTTAACCAAAATTTCGTATCACGATTGGCATTTATTGGAGATCGGCGTCTATAAGAGAGAGGGCAGTTAATATATAAAATACGGTATTTTTAATTAAAGTTTGCTTATATATAGCCACAATACCTACATTGAAAAGATTTTATTCAGATGCACACAGTTGTCTTTTTCATCAAAATATGCATGAGCGTTGCCTACCTGATTCAAACACTTTCAAATAAATCGTTTAATGAGTATAATAATAATCCAGTATTGATTACAATAGAAAAACGGGCTACAACAGCAAATTTCCTATTGAATCTGTTGAAGGCGTCATTGTCCAACTTTTGTGCATGAATTTTTCAAAACATCATTCTTTTACTCTTTCAAGTACTCATACATAACAATAAGATTCTCTCCATGCTTGCAAGAAAGTAAACAAAATCTGGGTCTAAAGTTAGTTGAAATTCTCAAAATGTAAATAAAAATTAAATCAACGAGCAAGAAAAAATACGGCTAATCTAGATAAAACATGAATATAAAACAATCCGAATACGGTCACCTTGTTCCATTCCATGATACATGATTGATCTAAATTAACTCTGGTTATATTCTCTATAAATGCTGATTGAATAGCTGTGACAGTAAGCGGAGTGTGACTGTAAATAGGGCAATATTGGACAGTTTTGAGCATTTGGGTCTAAATTTCATGTGACTGTACCCCACGGTGTGAAATTCTTAAAGATGGAACTTTCTCGATTTTACAATCAAGGAATCTTCAAAAAAAGGTCTATGTATACTAGCAACTGAAGTTTCTGTTAGAGTTAGGGTCTTTTCACAATGCTTAAACCCGCGATTTGATGCTTGAGATGGTAGCAGCAGACTTAGAAAATGTAGGACGAATACTTGACGGGCCTTCTTCTGTAGAAATTTCCCTTTTGCAACAAATTGTTGATCTTAAAATTGTCATGAAAGTATGTCTTGCTCTTGGTTGCAAGAATACATATATTATGGGATCGACGAGAAGATTAGCTCTATGACAAATAGAAAGATACATTGACAACAAATGCAGTTGATCTTTTTGAAAGTGATAAATTAGAAATGTTGCTATATTCGGGAAAATTTCAAGCAAGACAAAAGCCGCCAGCATACAGAACACCATCCAAAAAAGTTTGTGGTTGTCATTCTTTTGGGACGCCCTGTTTCGTTTTAACTTAGCTTTTATCACACGCAAACATATTGTGGTGTACGTCGAGACGAAGAAAATCATAAATATGCCATCCAAAACTAGCCATATTAGCAACGTTTCTCGTCATTGCGTCCGATACAAAGATGACACATAAAATGCTGTTGACAGTGCCAAGAAACCAAATTGAGGCCATAGCTCTGAGAATGTTTTTCTTTGTAAGAATTATCTTGTACCTAAATGGAAAATTAATACCAATGAATCGATCGATGTTCAGCAGAAACATAAAAAGGACCCATGTGATGTATAAAGTGCTGACGGAAATCCAAAGCCGATTTTTTATGTCCTCGTCATTATTGTTAAGGTACAGTACCGCTGTGTCCAATACAAGCCACGCAACTGAGCAGACAATGTCAGATATGCTTAGATTCTTGATGATCAGAATTTGATTTGAGTTTCGAACGTCTGTTTTTGATAATACGTAAATTCCAACTGCATTAAAGATGATCGACAGCGCCGATGCACTAGTACATATGATGTAAATAGACAATGTTTCATCTGCCATATTGAATCATTTACCTTTCCACCAGAAATTGGGTCTTTCGCTTTGAGAAATCCTATAATCTCAACCTTCTGAATTCAATTGCTACAAACCATCTCAATAGTACACGGGTGATCTCTATGTACATGTCCAATGTTTCTTTCTATGTTCTAAGTAGTATTTAATATCCTCTACATTGCAGCTGCATTGGTGTGATATTTTCTTTCGGTTCTTGAATTTAAGCTGTTCGGTAGTGCGGGCATGTATTTATGTAATTGAATCCACCTGTTACATGAATCACAAAAAGTGAATATATAACCAAAACGATTGAAAAAGGATCGAGGTGTTTCTTCTGATTTATTTCAATTTAATAATGTTTACTGAGAGAAAGCGTGAGTTATACGAACAGAGAACGACTGTGCCACGTCGTTGCTCTACCGAATGAGCTAGCCGATGTTTTAAAATCAAAATCCCAAACTATACCAGGAGCACCATACCGTCGCAACTGAGTACAGTCGGGGTACACTCATTGATTTTGTTTCTATTTCGATCATTACGTCTGTCAAGTTAAGTTAACAAGTCATCTCTCAAGATTTGCTTTTTTGTCACAGATGCGGTGGCAAGCTTATAGAAAGGCAGCTGGGATATGCCTTTCAACGTGATTTCATCCTTAAGTCAAATTATCGAAAAACATTGATTCTACAGTTTATTGCAAAAATGTATTACATTTTTAAATTCTTAAATTTGAAATTGAATCCTTCGAATCATGATCCAAAATGGCAACTGAGAACACGATTAATCTTCTAGATATTTTTCTTCTTATACTTCTTATTCATGCCAAATCTTGTTCTTCTCTTAGATTAATTTCTTCCTTCTTTGTAAACGGGTTGACAGCCTGGAAAATCAGAAGAAATGGGGAAAGCTTTAGAACTAGAGCAACCAAGCTCCAGTCGGTCTGAATCTTGAAATTAGGGACATGCTCTCATTTGCCAGTAGCAAACATTAAACATATCCTTAAATTGTCATCTTTGTCCCCTTTCATTTCACAAAGGCGCCTTTGACGTGCGAAGGTAGGTGACCAAAGCCTCGGTATTTAGACACAGTGGTTCAGTTCTTACAAAATGTCATTCCAAATAGTTAATCAACCTTTTTGATTAAATATCAAGAAACTTTATAAACAAGACAGCTTTCTTGCTCTTTGAACTCTTTTGCCCTTTCCCAATCCCATCCTTTCCCTTTTCCTTTCCCGAACCCTTCTTCGTATTCAAAATAAAAAAGTTCTTCGTAAGTGAACCTAGAAGTCCTGAACACAAACAGAAATTCCTCCTTATTCACTGATATAAAGTAGTGTCCCACATATAAGAAACATAAATTTAAGAAACACAGACTCTGATTTTCAACACAATATCCCATCTCATAAGAAACTGGTCAGGTCTGAAAAGCCTGTTTCTTACTCTAAAAACTAAATATATATTTACAAATTTGAAAAACATAACCAAAAACGTTGATAAGATAGTGTATATACAGTGCTCTTTGTCAGATTCAAATGATATGTTTTGAATAACAATCAGAGGTCTTGTCTGAGTAGTTAAGCGAAAGTACATGATATTACTAATAAGAAACCGTACTCTGTTTTGAAGTTGATCTCATTTTATAAAAATCAAGTCAGATCTGGAATTCCTACGTTACCTGTTTACCATTTACTTAGCAAAATATTTGTGTTAATTTACTCCAGAGGTCTTTCATTTCAATCTACAAACAGAAGAACCTATCTTGGTGACTTTCTTGCTTCTCCTCACCATTCAAAATTTATAAAATATTGTACTATTTCAATGCCAACCTTCTTTCAATGCCGGTCTCGATTGTTCGACTCAACGAGCCCTGTAAATGAATTCAGCAGTCCAATGAACCTGCAAAAACCTGATCGTACCTTGAAACCTGAAAATTTTATACTGACCGATAATAGTGATATCTTTGATTGTAACTATTCATACATAAAAATTAAAATTTAAGTTTAAAAGAAGTAAAGTTTCGCCAATGTCCAATTCCAAATGTTCGTTCTTTTTACAAATGGCCTGTATGATCCAACAGCATAATTTCATCTTGCATAGTCAACACCCCGGCAATCTCCCTCTCCAAATCTTCATACTTTCCCACTTTCTTGCTTTCTTTGTCAAGAACTTCTATGTCACAAGGTATTTCCTAACATTGTTGGCAATAGTAGGCTTAAAAGGGATGGTTAAGATCAGGCCACTCCTGGATTTGAAGAAAGTATTGTGGATATATCAGCAATCTAAATGCACAAAGATGGTGGAAATATTTCAATTGAAAATACCAAGTTATAGCCTGATGCTATGTGAAACAAAGTGAAACACCTCCCCCCCCAAATATCTTCAAACTGACCTAGCTATTGACTGTGACAGCTGAAACCAGAAGGATAAAAACAAGAAGATGCAAACAAGTTTGACTTTTAAAGCTGCTATAAATTAATCAATATAAATTAATTTGGTCATTTTTGAAAATAACATTTGCTGGCAAAAATTTTGCAAATTATTAAACACTTAGTGCCACTATGAGAAGAGTGTAGTTATAGAAATAGATCTTCTTTTAAAACGGTTATATGTGATCCAAATAATTTTGCTTTTGTAGCAACTTGCTTCTTTCTCAAAAGTTTACAGTAGTTTCTATCGAGCATCCAGGACGACGGTGTGTTCAGTTGCTAGAGGGCATGGCGCTAGTGGGCATGGCTACAAATTTTTCTGGTGCATTCTTTCCAAACAACCCCCCGCCTTCCATTTTGCTCCGCGGAATTGTTATCGATATCACTTTTTCATTGCAATGTTTTTCATTCTCTAAGGATGATTTAATATTTCTCAAGACAAATGGTGAATATTTTTGCTTTTGGTTGTTAGTGGAACTTCAAGAATCCTCCCGAGTACTTTTATCTCATGCCAGGTCTTCTGCATCCTTTTATTTCCTTCTCAATGCCTGATTTTGCGAGAATGGTAGGATAATCCTCAACTTCTTATAGGCAACTCTATATGTGACCTCTGAGAAAGAGGGCTTAAACATTGATCTTAAATCTATCTTCAAGTCAAACATAGTTCATTTTTGCAAAACCGAAATGTCTGGAAGTCTATTGCTTTGAATTAAAGATGATTTTCATTTCTTAAAAGCATTTTCTTGGCTTTTATTTTTCCAGTGAGCTCTTGGCGTACCTAGCTCTTTCGTTTTTTAGAAGAATCTCTTTGAAAAGGCTGTCTTACCAATTACCGGTCTTAAAAACTCTATGCTCGTGTGCTTGCTCCGGGTAGCCCGGCTTGTGCAATCAATCACTGGACCTCTTACATCAGATTTGGATCAGAGTTTATACAGTTGTCTCGATAAGAGAGTTGTTTTTATCGAAAACTCGGTCTAAAAGAAGCATTTAGGATACCAAGTATTTCGAGGTCTCTTTATGCAAAGATATTTCATATTCGCAAAATCCTAAAGATATGCAAAATGACTTCTAGCTATCAAATAGCTTTTAAGATGCACGGTTACATTGCAGTGAAATTCAATAAGCCCAGATCTGGTGCCAAGGCAGATGTTGGGTTGAGTCTCAAAACAGAGGTTGTAGCCTACTTCCCTGATTCGGTGATCAACAAAAAAGTAATTGCTATCGAGACGCATTGAAGCTTCAATTCAAAACTAAGTGTCATAGTACTTTTGCTAGTACCGTCCTAGTACTGTTTATGAATAAAAAATTAGTCCAGGATTGGAGCAATAAAGTAACCCGAAATAATGCCATCTAATTTGATTAGATCTTGCAACTGAATGGACTACATAGTTAGATAAAAAAACCGACTGTCTTTTCGAAGCTTCATGAAGCTCAGGTCATTATATAGCCAGATCTTTGCTTTCTTCGCAATGCTTCTTGTGCATCTCTTGTGCTTTCCAAATTACTAAAATAAAATTCAGAAAGTAAGTTACCAATATTTAAAAGTACAACATCTACAGGAGCAATACAGTGAACGTCAAATTTAAGCGTTGCTTTGAAGACTTGAGTGATGCCTTTATATAAATATTCAAAACATAAATAAACTGAACCGGCCCTCAAAATAAAAATTAAATGAAATAAATCCAGTGAATATGTTATCGCAAAAGACATTACACTCACCAAATTTGAGAGAAATAGCAAAATTCAAAACCAAATCATATCAGCCTGCTGATGCATTCAAAATACTAGTTCACGTGACAAAAATGTTGGCAAAATTTGTTTACCTTCATTTTTTTTCTGGTTCGGGTCCATCTGGTTTTGGGTTTTCGTATGACTGTGGGCCTGCTATTGTTTTAGCTCCAGCTTCGACCTTTTTGGTAAGCTCCTTGCTGCTATCGCCATCCATTTCTAACTTTTATACCTATGACAAGAATATGGAATATACTTCCGAAATAAAGAGCATATCTGCCATTGCCATAAGTTAACAAAGGCAGAAAAAGAACGAATTCTGATTTTGACAGAAGGTTGCTCCGGCCTGTTGTCTTATGCAAAATAAGGATCGATAAATTTATGTTAGAATAACATCAATACTTTTTCAGGCAACTTTTCAATGTTGCCTTTGGACATAAAAAGCTTGCCAAACAAGTTATCTAAACCGCCCAGTCTACATATACATAGGCTATGAAATATTCCCGGTGGTACTTCAAAGATAAAAACTTTATTAAAAATAGCTACCAGCAAAGCCCAAAATTGATGTTTCAACATAATCTGAAGTGAAGAGAAAAGGGAAAAATAAAACACAAGTTAACATAAAAACTTACCGATGACACAAATTAAGCCAAAATCACAACGGCCTTTCTTTTGCGATCTGAAGTCCAAATTGGTACACACCACTCCTTATAAGCAATATGCGACCGGGAATTCCCTTCAAACAACGAACAGGCGAAGGTAATTTCCAGCAGCGCAATGCAGAAGACAATACATAACGCATGCGCGAAGACAAATATCCTCCTTCACAGATTCCTTAAACATCAAACTGATTCTTCTAGTTGACATTACGTATATTTCAGAGCAAGCGGAAATTCCCTTCGACCAAAGAACTGCCTCTTTCTGGCTAGAAAAAACAATGTAGACACCTTTGGGTTCAAAGAGAGGTGAAAAATAGGGGGGTAGATGTTTTGGTTCAAAAATCAAACTTAATTTCCTCTGCGTGGCAATCAAAGAAAGTTCTAGAAAACCTAGATAATGATTAACTGTCGCAGAAAGGAAACATCGAAAAATGCGTTGTAAGTCCAAGCAAAATACAAATGTGTACCAATACCAGAAACAGATTCGCAAGACCTACTTTTTCTGAGAAGCAGTGTTTCAAAAATCATCCAATAATGGCAGAAAGCAGAGTCACTCGGGGGGAGCAACTAGCTTTTAAAGACTTGCTTAGCGGAGGAGATAATTTCCCCCTTCCGTCAGCACCAGATATAAAAAGAGGCAACAAGCGAATTTTCTACGCGGATATCGCAATATATGAAACACATCGAAAGTACAGTATTCACTGTTAAAAGAAGCTCTCACTATGATGCAAAATAATGAAGATTTGTATCCTTCTGGGCCTGAAGATGACGGTAAGCAAAGTTAAGAATTATTAATCACAATACTGAATAGTTAAAAACGACAGTTAAAGAAAACTGTATCTTTGAAGGTCCTCCGCCACTTTGTCTTAGTCTATTTTTTGCACAGAAACATTTTTAGATAGCGCTAAATGTTCGATTTTATGTTACGCGCCAACCTGCGCGGCATTTACGGAAATACCGCCGATCGAAAAGACAAAAGCATTTTAGAACGATTTTGGTACATTTTCAGAGACAGATAAGGGTCGATTATCAAATTTTAGGATGAATTTACTGCAATAAACATTGAAATAAGCCATCTCATGTTTTGCGATTTAAAAAACATATTGAATCAAGTCCGCCGGATGACGATGAAGCGGTAATGGTTGCATGCGAAAAGCAGCTAGGTTGTACCAAACTTGATTTAAGACGATTAAGCTAAGTTACAAATTGGGAACTTAGAATTTGAAACTAAACTGACACTTTCAAAACATTAAATAAAGCTGAAATTCATGAAATCGTTCAAAAACCAGTTTTAAAACACTACGTAAAACTGGGCCATCTCAGGGAGAAAGCGTAGGGAATTCCCCTTTGACAAAATCAGGCGGGCGAGCTACCGGTTGAACTTTGAGTTGATTTGAACATCATTGAATACAGCATTAAAATGATACAAAAGAAATACAGCATTGAATGCCAATGATTTAATGAATTTCTCCTTGTAACGTTTACATATATCAGCTTAAATGACAAATAGATAGTCAAGAGAAAAATTCTTCTGTAGTATTAGACTTCCCTGTAGGAAAATAAGAAAATTACCTTGAATAGAAAAATAACTGCATATCTTTTCTATCTTTCACACAAACCAGCTTTAGAAAAGCTAGACTGCGTTCAATCTAGAATGGAATGAAAATGCATCAAAAGTTTTTCCATCACGAAATTTGACAATTCATTATATCTTACAACTACAAAGTCACAAAATTTGGTACTGTCGAGTTAAGCAATTTTTTGTTGAGGACATTATCCTACCGTTTATTATCCTAAAGTACATTAACCTACTGAGTTTGATAGTTTGCTACCAACATAGTTAAAGAGCCACGTAGGTCTGGAGGCCTTGGTTTTGAAATGTGAGGCAACAAATATGGCAACAAAGCAAAGGGAATTTCCCTTGGCATCTTTTATAAACTGGCCAAAATTCCCATGGCCAAACATTGGACAAACTCCTTCGCAGATATACAAACGGAAAACTGTACTTTTTAAGCAAAATTCTTCAGGTTATCCAAGCAAGGATTTTCGACGAGTTTCCTTTGCCTATTTTCAAATTCACTAACATCGTTTTCTTCAAACTAAGAGTTGAGTCTACATTCCAGAATTTTTCAAGAACCAGGACTGAGCTGAGTAGTATAAATTAAGGTTTTCATTTCATAAGAATAAGAAACCTAGCAACTAATAATAGCAATACTCACGCTGTGATTTTTAACCAAAAATCAAGATTCTTTCACAATTTTCCATTCAAAGGAACTACATTAAAGAAATTTACATAACCAGACAACTTCTAAAAACTTCCAGAGATTAACACTAAAAAGCGATGACTGCACTTGTAGACAAAAGCTCTTTTACCAAAACTATCAACAAACGTTTCTCGTAAATTTGTGAGATATGAGTTGCATATATTGGCCCATGTATGTTAGTATTCATATACTATACTAGTAAATGTTCTATAAATCATGATTGATTATGCAAATCTAGCGTTAAATCTCAGTAGCATTTGCTTCAGTAAGGTTTTCTCTGTTGCGTTTGGTTTTAAGAATTTCAAAAAACATTTTAAGGATGAAGATACGAAGTTACCTTTTCAAGTAATTAGAATCTAACAAGTCAAGGTAATAACTAAATTAAACATCAGTTGTTTCTCAAAAGATATATCGATTTCCTTCCATGCAATTCCAAAGTGGATGAAAAGTTTTACTGTTAAACAATCATTGTGCATCAAATTAAAACAAGTTTGCCAGAGAGTCTTAAAGTTCAAGAATCATTGGCATTAGCAAAAGTCTGCATTCAGAAGTCAAGTTTCCAAGGAACTTTTCCAAGGCATAGTGGTTGACTATGGGGAATAAAGTTACCCATAAATAAAATGCAGCAGCGTTTGGAAATAACACTGTGTCAACTTTTCACAAAACTAGATAAAGGTACATACTCATATCTGTCTTAGGCCATCCCAATCATGTCTGCCTTGATGGAAATCACTCCCCACCATTGGTTTATCCGAGTGGCAGTAGGACGCAAAACTACTGTCAACACAAGACAGGTAGCAGTCTGTAAAAATAAGAAGATTCTAAGGGAGGCTTATACAAAAAGTCCGTTGATTCTTTCTAGGCTACTGGCCCCTTGTGGCACAAGTTGCAAATTGCCGATTGGCTCCTTTTGCAAAATGTGAGAATGGTTAGGGCTAACAATGTTTTGGTTCAGCGATTATCTTACTTGAAATTAGGACAAAGCTTTTCAAGCCATGTCTTACAGATGATACAGTAAGGATTTCAATGCGTGACTCTTGGCATCATGGAAAGCAGGAACTTTTCTTCGTTGTTTTGTACATGCCTTTTGAGCAAGCACATGAAGAGGTTTTAGTAGTTCTATTTCAATAATGGGCGGAAGTGATCATGTGATCGAAATGAGGAGAATGATTAAATAACTTAATACATGAGAAATCAAAGAAACAAACTTAAGATCTGAATCATATAAGTCGACCTTTGGATAAGGACACAGGGATCAACATACGGGGTTTTAACGGATTCGGATGTTTTTTTAGATTGCAAATTAGTTTTATCAGAATCGAAAAAATTGTGCCAAATCTTCAAATATTCATTCAACTCATATTAAACTATTTATATAAAAATCCTTTCAGCTTACAAACGTGAAGCTAAAAGAGAAAGTAAATACCAATTTTTGCAGGCATTTGTAATAAAATCCTCAACGATAGCAGATGTTAACGTACAGTTTGTGTCGTCAGCATACATATTAGATCTAGAGAACTTGAAATATTATTCAAATCAATTCAGGTAGACAATAAATAGAAGTGGTCCTAAGCATGAGGCTTGGAGTACACAACATGTTACCATTTCTATGCCAGGACGTTTCCTATTTTAGGGGAGGGGGTGTTCTATCTTAAATCGAGATACCGCAGTAGTTAAACGTTAGAACTTCCAAATACAATTTTTATGGTTGTGATTCTTTTTTAACACTCATGACATATAATTATTTATCTTAATAATTATTTGTGTTAGCCAGCATAAGTTTTGTTTTGGTTATTTGGCAAAATAATTAATGGCCCATCCTAGATTCTTATTTAATCTTTGTGGCTCACTAGCAAAATCAGGATGTCTTTCATCACCCTATACATTTTTTTCATTTTATCATAATAATATCTAAATAGTTATTGGTGTTAGCCAGCATTGGCTAAAATTATAGGCTCCCAGTGCATAGGAACTTTGGGGCTAAACCCTTCCTTTTGGATATAAAGAGGGGGCTTTGCCACCACATGCAGCTTTCTGAAGCAAAACAGATTTTTGGTAAACACAAAACAGCAGTATATTTTCTGTTTGAGAAACTGCATATCCAGAAAGATGCATTTCGAGATGCGATTTTCTATTTGAGGGAACTTTTTGATCTATCTCTGAATATTGATGGCGAGCCATAATCGGAATAATTTTGCTATCATCTCTCTCTCTCTTAACTTCTTTCGCTTTACCTTTCTTTTCTCTTTTCTATTACTCAGGTAATGATACTCAGGTAATTCTTAATGATATTATGATCTAATGATTGCCGATTAGCATTGTGTTTTATTTTTTTAAAGCTACGAAGGCAAAGGAGAAAACCGAACAACTTTTTAGGGTCATACAAAGTTTAAAAGATTTAGGCCCATTTTTAAAATACAAAATATAAAACTGCCGCCTGCCCGATATTTTTAGTGCCTTTCTAATGAGAATCAACTAATTTATTTTTTATCGCCTAAAACAGTTGAAAGCAATTCTGTGTTGTTTATGCTTAAAACATTTTTCGACGATCTTGAAGAACCCCAGGCAAATCTATTGTGAGAAAGATTTTAACCACCTTACAAAATGTCGTATAAAGCCCATTTTGGCTTTCGATTGTCAGAGAAAGGACGTTTCTTTGAACGATAAAAGGGCGCGGGTCTAAAAATTTGTTTACATCTTCGACCCAAACTGTTGCACCATCGGAGCTTTTCCCCAGGGCCTATCCCGCGTGGTGGCAGCCTAACGAAGATGTTTATATGCATTCCACTTTTAAGGAGAGTTTCTTTGTTACATTCTAAGCTGTGTCTCAATATTTCATTACTCTGGGGTTATTCAAGGATTGCAAGTACTAACTACCTTTTTTTAAAATATGAAACTGAATGTTTTGGGATTTCATTTGAAAATTTCTGCCATTCGGAAGTTATTTCAACCCCCTGGGACAATAAGAACAAAGGGACAATGGGGTGGTAAAATGCAGGAAATGGATTTGGTTTTGAAGCAAAAAATGATTTTTTATGTGTTAGGCCAGAAAGAAAATTATCACCATTTTTCAAGTGGATTATCCTCATCCCTCTTCTTTTTGGTATAACGTTTGGTATAAAAAGGTATAACAAACAATTTAAACTGGTATATATCAACACAAAATTACAATAAAAATAGATCATTTTTTGAATATATGTCATCCTGTCGTTAGCTGCATATATCAAAATTTCTTATGAGTTAGCTTTCACGAGAAAGAATTATTGTTTTTCCAGTCCCATTCGGGCAAGGATTACAACGTCCGCAAAGACAACAAAGACGACAACAACATCAAAATGGTTGGCATCATCAAAAACATGATGGATATCAACAGAAAGGTAACCGAATACTTACGAAATCTTTTCAAGAAATTTGCATTTCTACATTTATTTAATGTTTTATCGAAAACACAAAACAATTACTGATAAATAATTTCAGAATTATTGTTACTTCGTTGGTGTTATATAAACAACGGGCGAATCATTAGATCTGCAAACCTTTTTGTTGCAAATCTTCAAAAGCAAAACTAATGCTGGCTAACACCAATAATTATTAAGATATTATCATGATTAAATGAAAAAAATGTATAGGGTGATGAAAGACATCCTGATTTTGCTAGTGAGCCACAAAGATTAAATAAGAATCTAGGATGGGCCATTAATTAATTTGGCAAATTTTTTTGGAAAATCGTCCACCCCCATATAGTAGAATTCAACCCAATAATTTAGAATCCTGTGTTATGTTAACTCTATTCAAAAAGTTAAAAATACACAAATTTAAGCTTTTTGGTTGCTGTTGTCTATGCCATTTTCAGTCTTTCGCTAAACTTTTGCGTAAGAACAGAGAGCAAAAATGTTCTTCACCTCCCGGAGTAGGATCTTTTCCTTACGTGTTGTTATGTGTTGTAAATAAAAAACTGGGGAAGGTCGGATTATTTAATTTTCATGAATTAAGGCATTACTAAATATAAGATTTTTTAATTTTCCATAAATCTAAGACGGGCGGGACTTTTATATGAAAATATAAAATATCAAAAAAATCAAGGCGGCACCAAAATATGATACGGGCGCTGATGAGAATCAACTAATTAATTTTATTTGGCCTTAATGTTTAATTTCGGGCCTTTTAGGTCCTTACGGGAGAAAGTCTTCCATGGAATGATGCATTATCGTTGAAAAGTAAGAAAAACACCTTGATTTTGAGCAAGGGACACTTTTTGGGCCCGGGCCCAATGAAACTGCCCCTGCTGACCCCCTGTCGATGCTACTGCATCTCGGTAGTGAAGTTAGACAAGATTTTCGATATGCAATACAACCAAACCATCAAGGGTTAATTGAAAGAAACAAAGGAGGTCCTAAAAATGTGACAGGTTATCGACAAGGCACAAGACAAAGTAGTACCGTCAACTGAAATCTCAAGTTTATATGTTGTTGGGGAAAACAATTACAAATGAAAAATCTTTGACTGGGGCACTTAACCACCCCTTTGTCACCATAGGACAAAGAACAAACATAGGGCAAACATAAAAGCAAATTAGATTCTAGGCCTGAAGATGACTCTCTAAATCACATCAACGATCAACGGAACAAAATTTTGTTTGCACCTATCGATTAAGCACCTGTGCGAAGTGCCATAAACTACTAAAAACTTTATAAATAACCTCCACTACGCTAATTAAAGATGCAGCAGACTTTATTTGGATGAAACTAGCAATGGTTGCAACTCGTCGCTAAAGTATGTTATTTTTCCAGATATCAGAAATTCGCACACAAATTTTTATGGTAGGTTAAAAATTATAGGCCTCGCTCCGTCACCTAAGGTTTTTCGATGATATTGGAAAAATAGTTCCATAATGCTCAACACAATCCTTCTTGTTCGAAACATCAGTGTTTTTATGACCTCGCGTAATAAAGAACTACGTCTAAAGTTCGAATCAAAGTTCGCTATGTTCCGATACAACCCTTACGAAATCTGAATAATTTAGTTGATAAGGTGAAACGTCAATATTTATGAAGCTGGACTTTAAAACAACACAAAGAATCAACATAAAAAGGCAATTCTTACATTTCATTCTCATGAAATCTGTTTAGGCCTAAATACCAAGAAGCATTTCAGGCGACTGCTTGGCTAGTATTGACAAAGTCAAAAAAGATAAGAATGACAAAGAAGTTTAGCTCAAATAATTGCTTTAAAATTATTTGTGTTTTCTAATCATTTAGGAAGAGTTTGATTCTAAACGTTGAAGAAAGCTGTTAGATTTGTTTGACTTCTTTCTAGATGAGAGCATTTTGTTTCAATAGAGCAATAGAGCTTCCTTTTGAAGTTCACGGTTATCAAGCATTGTATGCTACTTAAAGAAAGCATACATTTCGATTTATTGAAAACGGATTAAAGAGTTGGATACAGACGGAATTAAAATTGGCAGGTAGCTTGAGAGAACACGTTTTTTTAAAAAATTAGGCTAAAAATTAGAAGTAAATTTCAACAAACATGGCAAGCTTTTTATTGTCGCTAGAATGGCGGACCCTACCCCATAAATAAAGATCCACAAAAGCATGCAAAACATCAAAATACTGGTGGCCTTTACATTTATAGCTTAGTCTTCGTAGATTACGAAGCTTGACATACCGAATCTTTTGCAGCTAGAATGACCGAAACACATGCAGCGCAAAAAAGAATCTTTTGAAAAACAATACACTAAATGTGCCTTCTCGTATTTTAAAAGAATATTTTTGATTACCTGATTTTCCAATTCAAAGGAACTTTCGACGAAAGCATCAGATATTGTACAATTTGTGTATTTCTTCCACATCTTCAGTGTTATTTTGATAATGTGACCTGGAAAAATAGAGATTGTTACAGGAAATGCAAAAATGGAAATCATATTGCCTTAAACTGAGAAGGACTTAGTGGAAGTCTTGAACAGATTCTGTCCCTAAAAAATGGCAAAAGCAAGCTTTTGAGCTTCTGCTGCATTTCACGAATAGTCAACAAGAAACTTTACTGACAATGATCATTAAGTTACACGCTACCAATTTTCCCTAACATGACCAAAATTTCACTTAGAGTGGGGGGAATCACTAGTTCTCTGCAATTCTAGGCATAGGAGTCACAAAGTGTGGTCACATCAAAAGGAACGACCAGGACACTGCTCAGCTTTTCAGTGTCCTAAAAACTACCTTCGGATGCTAGGTGGAAAAAATACAAATACAAAACTGAAAGGAGCAACAGCTAGAAGATTAGAAGATGAATACTGAAGATGTCTGATATGAATATAGGAAATAAAAACTGGGAAGGGATATTTTGAAGTAAAATTAAGACACAACGGAAATACAACAAAAGGAAGAGAAGAAGCAATCAGAACCACAATTGTTCACAACTCAAAATTCCTGTCTCTTGGGTAGCTAATACCTGTCCCTTGGTAACTGTCGAGTTGTTGCTTGAATCAGACATAAAAAGTCGAACCTGAAGCCAACACATGGCCTGACCTGGATTGTGTTCTGACAACATTTTCTTCTATGAGGTTTCCTGTGGGTGCCCTATACAATTCATCATCCATAATCAAGGCTGCTAATGTGACATATTATAAATATGAATACCATTTTGCACAAAACTTGAGAAAGGGGTCTCAACATTCTAAAAGACAAGGGAACGATGATTCATTGCATAGTTTGTGGCACATTTCGGGAATCATTGGGGTCTAAGCTCACTAAGCTACCCGTTAACATGTTGCTGAGACACAACCAAAGGGCAAGAAATTGCAGAATTTTAATAGAAGAGGAAGGTGCCTCGCCTGTTTTTGAAAAGTCAAATATGAAATTGTAGAAAGGGCGTGTGCCAACATGTTTAGGTTGTTTAAAGGTTAAGTCAAGGCTACCACCAAAGTTAGGCGGCAAGATAAAGTTTACAAATATTACATTCAAGGGGTGGCCAGAAAACCTTTTCCTGTACCCCGACCCTGTGCCATAAAAAATAGAAAAGTGCAAGGTTATCAATAATAAAATATAATTTTACATTAAATAAATCAAATGAAACAAGAAGAAAAATATAAATAAATAAAAAGTATGGTTCAACAATATAACATATAAACATAAGAACAGACTTATGAACAAGAATAGTAAAAAATATAATAATAAGTTAAAGTAGGTTAAAAGTAGGGTGAAGTAAACAACAAAAATATTGGTTCTATCCGCTTTGCTTTTTGATATTCCACCTTGCATAATATGTATAAATAAGAGTCCAAGGAAGCTTCAAGGGAAGATTGTCAAGATAAAATATTTTCTTGTCACATCTTGATTGGCTAGTTAACAGAGATCAACATAAAGTGGAAAGAGGTTCAGAAGGATAAAAAATGAAGCAACTTTAGTAGAAGGACAGAACAGAGTTGTCAAAAGAAGACCTTGTTTTGGCATGGACAACTCTCTGCACTAGATGAGATAAAGAAGGGAGATGAAGAAGAAACACAAGAATACCAATATAAGATACATACCCTGAAAAACAGGGCTGTCAAGAGGGGGGCAGAGGGGCCAAATTGCCCAGGGTCTCAAAGTCTAGGGGACCTCATAAAGCAATGTATACCATCTAAAGAATGGAATTAATCAAATGTTGTAGAAGTATTGCCTAAAAATAGCAAAACCTTTTTAAAAATTGCAAGAAAATGACTTCTATAAATATTCCGAAATGTGATCTTAGCTAGTCTAACAGGCCTGGTCATGAAAATTTCCTGCCCACCACACTAGCAGGGGCCCTCACCTTTCAGTCTTCCCTTGGGGCCCCAAAAATCTCTCAGTGGTCCTGCTGAAAAATGCAAGATAATAATTAGCATGTGAATACTCTAAAGGTAGGACTTGAATAAATTCTTTTTAAAAATCTGATCATTTTCAAAGGTAGCTATTCTATCATACACTTTCTGCAACAAATTCCAACTAAAAAATCAATGAAGTAAAGGATGTTAGTATATTCCTTATGGCGCTTTTATGGTAAGGCGAGTTGAACCATTTACTTTAAACACATTTTAAAATAATCTTTCTAGTTCAATCTTTCCAGAAAACAAAAGGTCTAGAATAGGCAACGTTATTCTCTGAAGAAAATTTTTTATATTTGTAGTTAAACAATTATACTTTTTTATATCATGTCCCAGTTTTTGCTGCCCAGTTCAAATGGTGATATTCTTTAGTGAATGTGAATGTATGATGTTTTTGCTTTTTACATAACTTCTTGACAGATTGCTTTCAGAACAGCTTGAACCTGTTCTTTTTTATCAACTCTAAGACCAGCAAAGCCATCTCTTGATTTCAGTGTGAATTTATCTCAAATAGGAAACCCTAACTCTGTCAACATATAAAGAAAAGAATTTGAATTCTAGGAGTTGAGGTATTCGTGAGAAACCTTGACGGCAGATCACGACACTATACAATTATCTCTTCCACAACAACTGATGACCTGGCAGAACTTTTTAAAGGTAAGAATAAATTTAAAAACCAATAAGTTATTATCAGTGGCGTAGCGTGACCACAGAACTAGGCATGCGGTAACATATCATACAAGTTTATGTTGAATGTAAAAAATCACATTTTCAGCTTTTTATAGATACAAGCGGTAACTAAAGGTAATCGCGATTATAAATTTTGATTTTGAAAATATGCTTGGGTTTGAGAACCCTGTGATACTTCATGCTCATTTTCTTCTAGAAAATAGCTGGCATGGCCAGCAAAATAATTTATGTAAGTGCCCCACCCTGTAAGCCATCATACTGGTCAAGAAAGGCACCATCTATATGTAAGAATTTCAAAGCAAGATCACATAGAAAAGGATTTTGTGGGACATTTTTGATGCCCTACATTGCAAAATTGTTAACTCACAGGCAGGCCTGTAGACACTTGGGGCAGGGGGGTTATGCCCCCAATAATTTGCAAAAATTGTGTTTGACGATCTTATAAGCGCAGCTTGATCTGACAGTATTTCATAAGGCAGGTATAGAAAAAACTATATTTCTATCCATGCCCTCCCAATCCAGTTAGACTGTCTATGGGCCTGCTCATAGAAGAGCCCAAACGGACAGGAGCACAAGTTTCTGCTAATTTTGTACCCTCATAGTTGACAAAAATAAAAATACTGAGATGTTAGAGTTGTTAGAATTGAAGATGATTCCTTGTGTAAAGTTTCAGAATGTCAGTCTCAGCTAATCATCAAGTATTTGGGCAAGGCTTGCACTCAGATCTACAGCATGCTCTGGTCCATAAATTCTGACTATACTGGCAAGCCCTTTGACTTAAATTACGATATGGGGATCATGACAAATAGACTATGACGGAAAGACTAGACTTCAACAGTCACAAAAGCAACAAAAGAAGAGTAATTAGATTTGAAACTATGTATCATGCAAAGAATATTTGCAAAAAGTAGCTTGTAGGCAGAAAAATGTTGAGGATTATCAAATATTTGGGAATGCTTGCGCTCAGGCCCACGCAAGCTCCAGTCCGTTAAATTCTAACTTCTCTCAGAAGCTGCACATGAGCAGCACTAAAGCTGCTCTGGAGTATCGCATGTCCATTTCTATCATCGATGAGGACAGTAGACAGGCAAAAAGAGTTCACTGCATGCTGTTCATGCTCAGAAAGAGAGGCCATTTATTGCGGAATATATTATACAATGATTTTAACACTGCAACCTATTTATTACCGGTAAAAATGTTGCAAGAATTTTGAAATGTGTCTAGAACTTTTTACGCTTTGACGCTACACCACTGGTTATTATGTCACACCAATTAAAATTTCTGACAGCCAAATCCTGCATCTAAACATTACCAAAAGATGCTGCTTATCAAATGCTTTCTTCACTATTGGATTTGATGTGAATAGCAAAGATTTGATAAACAACAACATAGCTATCCCCACAGAGGTTTGTTTAATCATCACATGAGAGGGAGACAACCAAAAAGTCACGAAAAGGAGTATATCTTTTATGAAGACATTTAAGAATCAAAAAACAATCTTCAAATGAGCACTTTGGAATTTTATAACAGACAAAGGTACATGGCATTGAAACAACAGATATGATTAAGAACAGACAAAAAATAATTCTTGAGAAAACCTTGACTGAAAATAGTTTAAAACATTTTCGTCAAGGTTTCTCACAAGAACTGTTTATCTCAAAAAATATAATGGTGCTATTTATTCCTAATATCTTAGCACATGTATAGAATGAAAAAAAATAATCGTATGCCAAAAAAAAGAGTGACATTTGCTATCAATTTTGTTTTAGTGCCACCTGGTCAAGTCTACTTTGTTTATCAAGGGACTCGATTGACCAATGCTACTCTGCATAAGGTCCCCCGAGGCAAGTATACATAAATGCTACAAAGCAGGAAAAAAATAAAAAATTCTAAATCGCAAATCTACAATAACAAAATGGCTTTGTTGGTGAAAACTTTACACTTGCATTTAACTGATTTCAAAAATCATCATCAATCAACCACTTCTTTTTCTGAGCAAATTGAAAATTTCAAATCGAAATGGCTAGCCAGATAAAACTTTTAAAGGAATTCAATTATTTATATTTCATGAGTCTCTTTCTTTATCATTTGCTTGATAGATAAAATTTTACTTCTTTGTTCATCTATTGTTCACATTCTCTTTTTTAAATTTTCAGGTGGTACAATTCACATGATAGGAAGACTGAGAGGAGGGTAAATATATATTTTGCAGCAAATAGAAAATGATATATTTGTAATACCCTCAGTCCTGGTAACATCAGGCGTGCGATCGCACGCGCACGCCTCCACACACGCCTAGAACTCCCGATGCATGCTTTCTATTGCACGCGCAGTTCCATGTTTTGAATTACTATTCTTTTTCTCTTTTGTTTCTTTTAATTTCTTTTGTGTGGGTTATATTGATGGCATTCCTGGAGGCATTTTAACTCTTTACTTCGTTTTCATTAGGCCCGGTTTCCATTACTCCGTTATGCTGTTACTCCGTTATTGTATGTCTCCGTTCTCTCTCTCTGTTCTTTTCTTATTTTCTTGAACACATTGCCCCGGGCCGCTCTGTTTTGGTCAAAATGATAACGTGGCTGTTTCAATTAATCCATATTTGCCCATTATCATATCCTTAGCTCAAGCTCTTTTTGCAACTGAGATTGAATGACTCCGTTTTGAATGCATCTGTCTTCGCTGTTCCCAATAAAACGAAGCGTATTCAAATGATTCCGTTTTCGGATGAGTCCACTTTGAACAGCATTTTTGAATATATTCGGTTTGGTATCAAATGACACCGTTTTTGTGCGTATTAATGAAACTCAAATTCGAAAACAGAATCACTCGAATCTGTTCTCATACGGAAATGGAGTAATGGCAACAGAGCCTAAAAAACTTGTATCCTTTTTGCTAAATTATTTTGTTTTCAAGAAACTTCTTCTAAAATTCCATAAAACCTTTTTGGTTTTACGAAAACCTCATACGCTCTCTCAAGCAGTGATACACACATTCTAATACAAAGATGTCACCAGGTCTTCATAAAAATCGTAAGGTCTCCATTTTATTGATCGCACGTCATCGCACGCCATCGCACGCCTAAACTTTTCAAGGCGTGCAATTACCAGCACGCCGCCAAATTTCATATTACCAGGACTGTACCCTGCTTAGAATCTATAGAAATCCAATCAAAATACAGAATTCATTAATGATTTCATGCAGTATTAAGATCTTTTCTGGCTTGCTTTCTTTATTTTTCATTCCTCTGCCTTCTTTTTTGGACATCTAAATTAACGGCACAACATACAATTATGTATAATATGACCCCCTGTTTATTTACGCATGTGTATATGTGTGTATACAATGCAATGGCAGTGATATCAACACAGAACTGAGGCTTTTGCATACTCTATTAAAGTTGTATTTTTAGAACCTACTATCCATTGGCAGCTGGTGGTTTTACTAGAATCATTAGTCTAACAACAATTTTTCCAGCAAAAATGAAATGCTTCTCCATTATCCTTACATGCAATTTGTTTGAAAAAATAATATGCTTCTCCCATGAAAACTTAAGTCTGATTACTCATGATTCAAAATATAATTGACCATTATTGACTATTATTTGATGATGCCTAAGAAAATAGAGATAGGGATTTTCTCTATGGATTCAGCATGAATGAACACCATAAAAAGACACAAATAAATAGTTCTTTTTAATTTGCTGCAGCTACATGGCCATATGCATTAAATACTTTTCAGAGAAATTTTACAGCATGGCCTTCCCTGTAGAAGGTATTATTTGTTTTCCATTCCTAGCAGAACAGCTCAGAAAGTCATTGTGCTTCATTTATGTCACCGCTAGTAACCAGGACCTTGTTCTATTCACAGTTGCTCTTAAACATAACCCCAAGCTCAAAATGAACCTAAACCACTAGTGCTTGATACTTTCATACTTTTGACTTAGTCATGATGAGGCTACAGTGAATCAGTGGGTATGGAGGCATTATTGCGTTAGTACAATCAAACCACACATAAAAAATTCGAAATTTTTCCACTAGAAGATTTTTTCCTGATTTGTTAGTTCCATTCTGAAATTCATGCCACTATTAGTGATGATCTAAAAAAATTATCTTTAGTAAATAGTTCAATTACACCTCTAGCAAATGGGTGGGGTTTAGCTTTGTGACTTGTAAGGGCATGGTCAATGTGATATTTTCAGCTAATAGGAGTTCTAAACGAGAGCCAGTCCCCCCCCCCCCCCTCCCACAAATATCCTAGGATCACCACTCCACTGTCAATTGTCATGCCTGGACACTTTCATGACATCACTGAATAGCTGACTACAAATACTCACTGCAAATTGAGAATGTAGCCAAGTCTGATATGAATACGATTTATATTGCTTCGGATACATATCAATAATGCTCAATCATTAGCATTTATATTGGTTAATTCAAAAATTAGTTCTATCAAATTTTCGTTCCATTTCAGGTGAAAGATGAAGAGGAAAACTGGACACTTATGAGAGCATATTAGATTAGCACAACAATATATTTTATTGCTCTAGCACTTCTATTAGTTTCTCTAGCACCTCATTGCTAAATGGAAATAGATTGCATGATTCATTGATATTTAGATATCAATATTTAGTTGTATATCAGTCTCACCGTTTCAGTTTGAATAACGAATGCTCCTTTAACTATAGCTTGTCATGTCTTTCAATACAATTCTTCCTTTGTTAACTTTCAGGAATGCATGTAGCAATGCATCATAGCCAATGCAAATGTGCTATCTTCATAGATCCATCCTCTACGCCATACTTTCAGATTCGGGGATGATCTGGCTTAGGTAACCGGCTTACCCATAGAGACGGACTACCCCTGTCACTCAATAGCTAGCCTCACAGTCATGCTTTCTCGTATTGAAAAGGAGTTTGGCAAAGGGAAAGCCCAGTTGCATACTGAATTTGCTAATAATCCCAGTTATAAACATTACAGAAAATTGAACAGCAAAACAAGAAAAAAAGACAAATACAACTCTATTCAATTCTCTGAGCATGAAATTAATAAGTTGACAAACAAGAAATGTAAGGTTTTTATTCTGAACTGCAGTCCAAAAATACATTTTGGGGGCGTTATCAAAGCTTGATATGCATTTTATCTCATAACTATTTATTTCATCTCATAATTATTGTGTATTTATCTATAAATGCACAATCCCGCAGCTATGCGACTGTACAATCAATACAGGGGTGGTGCTAGAGACAAACATGCAAGGTACCGACGTTTATATTCAACCTAACTGCCGACGAAAATTGTATCAAATTGCCGACAGAAAAATAAAAGAAAGATAACACGCATTTAAGCGATGCGCATATCAAACTAGAACGTTTTTTCGACAGTTTTCCTCCTGTAAGAAACTTAATCTCCCAATATAGCCTACACTCTTTTCCTATAAGAATATTGTTTATAAGAATATTCAGGCACAGAATCATCCATGTTTTGATAATATTATAAGAATACTACTCAGCCTCAGATCACGTATTTGTGTCTCATTGTTCAGCAGTTGCCTGTTATGCTATGACAGAGTATTGCATGACTGAGATATTTCAGTTTTTCAAAAAGCATGATTTCTATTTCAGGGCAGCTATTTTCTTTAAAACCTTTGAATTTTTAATAACTATTTTCCCCTGAAGAATTATCACCTTTCAAAAGAAATAACAATACTTAAAGTATATTAGGCTCAAAACAAAAATTTGTCAAGAATATCAGGGTTGAAAAAAAGTTATGATATTCTTAAAAAACGAGTGTATTGTCTAATAATTCTGTTATTTCTAATTCACAAATTAAATGGAAAAAAAGCATTTCTTGAAAAGAAAGAAATTCAAAAGTTGATCGATATGTTCGTTTAGGGAGATTTTTTTCAAAAATTGTAACGCAAGAGAATGTGCTTGTGAATGAATGTTTTAATGGCAATAATACTGTCTCTAACTAAAATGATTAAGGCATACTTTTGTTACCTTTGCTTAATTCAATTTATGAAATAGAATTCATTACTTTATGAGGCTTCCCCTTATGGTGGTCCCGATTCCAAGCATCAATCAAGAGTCACGCATTCTGCTCTTCATGTACTTTTTACAATGCGCTAACTAGAGCGACATGCCGATAAGCTGTAAAGAAGCCGAAAACAATTCAGAAAGAAAAATCATAAACCAGCCACTAAAATTTCCATGTCGCTGTTAGATGTCATTCCGACCTTCTCTAAACTGGATGAAGTGTATCGAGTGCCGACGGTATTGGGAAAGCCAAAATAAATTAGCTGCCGACTGGGGGCTAACTAAAATGTTGGGGGGCTTAAGCCCTCTTGACCATCCTTGCCGCCACTTTTGATCAATAAACTTCAGAGAAGCAAGTTGTTTGACAAAATTAAAAGTTTTAACAGCCATTACTCTTTGCTTTTATGCCAAGCCATATTCTGTTATGTTCTGTTATTTTTACAAAGTTTTGAAAGCTTCTTCCGATGGTATTATCCGATTTGAAGAATTCAAAAGTCGAAATTTCGCAGACCATACATTTTGCATGCTTCCGAAAACGTAACTTTCGGTCACTCGCCAAAATGTTTCCAAAGCTAGAATTATCAGTGGTTTTTACTTCGTTTAGGCAAGTTGCTAGTTGGTTATGCAAATTCAATGCCTAAAGAGACAATGAAAAAGACAGTAAACAATGTTGGTGTACATTATATCATTCTAAACTTCAGTCATCACCTTAACATTGAAGTTCACAAATATACTTGATACTAATAAACTATAATTTATGCTTAAAGACAATTAAATACTGGCTCTATCCTAACAGAAGCGAAAGGAATACCTTTGAACGGTCAGCAATCTAAGTTCAAAAACGAGTATCGTAGATAAGAGCCTGTCACACAAAATAAACAGATGACTGCTTCACTCAGGGACAGTTTGACGTTCCATACGATATTACATAGATGTTTCTGCTTTTTTTTATGTGAGAAATAAGTTACACTACACATCTTTTAGAACACTGTCATTACTCGCAGTTATTGATGTAGCGAGCAGAAGGGGGTGTAGGAGGATTGGTAAATCTTCAGTTTATCCATCAAATCCTTAATTGGTCGGTAAAATCACCTATCGTTACCTGATATAGCACCTAAATCTTTCTTTCTCTGTTGTCTTTGTCGGTAAATTGTAATCTTGATGACCCCCCACAACCCCCCCTCTATATTATTGAAGGTCAGGCTACGCCATTACTCACGGCACACATCTAAGTATTGAAAAAAGGGTACGTCTTGCTTGCGGTTGAAGAAACACGTAGATAAGAGGATCAACAAGAAGATTAAATCTGTAGCAAAGAGAAACATTAACTAGCCAATCATTTAAGTTGCTTGTCTGTAAATGAAAAACGGCAATTAATGCCGCATCTGGGACAACTTCAAACAATACGAAACTCATTAGCATGCAAAACACCATACGATAAAGTTTCTGATTGTTACTCATTTGCCCTGACTTGGTATGCTGTATCTTACCTCCAACTACTCGAAAACATATTGATGAATATGTCATTATAAAGAGAATTATGAACAATGAATCCAGAATCAACCAAACCAGAAATATATGGCTTTTGAACACGTCTGAAAAAAATAAAACACAAATGATAGAGCTTGTGCTACCAACCATCCAAATAGAGGCAACAGTTCTAAAAATGTTCTTCTTCGAGGCAATTATTTTGTACTTAAATGGAAAGTTTGCACCAATAAATCTGTCAATTGTAAGAAGAAATAAAAATGAGAGCCATATGAAGTATGTAGTAACAACGAGGCACCAGAGTCTCGTTTCCATTGTTCCATCATTTGGGTACAGGTACAGTGCCAATATATCCCAAATAAGCCACGCGATAGAGACTATAATGTCACATAAACTTATGTTCTTGATAAGGAGTATTTGATTTGAGCTTCTATAGTCAGTCTTTGATAATATATAAAGACCAGTAGTATTCAGAATTATCGAAAAAGCTGATGCCACAGACGATGTAATCTGTAGATGCAAGATTTTCTCCACCATCTTTCTAATTATGAAACAATTCCTAACAAGTCCCAGTTGGTACTGACAAAGGTCTTGTACTTCAATTGCTTAGCTATACAATCTTTAATAAGCTGTTGTGTACGTATTTTCAACTTCTGGTTCATTCACTTCGGAATTATTTACTTTTTGTAATCAATTGTGTGGGAAACTTGGGATTCATAACACGTAGTTCTTGTCATTTGTTTGGATAAAACAGCTGATAAAATGGAGCTTTTACTTCTACTTTTTGACCGCTGCTTGCTTTTTAATTAGCCTTTTCTTAAAACAAAGCATGTTAACCAGTTATTTGGCAATTCAACTTAAGACTTCAACGAATCTTGTTCTCTCTTTTCAAAGTCCCTTTTGCGCATAAAAGTGACTTTTGAAATAATTTTTTCAACTTACTTTAACCTCACCTAACCTCAATCCTATTTCAAGGAGCTTTTGAATTTGTTGCCATATGCCACTTTGTCAGTTGCAGCACTACGAAATTTAGCTGAGAACCACAAACACATGAAATCTAGAGGCAACTGCGCACAAAATATGCCTCCGCAATAACATAAAAAAAATATTTCAGTGATTTGAAGAGCTCAGAAATGAACAAAAAAAATAATAAAAACTGCCTTTCTTCCTCTTTTGCCTCTTACTGATGCCCAAAATTCATTTTCCTCCCAAGGTGTGATTTCATTTATGTCTGCGAGATAAGCTTGATCAAATTATTGATTCTGCAGCAAATTTTTGTCCGTATTTGAAAATTCTTCACGAAAACAAAGAAACTATAAGTAATATCATCCTTGAAAACGAGGCTTATGAGAAATTTACCCACGTGCAATTTTGTGCGTTATGGCAACTGAGCCCTCTAAAAATTTTGATAACAAATACGTTTTATTGCGATTTATCTTTATTTGTATTAAGATCTACTTTTTCCAACATTTCATCTATCTTCGTCGTAATAAATACTGTTGAGATTTCAAAATGTTTGTACAATTTCTTTTTGACAAATTGAAAGCCAAATATGGCTGGTAAAGAGCGTGAAATCGTATCATATGACGATCAGACGCAAACAAGTATATGATTTGCCTTTTAATTGAAACTTTGAATTTGCTTTTTATCATGCATTCGCTCAAGGACCGCGCACCTGTCTAAATGTTGGAGTGCTGAAATGGCCGTGGCAGAAACTTTTTGAGGCCATGCCCTCTAGAACGCCGGAAAACGCCTCTTTTAGAAAACACTGGCTTATTTCTACTGAGGTTTTATAAACAATCTGGCTCAGAGAAGAAATCAATAGCTATAAAAATAGAAGAAATTAGCTTGGGGATAATACAACGTCAAGAAAAACACCTAGAAAATGAGCAAAAAGGGTTCTCAGTCAAGAAAAACTGCTACTTCTTAGGGGTATACTATTCAATGTTGCGTGAGAGCATTGTAAGAGTAAACTTTCCACAAAAATTTCTAACATATTATCGCAAAAAAATGGAGGGGCTATAGCCCCTGCTAGCCCAATGGCTGCGCGGTGCCTGCATTTGCTAAAAATATGACTTTAATTGGTATTTTTCGGTCTTACGCCTTTCTGTGCCAAAAAATTGTAGCAAGTACGAGGAAAAGTCAATCTTTTTAGGCAGTATGTCTCGTCAGTCTGGCGGTAGCCCGGCCAAAGCGAATTGAAATGGCAATCGAATTGTTTATAGAACACTCTTTAAGCAAGACTAAAGTTAAAATCTGCTACTACTACATAAGGATTTTTGAATGAACTTTTATATTCAACATTTCAGTTTTATTTTAAGGATTTGCGAAAAAGTATAAAGATGTACCTGCTAAGGAGCAGTTGGGCAAAATTTGATGGGAAAGACCCAAAAATGGAAACTGAAGAACTTTTATTATTTTGGTAGCCAAACTTTATCGTTTATAACTAAATACAAATGTATCTTACAATGTTTTAATTCAAGAGCTTGTCTTGGCAACAGTCAATGTGTTAATTGCTGGGACTTTTGATAACTGAATATTTAAATGAGCAACGAGAAATTCTCGCTTCTGAGCTTCAGAGAGAATTGCAGACATTACGCAGTTTAGGCACCTTAGGTTCACCATATTTCCAATGACTTTAAAAGTTTTAAATAAAGATTCTACAACTCAGCTCTACATGCTTTAAACCATTGGGAGGTTATGGTATGTTGCATTCTAATGAGACAACCCAACAAGAAAAATGTATTTGATTGGTTGAAATTTAACATGAAAAATTAAGCTGGTTTAACTGTTTCAGTGAAAATTCTTGCGATGGAAAGCATTGTTAATGCGTGCAAGACCTGTACGTGTATACAAACCTTGTTAAGAACCTTACAGACTGGAATTTAGAATAGCAGCCTGTTTATTAAGAACCTATTCAGCATGCATCTTCTATTAAGCGGGTTTTTACTGTAAACATTCAATAAAAAAGGACCCCATCTCACTTTTACCTTAGGGTCCCAGATATCTGCGTTGTGCAGTTTGGCAAAAATTTGTAGATCAAAGATGAAAATAATTAGTACGTCGGGCAAACTTCCTGTCTAGAGAAAAGGTACCACTAAAAATTTCTTCTATGATTTATAGTTAAGTTTATGGATGAAAAAAACATCTTTAAGTTAAGCAGTCACACAAGTACCATCATGGTCACCTAACATATCATAACGAAATTCAAGTCAATTAAGGACATTGAAATGGCAGTCATTTGAACTGAAAAATTGAACTAAAATTAAAGAAACTATTTTAATTCTATTTTGCTTTCAACATGTGCTTAATAACTCTCAAAGCCAAAACTGACACTCTACGCCCAGACAAGAGTGGGAGCCATTTTAAATTGTCAGTGATGTGTCTCTGACTAAGACAGCGCAGCCCTCGTGGACAACCTAAGAATAGTAGTTTGTTAAGAAGTTGCTGTGCCTTTCGTGAATTGGCCGAAATGAGCTGTCAGGGCTTGGTGCCTGCTCTACTGAAACCCAAGGATTTAGTTCATTCTTCGACATACTGCATACTTTTACTCAACCACAGAAACCAAGAGTGGTGCAATTCTTCGTACTTGGTTCCAGAAATGTCTCAAAAAGATGATTATGGTCTGCTCAATATTAACAAAACACTTAAGAGCTTACTTTCGGTAAGAGTTTTTCCCCAAAGCTACCAAAGATATTTCTTGTTTAAAATTTTAGCTTGTTATCCTAATTTTTACTTTATAAAAAAATCAAACTCACATTTCAGCTTTTCGTTGTGACCTATCAACTGTAATGGGTCGATAACTCTGAAAAAGCTCTATACTATACTTTTCAATGCCAATTTGCATTCATCTTACTTTTCAATGCCAAAGTTTTTCAAGAGGAGTAAAGCCATACTTGGGACAACTTCAAAAAGAATGAAGCCCATAAACATATAAAGTATAATGCGAAAGAGCTTTTGCGCGTCATTCATTCTTTTTTAGATCCATAGAAAAATATAAAGGAAAAATTACTTATTATGTGTGCATTCATTATCTACTCTTGTCTAAATTTAATGAACTAGCTGTAAAGCTCATTTTGATAATGTTTATAAATGAGATTTTTTATCAGGCCTTAAATTCGAACACAAGAATTTTTCTTTATCTAAATTGTTTGCAAACAAAAAAATAGAAACAAATTATGAGAGATAAAATACGTATTATGTGTGCATTCATAATCTCCTCTTGTGTAAGTTTAATCAAGTAGAGCAGATGGTTAGGAAGTCAATGTAAGTCATGCTTATAACTGAGTTTTTGGCAGGTTTTAATTACGAAAGTAAATATTTTACTCTATGTTAAGTTTTTGCAAACAACAATATAGAAAACAAGCGCAAAAATTGATCACATTATTATGCGTCTTTGAGCCCTGAAGAAAATTTGCGCTATCTAAATACCTCTTATTATTATTTTTCATCATTATTTATAATTGCGATTACTCTTAAACTCCACTTGCATCAAACTTTGCGTGATCGTAACTTAATCATCGACTGATAAGAAGGTCTAAATAACATGTACTTTATTTTAAATGGATTCTAAAAATCATCTTTTGTGGATCGAAGTGGACGTTCACGATTGCCTTAGTGGAAAGAACCATTATTTTATCATGAATCCGGGAGATTCCATGCACAAGACTATGTTAGTCACTCCAACTGGCAAGCTTTTCAAACTAGTTTGGGTTAGATTTGCATTTAAGATATGAGGTAAGGGCTCGGTACCATCTCAGGCACCAGTTCAAAATATGAATTGAAGACAATTTACACGAGAATGTCGCCAATGGAGTGGTCTAGCTATGTAGAACCTTCAATGAAGCTAATGTTTGTTAGCTTATTCAACTTAAGTTTTCATGGTATCCATGTAGCAAAGACGAACTTCTCCGTTTCTAGAAACAAATACGAAATAAACATTAGAACACTTTGCCTTTTTTTCTAAACGTGGTGTTTGTTTATAGTTGGAAATATCAAGCGCGGTCATTATGAATTGTATCGTGGAACCAGAAATCTTTGTGAGTCCCCAGAATTCTTTACTCCGTATGGAAATCTAACATGTCGCATCTCGATTGCTACATTTCTTTGCTGTCATTTTTTTTTCACACTAGCAATAAACTTAGCAAAATTTATTTTAAAATAGGACAGCACAGAGGAAACACTCAAGAAATATTGAAACACAAGTAACTGCCTTATACCATTTCTCGTAAGAAAATTGTTTAACAAAGAAACTCAACCGACACATTCCACCAGAGAAATACTTAATTCCTGGCTAAAAAAACACTAAACATAAAATCAGCTGCAGTCTCAAACAGAGTGACAGCTTTGGCGCCACTGGAAATGTGCAAAGATGTTTGTGAATTCAAAAAGGTTAACAATGAAATGGAGAAACACTCTGTTTTTAATTTCTTGATCTAAATTTTACCATGAAATGGGCCTTCGTTACAGTTCATGAGCATTGGGTGTTTTCCCAAACAATTCAATACAGACTCTTTTCCAGAAGCATCTATAGTTTCTAATAGCATATAAAGTACATTGTTTGACAGTAAGCTGAGTTTGTTTACGCTATACAGACTGTGCCATGCCCTCTTCTGTTGTGTTTAGGTTGTGCATTGCAGCAGATTTGTGGTTCAAAATATTATTAGTACTCTTTTTTGCATAGTTCCGTTGTTTTTAGGAAAAATTGGCAAAAATCAGTAAAGTAACCGCCTTTGAAAATAAGCAGAAGAATTTGAAACTGGTGGGGGTCAGGTACGGTGGCCCACAGGTGCCACGGCAAAACTTTCTCTCTCACGGCAAAACTTAATTTCTTACGGCAAAACTTACTTTCTCACGGCAAAACTTACTTTCTCACGGCAAAACTTTCTTTTTTCACGGCAAAACTTTATTTCTCACGGCAAAACTTTATTTCTCACGGCAAAACTTTACTTCTCACGGCAAAACTTTCTTTGAATTTAATTTATTAAATTTATTTTGAAAATTTTATCTCGTGACATTGGATTCTCGTCGTCGTATTGCTTTGTTCCTTTTGCTTTTCTAACATAGGCGTAGTAGACAAGGTTCTGGGGAGATAAGGGGGCTGTAGCGGCAACTGTAGTTCCTCAACACTGAAAAGTTTCCAAAAAAGCGATAATCAGGCAGAAATCTACCATGATTCAGTCAGGCAAAATTTTCATAAACAATGGATGTTGTTTGTTGGGCAACCACTTCGATTTTTTTCTCCCCTTATATTATGCCCATGCTTATTATTTCATTAAGTACCTAGCCATCAACCCACCCTGTGAGTAATACGATATGATATGATATTAAACACAATACCCAATTTATAGGTTTTTTACAAGCCACAATCGAGCGTGCCAAGTGCACGTACGTGATTTTTTTGCACGAATTTTATGTGCACGCCAATTTTCAACGAATTGATCTTTTTCACTGCTTTCAAAACAAAGGAATCAAAGACCTTGCATGCGGTACTGTTTCGTTGAGATAGGCATATAGGCCTAGCCTAGCCCAACCTAGATATTTCTGGGCTGTCTTTCTGCAAGAATTATCAAGAGAAGATGTAGGTATTCGCAAATTCTGCGAAGTTTAAAACGTCTAAAGCATTGATTAGATCTAAGTATCACGTACACAACAACACGTAAAGAAAGTTTTGCCGTGAGAAAGAAAGTTTTGCCGTGAGAAAGAAAGTTTTGCCGTGAGAAAGTAAGTTTTGCCGTGAGAAAGTAAGTTTTGCCATGAGAAAGAAAGTTTTGCCGCGAAAAAGAAAGTTTTGCCGTGAAAAAGAAAGTTTTGCCGTGAGAAAGTAAGTTTTGCCGTGGCACCTGTGGGCCACCGTAGTCAGGTACTAAAAATTGGGGAAGATAGAAGCAATGGTTAAGTGGCCAAACACACTTGACAAGGACCTCCTGGATTTGCCTACCAGCAAAATTGCTTCTCAGGGATCTAATAACCAGAACAACTGTCATTTTTGCCTTTTTTCACTGGAAGTAGTACAGTTTTACTTACATTAGATAACAAGAAATCATTTTGAAAATGTGATTGCTAACCTAAAACTAAATGATGCCTTCTTTTAAGAAGGATCCCCACGACTTGAATACCATGAATACTACAAATTGACAATTCAGGCCTCTTGATTGCATATTCCAAGTTTCTAATTCAGAGACCGTTTCACGTTTGCGAGAAGCACTTTTCATCGATAAAAGGGACATGCAGAAAGTTGAAAAGAAAAGTGAAGGGACATGCGTCACTTGAAATTAGTTTCAAATGTTTGCCCCAATGGAATGTATCGTAGCTTCGTTTCATAACGTTTTGGGCAGTGGGCAGGTTTGAAGATGACCAATGGCATGGTAACGATGCTGAATTAGTGAAATCTGCTTTTATGGTGTGCAAAGATCCATAATTGTTATTGAGCAGGGAAAATTTGGCAAAATGCTTCAATTGGTTGAAATATTTCTGCATTGGTCTACTTCATAATAAATTTGCCAAGTGACTTAGCGCCGAGTGATTGGCCTGCTCATGTAGAGTCTGTCGAACAGTATCACAACAATACTCAAAACTTTCTATCAATCCTCACTAATTTCCACTTCTAAAAATTTAGCAGAAAGATATTGCACAACAGCTAACCAGATTAAACCCCTGGCAAAACGACTAAACATTTCACAAAATTTTCACAAAAAACCCTGTTTAGTGTTGTTGAGATGTGTTCAGTGACGTTGTGTTAAGTTTGATCCTGGTAAAGAGTGTTTAGTCTTGTTTAGTGTTGTTTAGCAAATTTCAGTCGTTTTGCCAGAAATTAAACATTTGTTGTGCTTGCAGAGAAGTAGAAGCTTTGGAAATTAAAAGGTGTTCTTCATTGTGTGACACAAGTTCACTAGAAAGTCAACATCTTGTTTTATGCTACTTGGTATTCAACACTCTGCTTTGTTATCAATTTGCGTCTGGAATCATCATGGCTTTTTTGGAAATATTAGGGTTAAGTTTATAGATAAACTTGATAGAAAGAAATGGGTTGGATACTTGAAAGTTCCCTTCATCTAATTTCCCTCATTGCTAAAAATAAATACTTACAGGGCATATTATATACATCCATAACAGCTTTTCATAATTGTCAACTTTACACTTACATTGCGTTAACTACAATTTATCGCTTTCAAAACTGACATGAAAGTACGCTTTGCCTGTGGTTGAAGAAATACGTATAGTAAAGGGTCTGTAAGGTGAGTAAACCTATAAACAGCAGACAAATATGGGTCCCAAGCGTTTGAACGTTCTTCTTCATCCAACATGCTGAAAAGAAAGAAAATCATATCTGGGACAACTTCAAATAAAATGAAACTAAGAAGCATATAGAATACCATGCGAAATAGTTTTTCTTTATCGTTCTTTGGGCCTGATCTGCTACCCTTTATCCTCGGGTTGAGCACTCGAAAACATACCATGGAATATGTTATGATGAAGATTGTGATGAACAACCCATCAAAAGCTATCCATAGCCGAAAAGCAATTTTTTGAAGAGCATCTGATGCAAATAAAATGCTCATAATCGAGGCAATGGTTCCAATGATCCAGACTATTATTATTGTTCTCCGGACATTCTTACTTGAAGTGATGACTTTGCTTTTAAATGGAAAAGCAACACCAATAAATCTGTCCAATGTTAGTAAAAACATGATGAGCATCCACGTGAGATAGACTGCTTCAAGAAGGCAAGATGCGGCGACAATCATTCTCTTGTTTTTGGTGAACAGAAACTCAGTCCATACATCCGACAACAGCCAAACGACTGAGACTACAATGTTACTGAAACTAAGATGCTTTATAATGATGATTTGATTCGTGTTTTTAATGGCTGCCTTTGATAATACTAGCAGCCCAACTGCATTAAAAAGAACTGAGAGAATTGTTATGGTAGAAGATACAATATAAATGGGCAAAGTATCTTTCAACATCACTTTCGAGTCCTGCCAGCATAGATCTTACAGGGTTGTAGTATTATAGTGCTGTAGTATTCAACATTCCTTCCCGTCCTTAATGGTTGCACACTGACATATCGATTGCGTACCGTTTTTAACAACACAAAGCAGGTGCAAATCTACATTTACATGCAGAAATAATTCGTTTGAAGCTTACGTTAAGTAAATAGTAGGCAATGAATTGTTGATAGCAGAGATCCTTTGATAGGAATTTTAAATACGCAAAGACCCCAGCAGGACCCAACTCAAGGGCACATTATCTAACTTCTATTTGCTGTGTGAAAATGAAGAAGCATTGCATGAAGGCATTTACTGCTTTAAATGTTGTCAAAAAGAACCGTGTCACATGCAAAGAATGTAATTTTACCGTGCTGATAACGGATGGCTGCGCACCGTAACAACCAGGGACGGATTACCAGGGGTTGTAGGGGGTGCGAAACCCCCCAACACTTTTTGGTTCTTCGGTAAATTTTGCTTCGATTTCGTAAAAAGCATTTTTTAGTAGTCATTAGTAACAACTATTGTTTTATTTATCTTTTATCTTCTTTATCTCAAAGTTAAAAACTTAATACAAAATGGGCGTTTCCATTAGCTTTCAATCACCTGAAGGGTGTGGCACAAACTGAAATCATTATCCATCAATCCCAATTATTGCGATATAAATCCGTTCCTGCAAAGCCCCTTGATAATTTCTCCATCTCGCATAAGACCCGCTCTTATTCAGCGTGTTTAATAAGGCTTCCTGCTCAAGAAAATTAAGATTTGAATAAGTCTCCCTCTAAAATAAGTCTTTGTTCTGCTTCAGTACCAAGCTTGGATACTCTTTAAACATTTGAGTACAAAATAGTTTCCTTTTGGCAACCCTTGAAAGAATGGTGCGCAAAAGAAAGAAGCTTGCAAAAAGGAGCATGAATTTCACCAAAATTATCTCATATCTATACATTGTTTATAATAAGCACTTTTCAAGTAAGTACAAGCATCTAACAAACTAATCTATCTATGTACATAAAGATCCAATATGAATTATCCAGTATCAAGAAGGATTTCTTTCCAGGGAGGAGCACCAAAAAAATTTAAGACTGCATTTTTTTACAGCAAAATACACATTTTCTTCTTTATTCTGATGGGTAATAAAACAATACTTTTTGAAAAGTTGAAACTTACCAAGGAGGGAGTGAGTAATTGAATAGGATTACTCTCTCACACACATTAATAATCTATTAATAATATGGTTATATAAACACTGGTGCAACAATCAATTAACTTGGCAATAGTTAAATTAAACTGTTTTCAATTGGGAAGTAGAATTTCTACATGAAAAATAGAGTTTTTGGGTTATAAGGCATCATTTCTCAAGACTGAAAGAGATATCAAACCAGCCTATTTTCTGGTATCAAGTTCCAGGACTAAGGAATATCATAAATTTAACTATATAATGTTTTTGGCAAAATATAACCTGTTTGAATCTGTATAATGTTAAATTTAGCTGATGTGTTGAAAAAAATACAAATTACTGGCTAAAATTAATTTCCCATTCAGGATTAAAGTTTTAATATTGGATAAAAAAGCCTTAAACGATTGGGTTTCCAAGTGGTAAAACCTCTAAGACATGAACAAAACACTAAGCATAAGAAATGTTCTTGATACATCAGTAAGTGACTTTACACACAATTAACTTAGCAGGAGGCTTACAATTTTGCTTTAGCACAAACCAAACATTGCTTTCATTTGGATAATGAATCACTTATCCTTCAACTAACCATTTTCTCCCAATGTGCGGTCATCTACCTTGACATTACATTTTATTTTACTGGACATTACATTTTTTATTAAAAAAGATAAAAGAAGATAAGGTTTTAAAATATTGGCTTTTGAATTATCCAGAGACTGCTTTAATGTAACTTAAAAATTGCTGATAAGCAAATGGTGGATACAGGTTCTCCCACATGTTTGTTGCTTTACATTCATTTATATAGGGTCAATTGAATATGCAAAATTTCCCTCCCTTCTTATTTTGACACAAAGTGCACGCTAAAAATTAAAATTCTTTTGGGTATATGCACACAAAACAGGACTTTAAAAGTGTTTAGCAAATACAAAAACTTCTTATTTTGCTTAGATATCTTTTTTCAGTGAAATAATATGATTCTGAAGTGGATAAAATTTCCAGGAAGCAAGAGGCTCAACAGGTGGCTTCTAATTTATCTGATAGCATTTGAATATCAATGATGTGCAAGTTAATTTCTTTGAAACCCTAGTGTAGGAAACCTGTTTGTATAAAAAATTCAGAAAAGTTAATTCTCCCCAGATTACTCATTATCAGCAATAAGTCTCTGGGTATCTGTTGCATCTATATCTGCAAATGCTTGTGGTATTTCTGCAAAAGATTGCAACTCCTGAGGTAGCCGGTCTCTTAAATTACAAGAATCTCCATATGATGGGGGTGGTTGGTCAGTTTTAAAAGGGTCATCTGCCTGGTATTCTGGAAGTGATTCTGTCAATACAGTATTTGGCAAAGGGAGTGTCAATCCAGTGAAGACAAAGGCAGGTTGTGGAATAGCTGGCACCTCCTCATAGCAAGTAGGGTCTGCTGACTAAAAAATAGAAACAAGTAATATTAGCAAAATAAGACTTGAGACATCAACACATTACATTAAAAGTTGTCTTTTTTGATAGCTTTCTGCCAATGTTGATAATAAGTTGTTATATATCTATATATACATCTTTGACCCATAAAAGCAAAAATTTCCAAAAAGAAAAATGTCACCCTTGACTGTCTGTTAAACATCCTAATTGCCTATTTATTTGAGTTAACTACAGAAGGCTGTATTCTACAAAAAACAGAATTGCAGATTCAACAATGAAATAGGAGAGAGGTTTATGCATTTATATCTTTTAACAATATTGTCTAAATGTACCATAACATTGTCGGATTCATTCTGCCGCTGTCGTAGTCTTCTGATCCTTCTGTTCTTCAGACAAAGATATAAGCACCAGAACATCAGTTTAATGAGAATAACAATAACAATGATTCTACAAAAAAGAAATACAAAATCGATGTAATTGGTATGAATTTGAATGAAACATTTTATATATGTATATATATACCTACAACCAAAATTATGCCAATAGAAAAATTTTCTGCAGATATGACCCAAATTGTTGATAATCTAGAGAAGTACTGCTGTTCTAACTAAAGAGGGCTGCAATTTGTCCTTTGGTTTGGCTGCCTGGGGAGAGTTGCTCAGGGCCCACCAGGAAAATATTAAAGGGTATACTGGGAAACTGTTAGTGTATTCAAAATAATGAATAAATCAGAAGTAAAAGATGACCTTTTCTTTTACATGACCAACCTTGCAAAATTTGTCACAGTGTGAATAAGATATCAAAAGTTAATTTAAAGTTGATATGCACCTCTTACAATCTAAAACCTCAACCTTCTTTGCTAAGATAGGATATCCAATCAAGCTACTCACATGTAGAACAGCACTTCTGTTTCAGCCATACTTGTTTCACTTTAAAGAAAACCTATTCAAGATGAAAGTTAATAAACTTAAGAAGGTGCAATCAAAACTGTTAAACTGTACAACCAAGTTTCCAAATATCATAACAACCCCAAAAAATAAAAATATATCTATATGCATTTAATGAGAGAAAAGAACTAAAATTTTCAGATAGCAGATTTCAGATTTCAGAAAATAAATAACCAAAATAAATTCTTCAAATAGTGCCTATTTTGCTCCCTATTGTGGCTAATCGCTTTGCTTTGTTCAAATTCTCCCGAAAACATGGCTGTTGTCAGGTAGTGTACAAAACTTTTACCTTCTCATTTTCGCCATGATTGGGTGAATATCGATAAAATTGCCCAAAGGAAGATGGGTTTTTTTGTCATTGATGCGACAGGCAGGCGACAAATAGACCCGCAAAAAGAAGATCTTCCGACAAGGTTAATATCAATCCAGTGGCGTAGAAAGGCAAATTCATAAAAGGGGCAAGAAATTTAGATTTTCTGACAAAAATTTTATAAGAGCTTTAATTTCTTAAAAAATTTGTACATAACTTCATGTAAGTCACATGTCATAGATCATACTACTCAAAGGTTCTTCTTGTCTTTCCCTCTGAAGAAAGGCATTTTTAAGTTCTATACCTTATTGAAAGAGATTGTCAATCTGATTCAGAACAACAGAGAATATCAACATATTCAGCTTTAAAATCTTCTCTCAAAATGTAACATTTGGATTAAAATAGACAACTGTGTTAATTTCTGATCAGATCAACAGTTTTCTGACAAAACAGCAGTTTAGCTGCACAGAGGGGTTTCACCCCTCCCCCTGACCCCCTTTTTATCTATGCGACTGTATCAACCAATATATCCCTATAGTTGTCCCGTAATATCGAATGTTCTTGGAATGAGCACAGCAGAAAAACTCAAGCAGTCGGGCTCTCTGCAAAGTACCCCAGGGCCTTGAGGTGTAGGAGGCTTTATAAAGTGATGAATTCTGTTTTGAAATAAAATTGATTAAAAGTAACAAAATTATGCCCATAAACAGTAAAACATTTTAAGGGAATGAACAAATTTAAGCTAATTTAAAGGGCGTTGTCACAAAATTTTTCTACTCGCTTCGCTCGCAGGGGCCTACTTCTCCGCTTTTACACCAGGGCCTCCAAATTCTTTCGCACACGCCCTGCATGCAAGTTTGGAAACGTGACAGAACGGTTGAGGTTTACCCTTTTGTTTCCACTAAGACTCTGGAACCGGTCTAATTTTGCTCTGCCATCTGGAATAGTTTTGACCCTGCTAGGAAAGAGAACAAATTCTGTACCGTCATGGTTCTGTTTCTGAACGGGGCTGTGTAAACGGGGTCCGCAATAGCCTGATATTAAAGAGTGTGAATCACACACATGAAAGAAATAATGGTTTACCACACACATGGTGATTTCTTTATGATGAAGACTGATAGGTAAACAGTTAATAGAAAGATAACATAAATTTTCAAAACTAAAAAAAAAGAAATTTTCATAAGGAAGTTTCAATCTAGCTCTAGCTATCATCTTTAATTAATGAACACCGGACATTATAAAAAGCTGACCATAAAAAGTTAGCAGAGACTATCACCCTAAACATCTTATACTTAAAGGCTTCTTTCAACACACATTGAAATATTAATAGGTGAATTACAATGTGGTCATGAAGTTTACTATAAATGCAGGTGTCAGTATACACAAAACCTGTATAATGTGAGTGTCACCATTACAATGGATTTTCATGTCATCACCATGTGGTAACAGGTAGGCAACCAAGGAAAACCTTATTCTATATCATAACTTTATTCAACGAAAGCTTTCTAAAAAAATTGATTCATATATTTATACCTCAAAAGTTATTTTGTTCATACTTTCAGGGAGGTGACTGGTTAAATATGTTACCATTACCCACACATTTTAAATCAATCCAGTGATAGAAGGTTACCATGAGAAAAAATTCAACTATACAAAACTTCAGTTTATACTAACATCTAATTTGAAAATTTTTTCTACTTTCAGTAATTTTTCCAAATTAAAATTGTTTTCCATAAGACAAGAACTCTAATTAGTTCTTTATCAATAAACCTGATTTCAACCAAACTTTCTGCTCCTGCAAACTAAAACTTTGCAAGATTTCTTGGCAAATAATTTTCTCCACGATCTTTCTGATAAATGATGAACTATTTTTTGATAAAATTAAATTAAACTGGATAATGATTCTGATGATGTATGTATTCCAACATTTGGTGGATTACCTTTCCCAAATCATTGGCTAGTTTGGTATCTGGCTTTTAAACTAAATATGCTTATTGACCCACATCACATTATTTAATCAAAATTTACTGTTTATCTATTGGCATACACCCACTATAATAAATATATAAATTGGTATACCACCTAAAATTAATTGCCCAGTATACATATCTAGTTGAGGGCGCCGCGCAAAAGACTGCGACAGGACATTGTCCTTCCGTAAGATACAAATGGATAATATATCCAATGTACATGTAAATACGTCCAGCTTAAAGTCAAATTCTAGCTAAAGTTTAAACATAAATGTCCAAAACAGTTTAAATAAGCTCAGTTGGCAGTCACATTCCGTTTACAGCCCTAACTTTTCAAGCAATATTTTGCTGTGACTAGAACCTGGTCGTAGTAGGCCATAGCCTACTTATTAGCTAGTGTTGCTTCGATTGTAAATTGATTGAAGAATTAAAACTGAGTCAGCACTCACATTAAAGATCCAGTAGAAGTTTTGGTTCCACACCTGGATACTCAACAAAGATCGGGTAAGCCATAAACTTATGTTTGCGGGTTTCTGCTCTTCGCAGACTTTACCATACTTCTTGTTTTCGTTCGGCAAAATATACTCATGCTACCCACAATTCCTTGCTTTCTGTTTCCTACTTGACTAGGCTCCTGCTCAAGGAGAAAGGGCACCAGGGCCACGAGACGTTACTATTTCGAAACCAAGCAAAAAGTTGGGTTGCCTATAAATCAAAAAAGAACATTGCTTCTTTTTCAAACATAGGGATAGGTAAACCCCTTGAGAGGCCCTCAGATCTGAAGGCAAAGTTGCCTGGCAAACTGACATTCAATCAGGGGCGGCGCTAGAAAAACTTCTTAAAGGAGGGCTGGCCAGTACAAGGTTGCCGAGTAGGAGATTTTCAATTTATATCAAATAAAGGCATACACCGGGGTCGAAAGTTGAAGGGATCTTTTTAAAATCTGTCTTCCTTTCAATGGATGTTATTAAGGGCCCAATATTATTTGTTGGTGTGAATATCAATTTTGGATTGTTTAATTGCTTTGAAAATTAACCCGTATTTTGAATTCCTTCCCTACATTCTCAGGCTTAAAGTATCATACTGTATATCATTATGTGATTTGGTGATAAGAGTGATAAGAGAGTTCTGAAGTGATGACGTAGCAAAATCTATTTTTAGAATATTTGAATTTGGATCCCATAAACTGAAAGAACATTATAAAATAGGCGAGCGCATGCGCTACTGGTCACTGCGAACATTCACTACTGGCATTCGACTGCGTTTTTCTGACTACTCGCAAAAACTTGTAAGTATGATTTCCTTATTATGAATACATTTCTTACAAATACTAGCCGTATTTTTCAAGGTTATACACATACTTACAGAAACTTTGTTCGGCTCTAATTTTCCATGTAGGTAAAATGGTTACAGCGCATGCGCTACATTCTCAGTCAAATATGTCTAAAATCGGGTGAGATATGGCCAATGAAAGATTTGAAGTTTGCTAACGAATTACTGTTATTTTCGCTCTGTTCGTAAAGTTATGAACAGAGTCAAAATTACGGAGGTTTGATTGGCAAAGAAGCTGTGCTCATGTGACCATATCTCAGCCAAATCGAAACACATTTGACTGATCTTGCATGATTAGAAATATTTCATGGTGTTCTTTTATGCTAAATTGTTAGAATTCAAAAATTCTAAAAATATTTTTGTGACGTCACACTTCAGAACTCTATAGCAGCAGTCTAGAGCAACACAATCATTAAAATATTAAATATCAGCTTATGAACTTTTGTTTGACAACATAATAATCTCAGCGATAAAATAGTATATAGACACATGCGCGCAAGGCCGTAAGGAGAAAATTTTCAGAAATGGGTCAATCGTCAAAAAAGGTTTTTGGGATTCTTCTAAAGCACGTGGATTTTCCTCACTATCACAACTCTTAAAAATTCAAATGTCCCAAATCCACCCTTCATTGGACTACTGCTCTTAAATTTGGGGTGGAGTAAATATCTTGTGCTGCACATATAGATACATAAAAGGAGCGATAAATATTTGTTGTGGCCTGATTAAATACACACTTATTCTTCTTCAAAGATAGATAAGTAAAGCAAAAAAGCAAGTTTTTATTAGGAACTGTGGATTTATTAGGAACTGTGGATCACTAGGGTTGGTTTATTACATATACAGACTTTGTAAATTGGGAGTGAATTTAGAGAAGAGAGCCAAAGAGTAAAGGTAGCTTAATGAGCAAATTATTCTTCAACACCAAGGATTGAACTGAACAAATATGAACAGCAATAAAGCTTTTATGTCATCATTAGTAGCAGGGTCCGCGCCACAAGGTGGGCGGGGCTGGCCATGGCCCCCCACCTTTCTTCGAAGCAAGTATAGTAGTTTTAAAGCTGCAACAAAGGGGTGAGAAGCCATAGCCCCCCTACATTTTTCCACTTGCCCGTTGATCTATTTTTCAAAGAGATACGTAATAATCTTTGCATGTGCTTAGATCGTCGTCGATATTAACGAAAGCCCAAGAAAATTATTTCCATGGGAATACAAAAATCGTCATTAGTCCTTGTACTATATCTCGAAGTGATATCTCCACCTAGCTATAATTGACCTCAATGCTCCACTTCTTCTCAGATAAATTTCCTAAACTTTATATGTGGTAGAATGTAACCAGGAGTGCAGAGCCAAAAATGTAGAGGCGAGCTATAACGCTTTTTTTATATTGTTTACCAAATGAACGTTACAATTGATTTCGTTTGCATACCTCCTCAATATCAATTTTTTTACCTTTCCTTTTTTCTAGGGTTAAATCAGCTTCCAATGCCTACCTGTTACTTGAGCAAAAAAATCTTGAAAATACAGAATTTAAAGTAGTAAAACTTCGCCAGCATTGATTGAGTTTTCAGTTATCATGTGAGGTCATATATGAATGTATATGTATAAAAATGAATATCAGTCCAATCAAAGATTAGATCCCGGCAGAAATTAGCCATGGTCAGTGGCGTAACCGACAAAGGCTAGAGTTAGAGCAACTCCTAAGGGCCCCCAAAGAATTTAAATAGACAGGCTCCCAAAGAATTTAAATTGACAGGCTCCCAAAGAATTTAAATAGACATGCTTTTTTGCACTATTTGATGTGAACAGGGATTCATTAACAGGTTGCACGGGAGTAATAATCCAGACCTTGGATTAGAGTTTAAGAAAGTGATGTTGCAAACGTCATGACTGGAATACATGCTAGTGTGCAAACGTTGATAAAGAATATGGTTGATAGTCCTGTTCCATTTTTTAATTGCAGCAGCCATGACTTGAGTCTGGTCATTAGTGACTCTATGGGGGCAGTACCGAAGAATGATGATTTCTTTGGGACATTGAAGAATATTTTTAATCCTTTCTGTTCAGCATATTCGGTGATAGATATCCACATATTATGACAGTTTTAACTCGCATTACCTTGACATCAAAACCAAAAATGAGCGAGATGAAGCAAAGAGACTCAAAGAAAGGATGAATTCTTATGAATTCGTTCTTTTTACTATTATTATTATTTGGGAACAAGTTCTACGGGCAATCGGTACAACTTCTCCTCAATTGTAATCCCCAAAAATTGACCTAACTGTTGCATCGCGATTGAAATGTTGCTCTATTTCAGACCTTGTTGTTATACGCGAGTCCTAGGACTCTGTTAAGCAAACTGTGTCTGCTTTTGCTAGCGCTTGGCACACAGTAGTTGATTTCAAACCAATAACTAAAAGTAGAAGGTCCGTTATTGGAATATTGGAGGACAATATTTTCAATTCCCCACAACAAAAATTAAAAGTAAATGTGTTTCTTAAAACTGTCGATAATGCTTTGATGCAGTTTAAATCAAGGTTTTGTGCCCAAGATCTGGTTACTCCAACGTTCGATATTCTTTTTCTAAACCTTCTAGCTAATAACGAAGACATCTTCAAAGCATAAAAAAACTTGCTGAACCTGTATCCCAAAGATTTTACAGAGGACTTGGAACCAGAGCTACCGGCATTTGCTAACGAATTTCGCGCGGAAATAAAAGAGAAATGGACAGCGGTAGACTTGGTTAATTTGATGTTGGAAAGTCGAGTCAGCTCTCATTTCCACAAGTCTACAAAGCTCTTTTTCTTTTTGCCTGTCACTGTAGCTACCGCTGAGAGATCTTTTTCGAAGCTCAAATTGATTGTCTTGAAATAATTTCCTTGTGAAAGGGCCCTTAAGCAAAATATTCCTAAGAGCCCCAAACTGTTCCGTTAGACTACTGGCCATGATACTTAAGAAGGGGGCTGAGCCCCCTCATGGAAAGTCAATACTTTACGTATTTCAATTTTTTCACCAATATTATCGTCTTCATAGCAAAGTAAAATGTAATATTTTTAAGGTCGATCAAATTTTTATAAAAATGGCCAATAAGCTCCAGATGTGCTCTCATTTCATTACTTGAGTGCATACAATCTTTTCTTGGTGAAGCAAAATTTCGATTCCTACTAAAGCGAGATAGAAAGAAGGTTCGAGCATGGCTATCCTCAGCTTCAAAATGAGGTCAACATGGCTACCAAACTTTGAAAGCGTTTGGTCATTTAACGACTGTTAGAAGAATGTCGAAGCTAAATTTTACAAATATAGTTTTAGTTATATTTTCTCTTTATATTATTAATTGTTTATATGTATTTTATATTCTGTTCAACCCGCCTAGCTGCATTGGAGATGGTGTTCGCTGTCTGCGGCCTAAGTACAGGATGACCGGAAAATCAAATGCAGAAAATCTGATGGTAAGAAAACAAACACAGCGAGCTTGTTTTCTGCAAAAAGTTAGCTTAATGAGAAGTCTATACTTAATTGATCCAGTAAATAACACATCTTAACAGATTTCATGACAAAGAATTAATGGCTACAAATGATCTACAAAGTAAATTCACGATCGTATGGAAGTTTACAAAAGGATGTTGATGGGTGGACATTGAAGAGGCCTTAATGAAGGAGGCCCTTTTTGTTGGGTGGGCTAAAAAGGCAATTGATAATTTGATATAAAAGCAGGCCCGCCGAACCCGGGGGCTGGGGAGGGGGGCTGTAGCCCCCAATAATTGTCAAACTGTAATATGTTTCCTTTATAACTGTGTACTGAATGAGAAGGAATACAATAGGCAGCCTCCCCAATATGAATTTCGTTCCGACGGCACTGAAAAACAGCTTTTACAAAACATACACTCATTTTTTATAAGAAACTGGCTATAAGAAACAAGTACTGGACAGTAAGAAAAAATTAAGGAACTTCAGTACTTGAAGCAAAAAAATTAAGAAACTATTAAATCGTGATAAAACTGAGAACAATGAAATTTTGTGAAATCCAAGAACAAGATTGCTCTGTTGGCCTAGAACTTAAGACACAAGGGATAAAAATATACTTCCCTCATCTAAATACAGCATTGGAACAGCAGCGAATCTCTTGACGTGATAAAAAAGGTCAAGAACATTTCATAACATCAATCACAACATCATAATTGAGAAACTCTTAAGAAACAATGAGTATTGACATTTTCAGAACATTAAGAAACTGGAGTACTCAACATCGACCTTTGTTTCTTATAAAAAAATGAGTGTAACTAAACTAAAGACATTTCCACAAATGAAAAAATAATTAATGCAATATGTTGTCTTTTATTTGGTTTCTACATTGGGTGCCACTCATAACTGCGGGCATGGGGCCCCCAATGGCATCACCAGCCACTAACCTCTGGGGGGGGGGGGCGAACAAAATTTTTTGAGCCATGCCTTCATTACCACCAGAAAACGCTCTGAATAATGGCTCACTTGATGTCAAAGAGAGTGTATATATTTGTGTGTAAAATGTACTTAGTTTTTCAGAAACTAGTTAATTTTCTTTGCTATCTAGATTGGTAACATCCATTGAGCTTTAATTTATTTTTGTGACTTTTTAAAGGAAAGATAATGCAATTAATTTATGCTAATTTACTTTACTGATACTCAGAGATCTTTTTTCTATCTCTGTATAATCAATCCATCTCAATACTTATTTTTTAGGTTTCTTTATACACAAGTCATAAAAGTAGAACTTCTTCTGTGACTGATTTGGATCAAGTCTGGCAAAGTAGAAATGTTCTGAATTATCAAAAGAAGTATGTAAAATTTTTATCCAGTTCAACTTTAATAATATGGGCCTTCTTATATATGTTTCTAGAACCCTGCCAGGTGGATTTTAGATCTGATGGACCAGAAAATGCTCTGTCTTCCAAAATGTTTGATTTTTATATTAGATACAGATACAGATGCAGGGAAGGTTTACTTTTTTATTTATCGAGCTCATGATATCAAAACCTTCTGCAGTATACTGGTTGACCTAATTTTAAGAATATACTGAACAATATAAACATGACTTACACACAAACTCATTGATATGACTATACACAAACACCTGATTCATAACTTTCAGTTTCAATTGCATGAAAAGTGATAATACCAATACTTTCCATGCTATAGCTTTTCTGTGTTATTTTTAAGCTTTGTGGTATCAAAGGATCATATAACTATGTTAAGAGTGTTATAGACACCCACAAAAGAAACTTCTATTATTTTGATCCAAACATGAATTTAAAGTAGTAATGTATGAAAATGATAATTTTGAAAGTACTGAACAAGCGTTGTTAGGCTATTAAGGCCTTTTAACACTTTTTCAATGTAAAATTTACTTTCTAAATTTACTTAGAAAAACAGTGGTGATACAGATTTAGAGTGGTTTTTTCATCACACTCAAACAGGCCAGACAGGTTTCCATTTTTACCATGCATATCGCCTCATGCAATTCCCTAGCACAATGCAACAAGACAATGTTTCTAATAAAAAAGTAATAATTACAAAATACAAATGGCTGAGGTACGCAATATTGATATTTTTTTAGAAACAGGTGCATGGCAAAATTCACAGCTTTTCTCACTTAGGCACAGGCATGCAATCACACACCTCAAACTGAACTGCTTGAACTTTTTAGTTCTTTCACTTATTTCATTCTGAACTCAAATATTTCTTGACATGCTCAAAAAATTCTAGACTGTAAATTTGCTGATAATGAATAAATAAGCTCAGCTACCAAACTTTTTTATTGTTTGACAAAATCGAATGATATGCTGATTTTAAAATTTTAGCTCCTTCAACATCAGTCTTCCAAGAAAGACAAGAAGGAATGGGACATTGTTTGGTTATGCATTTGTCCACCCAGTTGATCGGTCTCCATTTGACAGTCATTCATCATCAATACTCAAATTTGAAATTTCACAATATTCGATACCAAAAGACCAAATCTTTAATTTGCTGAGTGAAACTAAGACAAAGGTACTCTTTCAGAAATCATATGTGAGATTTACTTTTTAGATTTACACAAAGAATGTCTTCTTAAATTTGTCTTTAGTTGATATGTACCTTGTTTATAATGCAAAAAGCCAATTGGAAATATCATGAATAGCAAGAGAATGAAACTCTTTCTGATAACAGTTTTCTAAGATTTGCATTTCAGTGGAAAAAAATTATTAGTTAATTTAGATACAACAATGAGAGAAAAATAATTGGTACATAAACGTCAAAATACAAAGTATAGCTAAGAGCTAATGTGTTGGTCTTCCAAGTAATCATGGTTCAGAAAAAATTCTTGTTTTTTCAGAAATCCCATTCAGTTTTTTATGAATGTAATAATTGTGGAACTTGTTATAATTTGCAAAGAGAAATCTAGATTTTTCTCTTGTAAAAAACTTGTGTAAGGAACAGCGTTCACAAATATTTACATGCAACTAAATCCACCTTAGAATCTTTTCAGACATCACAAGTTCCAATAACACACATCAAAGCAAATATTATACTCCACGTTTTGGTCTCTGATGTTTCATTTGAGCGAATGGCAATACCAGCGGAGATTTATCGATCATTACAGTGAGTTGAAACCAATTTATAACATCAACGCCGTTTACTATGGTTCTTTTATACAATAATTCTTTTTCAGAAAGCCCGGGCTTGCATTAAAAAAGTTTCTTTTGCCTGTAGGGTTACTCAAGACGGATTTTATTTGCCCATGCTTCACTATGACACACTCAGTGCAACTGAAAGATTTCTAAGGGTTTGTATAAAATTGTTTCTAAAAGATGCTTTGCGATATTGGTTTTGCCATTTTGACGGGAAATTTTTAGAGTCAAGTAAAGCTTAATTTAAGATTTCGCAGGTGGTAATCGCATTAATTAAGCATAAAACTTAAGTAGCAACTTAGAGTCGTATTGTACTACTCATCAAAGCATATAAAGCTTGTTTACATCCCATTAAGGACCAAGGAATAGATCGGCCATGAAGAACGCCATGAAAGCCAAATTAAGACAATATCTCGCGGAGACCTGATAGTTTGCTAACCGCCCAGACTGCACTAAGCTGATTAAACTTCAATTTCTATGAAAGGAATGACAGAAAAGCCAATACTTCCAATTTGATTTATGCCGTTGCTCGACATATTTTCACCAAGATAACTCTTCATACGTTGTTCATACCAAAAAAATTGTTTTTTTACCCAATTCGGCTAATACCCCTCTCTCGAAAAGTTTTTGAAACACCCAACGCCTGTCCCTAACACACTCTCCAGTACTCAGTACATGGACATCCTCCTTCTCTTTTCTCAAAACGTTGTTGGTAGTTTAGCCATTCAGACAGGGGTATAGGCGTGTTTTCAAACGTTGTAGGTTACTTTGTAGTTAAAAAAACATTGATTAAAGGTGGAGAGAAGGACGGAATACAGAACCCTATTGAGAAGATATTCTTATCACCACAGAAGACTGGGATGCAAAAGTAGGCGAAGAAGGATTTTATGGAATTGCAGGGAAGTATGATTTAGGTGAGAGGAATGATGCGGGAGAAAGAGTGCTAGAGTTCTGTGATCCAAACGAGATGGTAATAGCCAACGCTTGGCTCAAACAACCGAAGCAAAGACTGTACATATAGACAACACCCAATGGAGTCCACCGAAACCAGATTGATTACATCCTGATAAAAAAGAGATGGGGAAGTACAGTACAATCAGGCAAAACACTCCCTGGAGCAGACTGTGGGTCAGATAATGAACTCATTGTGGCCGACATTCGTTTGAAACTGTAGAAAGTAAAGAGGGCCTAAAGTGAAAAATCGATTCGCAGCGTTAGATCGAACCAGATGAACTATGGCAAGCCATAGTTAGAGAAGAGACCATGACGAACAAAAAGAAGGACACAATCGAAATAGCTAACAAGTTAAGCAATCGAGATAGCGGACAGAAGGCGAGTAGCCAAAAAGAACGGAGCTCCGAGAGGGAACATACTACAGCTGAACGCAGACTTCCAACGCCAAGCCAGAAGGGATAAAGAATGTGCAACGAGATTGAGGATGAAAATCGAAAAGGGAGGACGAGAGATTCGTTCGAAAAGATCAAAGACCTCACAGGAAAAGTCAAACCGAGATTAGGAGGACCAAAGAGGAGGAAACTTGAGTGAGGAGAGCCTTGTAAAAGAAAGGAGGAACAAAAAGCTGTATAGAAGAGAGGAAAATATCACGGAAACGTTTGAGAAAAAGGGCTATGAGCAAGAACCTTCAATAACCAAAGGTGAAGTTAGAAAGACATTGAAAGAACTAGCAAACAGGAAGACGCCAGGAAATGATGAAATATCAATCGAACTCTGTAAAATCCCAGATGAAAAAGGAATATGTGTATTAACCATAATATGTCAACTAATTTGGATAACCGGTTCATGGCCGAAACAATGGAAACAATCAATATATATATATTGATACCGAAGAGTGGAGACACCAGGATGTGCTCAAACAACACAATAATCGCACTGATATCTCATGCCAGCAAATTTTTGCTCAAGAGCATACAACACCGAATGCAAATACCCATGGAGATAGAAATGCATGTAGAACAAGCTTGATTCAGGAAAGGATGAGGGACGAGATAACAATTATCAAACTTTAGGGGGGTAATGGAGATCGCGAAGGAATACCATCAACCAGTGTACATGTGCTTCAATGATTATTGTAAGACATTCAATTGTATTGATTACAGTATCATTAGGAACGTAATGCACGAGATGGGAATACCAGAGCACATAGCTCAACTCATTGGAAATCTGTACAAAAACCAGGAGGCACAAGTAACAACGGAGCATAGAGACACGGAAACCTTTGGAATCGGAAAAGGAGTGAGGCAAGGCTGCATCCCCTCGCCGTATCTATTCAACCTTTACAGTGAATTCATCATAAGGAAAGCGAACCTAGATGAAATGAAAGAGGCATCGGAATCGGAAGAAGAACGATTAACAACTTTAGATATGCAGATTACATCATCTTAATGGCGCACGAGGAAGAGTAGTGAAGAGGCGGGGTTATATCTAAACTTGAAAAAGACGAAATTATGGCAACAGAACAGATCTATGAGTTCAAACTGGGAGATGACAACATTGAAATCGTCAACAACTTTATTTTTTGGGATCAAAAATCGTGGATAACGGAACGTGTCGTGAGGAAATTACAAGACCGTCTGCTAACGTCTAAATTCCAGGGGGGGGGGGGTGTCTTGCATTCAGGGTATGGGTTATTCTATCAAGTGCAAGGAAACCTTTCATGATTGTGGTTTACTGTGGTTACGGTTTATTTTTTTTTATATCGTAATGCTATTTAACTTGAGAATATAAATATACGCCAGAAGTTTGTATCGCGTACGCTACTATTTCTCCCTTCTTTTGCCATCTCTACCCATGACTGCCTATTTCTGCTCATTTCTTTCCTTTTTGTCCATTTTCGCCCTTTTCATTTTTTGTCCATTTCTGCCCATTTGCTACAAATTACTGTCAATTTCTGAAATTCCAATCCTTTTTTCTTAACAATGCTTTACACCGTCATTTCTAAACATGATAAAATGGTTTGTTTTTCTTGTTTTTTGTTTTACAAGTTTTTTTGCAGCCTGTCAATGAAAGCACTAAGAGCGTTGAGGTGCTCTTAGAATATAAGCCAGTTTCAATTGGACGGCTTAGGCTGTGGATGACCGTTGAGCAGTCACTCAGTCGAATGAAGGAATTCGGTGAGTAGATTACTTTTTGTGAATAAAGAAATTAGCCTGAATTAGCGCGTTTGCTCTTTCTGGAAATGTGCGTCGGGGTCATTGGAATAAAATAGCCAAGTTTTATCCCATTCCCCCACTGTATGTGTGATCAGATTCTTTTTAAAGGGAGGGGGTTCATGAGGCCAAAAAACGTGCTTCTCGAAGACTTTCTCGCAACCTTATTGGTTCAGTTCGAAGACGATTCCCGTGGCGGTGATTCCTTTCCTAGCCAATCAAGATTTGACGCTTATGCTGCCTGAATTAGTCAATTGATAATGATATTTAGAACCATTTTCACCAACATGCAGATTACGAGTATCTATGCAAAATTGCGACCTTATTAACTAAATAATTTGGAAAACTTTTGTAAATTGTTTTGATGACTATATATTTTGGCTAAAATGTACCTAAATGACATATCGAATGTTTACCTTATAGGTTTTACAGATAAGGATATGAACGAGCTGAAAGGAATTTTCACTGACACCAATTTGTATTTCCTTGGACTCACTTTTGCCATCTCTGTTTTGCATGTAAGTGATTAAAAAGCAACTGTTCAATGGTATTTTGTCTTTATCCGATAAAGTTTTATATGAGCAGAATTGAGGGCTTTACAAAACGTTCTCTGTTATGACAGCAATAATTCAAAAGTATCTTTTGGAGAAGAATTTGGGAATACTCATTTTAAATATAGACTTCCAGCAAACTGTGCTAATCACACAACCTTCTATTTTGAAAAATTATTGTTTGGTAGTAAATTCTTTGTTGTGGAAGCTGTTCCTGAGTTCTTGTATCAACTACTGTATTTAAATCAGATGGCTCCTGTTGTAATCGTTTTTTAGAAAAATCCTACGTGATAGCCAGAAACAATGAGGGCTAACCTTTTCAGGAAGCAGCTGGTCAACAAAGGTCCAAGGGAAATTTGATCAAGAATGGTCTCATGCAACAGCAATAACTTTTTGCACAACCTTTTAGGTTTATTTCCTCCTTTATTTATCATTAATACGGTTTCTCATTCACTTGTTTTACTTGCTCACCAATAAACATTTTACCTTCATCAAAATTGTATTGATGCATTTTTAATTTTATACCTAAAATGAATATGAGTGACATTTTTTCTCTAACCTTTAGCTCCTGTTTGATTTCTTGGCTTTCAAAAATGACATCAACTTTTGGAAAAACAAGAAATCGATGGAAGGATTATCATTGAGAGTTGGTAAGGATGATTTTTTTCAGCCACACTTTCGTAGCGGTCATGACCCGGTACACGAAACATTTGAATATTCAAAAGATAATTACCATATGCAGCAGTTTCTAGAAATTTCCAAAGCTTATTAATTTCTTCTGACTACATATAAGCATCGATATTCATAGCGAGAGATGTACGTTTTTGTTTAAATTACTGTTGTTTTGTAATTGGCATTCATTGCGTATTGTTTTTATAGTGCTCTGGAGATGTTGCAGTACAGCAATAATATTTTTGTATCTTCTGGATGAGAAGACCAGTTTACTTGTGTTAGTACCAGCCGGAATCGGGTCATTGATAGAAGTAAGTAATCTATTGGAAATCTATAGATCATGCTCGCCAGGGGTCTCGGTACATTAACTTTCATGATTAGTTTGTGTACTAGATTCTATCGAAAATTGAAAAGAATATAGGCAAAATCACAACTCAATTTTTGACTCATATCAATGTATACTTGGTCTTAAGTTGAATTATAGAGCTTGTTGTGTGCTTTTTAATCGTAATTTAGGTCTTTGTAAGTCTTTGTGCTCTGAAAACCTTTACTATGACCAATTTCCGTTAGTTCATTTGCGCTCATTCTCTTACTACCTGAAACGCTCAATGCCTGCAAAATTCGCGGTACACTTACATCTAATTATACACAAGTTGTCAATAGCAGTGTTTTTGTATATGATGTTCAGAGCTTCATTATTGTTGAGTTGATCCCAGTCTCGTAGTTATGGTATTCAACTGTAAACCAACATTTTTTAGGTTAAAGCGACTGTGGTATCAGCTGCATATGATGAAAAATATTTACTTTATAGCAAAGTAGTCTAGCTTAACGGCCTTAGGAAACTTTTTATAGGGAATGTAGTCCTTCATTTTTCACTGATTTAAACTTTACCCATACAAGTATAGACAAATATTAATGTAAAGTATTTTTTTGATTATCCTGGAATGTAACCCCTTGGCAGTCTACCGTTGGTCTTGTAGACAAGAAACGGGAGTACTTGTTTGAAATATAAAAGATTCTACTAGCTGTACTTGTTGAAATGTAATAAAAGGTTTATTGTTATCAATAATTGCTTTTATTTCGAAAACTAGACAGTGGCTACATTTTAGAGAAAAGCTTGGAAAAAATATCTTAAGTTGCTCTTTTAAGTTTTAAATAGGTGAATTATAGAGAAATAAATGTGCCATAAGACAGAAATAATCTTCCTTCGCTTTAATCTCAAAGTGGTGCATTTTGATATATGTATGCCTTTTAGGCAAGTGGCACAAAACAGGATTTTTAGGGGAAACTGGTTAACATTATTTACGAAAAGAAAGTCGGTAAATTATAGCGATTGGAATGAATTACTTGGTTTGGTAACATGTAAAGATAATGGAACTATCAACGATGACAAACTTATCTGTCCAATCACTAGAATATATCTGTTGATTCTGAAGAAAGTTTTCTAGATTTAGCATTGAAAAATACTCTGGTTAAATTGAAATAAATCGATAAATTTTGAAAGAAATAAAATAGTCCATGCTTATTGTAATGAGAAATTAGTTGCATCATTTGCATTAACCCCCACTTACTTTTATGCCAAGTGTCATGTCTTTAGTTTTGGTAGCTTCAAAACTTAGCTTGATTTAAACACAGGTCATAATTTATGAATTTACTAATGTGCTGAAGGTTGTTGAGGCCTGTGCCTCTTAATCGATCGTTAGAGGATTGACTGTGCCATATTTTGTTTCTGATAGAATTTTTTATTCATCCATATATTTGTTTTTGTTTTAGTTTTGGAAGGTGTCAAGGGCATTAAAAGTTGAAGTCACTTTTGGTGGTGGCATTTTCCCACGCTTCAAGGTACATGTGTCTGTATACAAAGGTGGACACTCACATCGCCATACGTCACATCGTTCGATTAACCTGATGATGCAACTATTCTTTAGCATATTTTGATGAAACTTGCTACTATACTGTATGTGTTGATTTTCAAAAATTATGTTGAAAGGAATTACATTAGTACATGCTCGAGGACAAGTATGTTTCTTTCAACAAAAGATTGAATTACTAGCAGTTACTTTAGATTGGAAACGGAAGAAATATGAACAAGGTGCTGATTCCTGAAAATAGAAAAACGTATTTATAATATCACAGAAAAATAGGAATATTCAGTTCTTAATAATGTCTTTTCTCTTTCTTTCTTTCACTTCTCGATTCCTTTTTTACACTATTAGGAGCTTTGTTGTATATACCTTCTTAATTCACGAGGCCTGAAAATAATAAACTGGAGTTCTGGAATAAGGTTTTCATTGGTGGATTTTTTTCGAAACATTAGTTAGTGGGATGGGATGTTTATTCGGGGCTTGAGAGTCGGTAGCTAATTACTTAGTATTTTCCCTGTTTAATGTTGTAATTATTTTAGGCAACATTTTATGAACTTTTAATGTTACTTTGTTATCTATATCTATTAATGAGTGGTAAGTTTTAATGTTGAATTTCTGTTGTTCTAGCTTGGTGAAAAGTCTGCCTCTGAGCAGGAAACAGAAAGCCACGACAGTGAGGTGAGTATTTCCTGTTCTTTTATCTCTCAAGGTAAAATTGTGCAATTTTGAGGATGCAAATATACCTTCAAGCTAACGTTGCATACAGTGAACCTTATGATGCTTTTGGGATTTTTTGTCTCTCTTTTCACCATTGCCACACTAGATCTTTTGCTTTCATAACATCAGGATTTTCTCAACTGCAGTACAAAACCACCTATAATCAAAGCCCGAAATTTTAATTGACTAAATAATCTCAGGTCCTATAGCAAATGAAAGCATTATGAAAAACAGAGAAATTGGGGTAGGGTAATATCTTTTGGAAAATATTCTATTTTATATTTTCCGAAACTATTTTTAAAGTATTGCAAAATTAAAGAATTAAAGGAAAAACTGAAACAAAGAAAAGAAGCATCTTCCAAGGCTCTTTCTATAAGATAACAGGATTTTGAATAAACTGTAGTTTCTTAGGTTATTTTTTAGGTTTGAGCTGAATAGCGCAAAAAGCTTAAGGAAGATGTTGATTTGCAGAAAAGGTTGCTTTTTTTTAAAACCTGTTTTCTGAATTTTTTTTCAGGCAATGAAATATCTGTCATTCCTGTTATATCCTTTGCTAACTGGAGGAGCAATTTACTCCTTAATCTATTATCCACATAAAAGGTATGTTTGTCTATGCTTTTGTCCAACCTGCTTTTAAACATTGCAATGGAAGTAGATCGGGCGTTGATCAGGCTTGATCTCTTGTATTTTGCAAGCAAGAGTCTAAACCCACTGCAAATAACAAGTGGCTACCTGATGGTATGTCTCTATTTAATCATCCTAGATAACTGTTGCCATTTCTTAATCAAATCTTCATCACTCTACAAACTGAAATCAATGAGAAGGTTTTCAATGGTGTATTATTGACAGTTTATAAATTATTATTTATTAGTAAAGGAAACCATTATTTGGTCAATTTCTGTTAGTTCTGAAGATGCATGCCTTTTTTATTGTGGAAGAGAAGATTGAGACTCCAACAACACGATTATTTCTGCAATTGATATCACCAACAAATTGAAACATGTTCAAAGAATGCAAGTTAGGCCCAAGTCAGTTCATTGCAAATCCTATCACTTTTATGTCTCAAGTGTTACTGAGTCAGATATATTCTTTTTCGCAATATAGCTAAATTTCAAGGAGACTTTCGTCATGGATTATCGTGTATCTTTTTTTCATTCAAACTTTCTACCTTTCCTTACTGTGATACCTTTTGCATATGTTTTTTACTTTGTATAAGCTTGTCCATCTTATTATCTTGATATTTGTATGTTCACATGAATTTCTATGGGTCATATCTAAATATCGTTTCGATTGACCAGTAAACCAGATGAGACATTATTCTTCTACTATTTTGATGCACCATTTCAATAAAGCAGCTTTGTGTTGAAAACTACAACAAGTTTTGTTTGTGTTGCTCAAAAAGAAATTTACCCCAGCTTCCGAATAAGTACCAAATCTGATTCATCGTAGCTACAAATCATCACATTTCAAGCTTTTGTGATATCAATTATGTGTGAAAAGAAGTTGTTCCGAATTTAATATGTGATTTAACTGTAATTATTGACTTGCAGTGTAAAATTACTCTGTGAATGATCCATGCAGTTCTATGCCTCTTTATTTTTTAATCTTTGTATTCTCATAAAATCCTTTTTGCAGAAATGCTTGTTTAAATGCTAAATTTTTTCCAAGGTCAAATTTATCAGAATTTTTCCAAATGATACTGTTAATTGAGTGGTGTTCTGATGAAGACACAAGTCTCTGTAGAGTAAAGTGTGCTCTTGATGGCAGCCTTTAGGGAGATCTGCAAGGAAATGCCATGCTTCCTCCTAGAGAAGTGCCCTCCTTTTGCAAAATCGTATTGTCACACCCTAACTCTAAATATTGTTTTGTATATAATGATGTGTAATTTCCATATTTGAAAATATCTAAAAACTGTGACCCACCTCTACCTGATTGTTCTTTACCCACTTATTGGAGGAATTAGGTAAGCGTTACATAAAAGTTATGCAGGGGCAATAACTTCTTTGTGCCTTTTTTATGACACCACTGGCGTTACATAAAAGGCAGGGGCAATAACTTCTTTGTCCCTTTTTTATGACAACACTGGTTTTAATTGATGGAGGTTCTTCTGTATCTGATATTCGCCTGTGTTTCCATAAAATATAATAAGATATACTGTGTGATGTGATGCAGCAATTTTAATTATACTTTGCAGTTGGTACTCATGGGTTGTTAGATCTCTTGTCAATGGTGAGTTTATTTAGCCAATATAATGTCAGGTGCTATTTTTTGAAGTTATTTAATGTCTAAATGGAGTAATCAAATTTGTTCTGAATTTATTGAATTTTGATAGAATAGTCAAAAGTAAAAGTAAGAATTATATGTAAATTATAAGGGTAAAATGCTTTATACTTTTTCTTAGTTTTTTATTTAAGCAGCTGATGGGATGCAGGCGTTGTTTTTGTTTTGGGAGTACTTATCTTATCAGGTCTGGTAATTTTCAAATAACATGCCTCAGGATCATAAACTGCAGATCATTCAAGAACCTCTTGATTTGTTCAAGATTTATCTTCGTGAAGGACGCAGGACATACCCTAACACAATTTTGTGCAATTTTTTAGCTTCAACCTAATGTAGATGCCCCTTTCCCGGTCTGTTTGATATTGCCCAATGACAGATCTATACATGCTGTGGTATGTAGAACAGGACTGTTGTAAGCTAGAACTCTGATTTTCTCACTTGAAGTGATCTTCAAGCAACTGTAAGCGAAATTACCTCAGCACAAAGAAGTAATTTTTTGCTATCAGAAAGCAAAATAAAACTAACTTTTTAAACTGTTTGATTGATATGGGCTCTTCTTTTCCAGGTGTATATGCTTTTGGATTTCTGTTCATGCTACCCCAACTTTTTGTGAATTACAAGGTTAGTATTCAAATTTTTTTCCCAAATCTTGACTGGAAGAAGAATGTTTCTGCATATTTTTACTGGTTTTTAATTTTTTTCCCTATCCCTTTGTTAACATTTTATATTTGTTTTTGATTATTAAAATTTCCAAGTTAACAAAAGTGAACTATTTGTGGTTTAAATTTTGTGTCTTCCCCATGTCCATTTCAGATTTCAGGGTACCAGTGCCTCTAAGATTTGAAGTTAATTTTTGGCTGTATGCAGCCTATTTAGCAATTTTTTGTATTGTTTTAAACAGCAATGTTTCTTTTTTTCTATAAAATCTAATCATGTGTTACAAAAGATCAACTTTGCCAATCACAGCAGAAGTAGACAGAAAGGACATAAAGCTTCCACAGCGACTGGCACTTTCAATTTTACTCAGTTTTAAATAATTTGATGGTACTAGCATTTAAAATTCAGTATGAACACAATTACAAAAGGCAAAATACGACACATAGCAGAAAAAAATATCAAGCATAGCTACTCCTACTAATTCTTATTTATCAATTTTTGTTTTGTTTTTTAGGATAATCGTTTCTTACATATGAGTAGCTTGCAATGACTTTGGACTCTTTTTATATGCACCATTGCAGATGCATATATCAGTTATTGCAATTAACAGTTTAATTTTGAGAACATACTAGTTGATAAATTCAGTTGTTAAAATGGCAGTGTTGGTTATTTTTGTTGTCATTAGAAAAGTGGCAGTTAGATTTTTAAAGTCAAGGTAGGACCACAAATAAGAACTATTTGGAGGATGTGTGACAGGACCAGCTCTTGACACAAAAGGACAAATATTTGTTGATCAAGATAAACTTTTCTCAGACTGCGTCAACATTTTTGTTCAGACCCAATGTTTCAATCATGAGAGTGCGACTGCCAATAATTTTTTTGTATCCCTGGGTCAAGGTGTAGCATCCAGAATCAAAGGATTTGGTTTATATTTTCTACAGTCAAATAAATTGTCCCCAAAAATTATGGAAAATTGTATTTTTGTCCATGAAGACATGCAACTTTCCCCCTATTAGTTGTCCCTAAGTTGTCCATTGACTGCTATTAATTTCTCTAGTATCTTAGGCATTGTTGCATCTTTTCCTTGTTGTAGATGCTGTACAAAAATATTCCTAAAGTATCCATAAAGTTTATGGATCTATATCATAAAATTTTCATTGCCAAATATGCTGCCAATGTTGCCTCTTATTTTGCCAATTCAGTTTTTTATATATCTTCAAATGCTTTTCAATCATGATGTGGGTTTAATTCCATAGCTGAAGTCAGTTGCACACTTACCTTGGAAGGCATTCATGTACAAGGTCTGTCAACAATATATTGTATCTAGATATTCTACTTATTTACTCTTTAATTCAATTTTTTAGAATATAAGTCATGTTGTTTCATTAAAATATTTTGTTGGTCAAAAATGTTTCAGTAGCTGCTCCATCAGTTTTTATCCCACTTCTAATTCTTTAAGGGAAATTGATCTGCTATAATTGTTATTCCTGTAATTTATATCATAAACTATAAAGCTTAAATGATTTACACCTAGTTGTTTACAAAATTATGAAAAATATATAAATTTTAATATAGCCAATATTTCATGCTGGTTTACATGGCCTCATCAGAGTGAATGTTGTGAAAAGTTAAGCTATTCCTAGTAAAACATTTATTTCCTGGTTATGGTTTTTTTAAAGCAAATTATCAAATATTGTTTAAACTATGAAATGCTTGGTTTTTTCAGGCCTTCAACACTTTTATTGATGACATATTTGCATTTATCATCACAATGCCTACAGCTCACAGACTAGCCTGTTTCAGAGATGATGTTGTTTTTATGATCTACCTTTATCAGAGATGGTAAGGCAAATTTTCAATTATAATTTATTTAATAACATATCATCATCAGGCACCAAAATTCTTCATTTCTTTTATTTCTGGAATATATGTATTAGTTAATTTATGTAGAGGGCAAGATTAAAGATAATTTGATGTTGACATCAAATTAGAATTCACTTTTTAAGAATAACTTTGTAAAGTTATGATATTAATTTATGAACATTACCCAACAATTTATACTCTGCAGAGTGTTTGAGGAAGGGATTTTGAGTATGCTATACTTCCATTTTGACTGTTTTTTTAATTTTGCTGTACTTGAAACATGTTTTGAAGTTTATATTGAAATAATTTTATGCAAACTACTGTTTAACTTATCTTTCATTACATGTTTTAAAAAACAAGAAGTTTGAGTTGAGCCTTACTTTTTCGTAATATTTTCAGATTTTTTTTCTGTATTGTTAAATCTTTCTTTAAAATAGCTTCAAGGTAATAACTCTTAACTTTAAAATAACTTTGTGATTTGATGGTGATGGAAATGTCTTTGATATCATCAGACATGCATTGTCTGTTGACAGTTCATGAACAAAATCATGCAATTTCAGTTTATACACTGATAAATTATAATATAATACCATTGCATTTTTATAATCTTTGCTATTGCTTAAGTCAGTCTTTTAATGTTTCTTAAAATAACGATTCTTAAAATTAAGCAAACAGAGCCTCATGTTTCTTTGAAACACGGTTTTGTGCTCAATGCCCTGTAGGCAGTGCTGATCATTATTTGATATTTTAAATAGGACAGTAAAATACAACTAAATATCTATTGCACTTCATGCTTAATGCCATCATCAGCAACTATCTTTTAGATTTGGCATAGTTATACCATAATTCTGCTACCGAATTTATTCAAACTTTGCAGCTTTCCATAATTTGCTCCAATTCCTTTTAGGTTATACCCAATTGACAAGTCCAGAGTAAATGAATTTGGAATGTCATATGAAGATCAAAAGGAAAAGAAGGAATAGATTTTATTTTACATTTTTCCCCAAAAATTTATTGTAGTCTCTTGAAAAATTATTGTTAAGAAAATTGTTTTGTCTGATAATAATCCATGAACTTCTTAAGTTGCAAAAATTGGTGACCTTTTGTCTCTAAGTATTACTTTACAAAAACAAGAATTTGTTCTGTTTTTGACACTGCAATTTTTTTATTGGCTCTTAGGATATTAAAGTGCATTTGCATTATTGTTGGGAATCATAAGGACTTCTTGGTATGTAATCAAATTGTCATCAGAAAAGTAGCAGTTAGCTTTGAAACTAGAGGTACGAGCAAAAATAAGAGCTATTTGGAGGAGTTTTGACAGGACCAACTCTTGACATAAAAGGACAGATGTTTGTTGATGTATTCAAAAAACCAAGTTTACCTTAGCAGGAATCAGGATAAACTTTTTCAAGTCCACATATTCTTCAGACCAACAGTTTAAATTATTGGGGGAGAGGGTGTGACTGCCAATAATTTGTGCCTTTGGATCTAGGTGTAGCATCCAAAATCAAACTGGAATGTGCTTGCCAGGGAAATACTTCACATGAATCAGAGAATTATTGATTTGCCACATGAAAACACATAAAGGCAAAAATATAAATGGAACCAATCATGTTTGGAATGAAGATTGATAATTTCCCAATTGTAGTTTCTCTATTGATCAATTTCTTGAAGATCAAGATAATGACAGAACAAAAAAGGATGACTGCATTTTATCGCAATTTGAAAATTGGCTCAATCCATGTTGCAAATGTTTTGTCCTGAACAACAAGGTCATATTGTAAGGGCAACAATGCATTGTACAGGTGGACTCCTTGTGAAACATTACAACAAGAAATTTTAAGCAATTCAGAATTACATCCACTGGCAGAAACAAATTGCTTTGTATCAAAGAGATATATGAGCTTAACCACCCTTGTGCACATCCATGAACACCATAATGCTCTAATTTACAATACAAAATGTTATGATAAACAGTGTCATCGCCTTTTGTAGATCAATGAAGATAATCCAGCCAATCTTTTTATTATAAAGTGTATTCTTTACAGTCCTTTCAGACTCACTAGACCATGAGCAATTGAATGATTTTATTAAAACCCATAAAACCCATTGTAGTGAGAAGAGAACACCATGTATCACAAGGAATCTATAGTCTCTTGTACATTAACATTCCATAAATTTGCTTGAGGCTGATTTAAAAGAAGTTGGACTATAGTTTGATGGTATCTTGGGATTTCCTTTTTGAACTATGAAATCACCTTGCCTATCTTAATTGAGTTAATCATGAAAAATACAAGATAAGCAGCATATCAAAAAATAAAAGAGACAAATACCACAAGCAGACAAGAAAATAAATGAAAAATACAATATTTACTAGACAAGAGTTCTTTTTAATCTTTTATACATAATCTGCCCATAGGATTTTTTTGCTTAATATGGGATCTAGAAAGTCATCACTGCTATAAAATCCAGCACTCTGTTCGCAATATGGGAACCTCAGTTACCATCCTCTGTCAAATGCATCCAATCCAAAGGAAACTGACTTTTCAGTAAACGCTTTATTTTTCCAATGGTGTGTAATTCAGCAGCTTCTCGATCAGATCGACGTGAGCAAGCAACATTCTCCGACAGCAATATCTTTTAAGGCCAAGCGAATCAAGGGCTTCACCTTCAGAGAACTCTGACTGCAACAGACCAAGATAACTTTCCCATTTATTTCCAATTACTTTACCACAAGTAAAACACCTGATTGGTATGATCATGGTTCAAGTTATCTCTTTCGGTAACGGCTTGTATGAGTATGAAGAAACTTTTTAACGGGAAATATTAAGGATCAGCAATGTTGATTCAGTGCAGTTCCTTGGCTTAAACCTTCAGAAAATATCCTTCTTCAATTTATTATTTATTTTTTCCAGTTGTCTCTATTTGCTGCAAACCTTTCTTAATCGATATATATATGACCTGACAAGCAACTGTTCTTCTTGATTTAGGCTTTTTAGGCCCATGCTGCAAACCCTTTCCAGAGGATAGCCTCCTTTTCGAAATGAGGGTATAAATACCGCCAAAGTTTTCTTCTTATGGCAACCAATTGGTGTTTTTGTTAGAATTTATTCTGTATCATTTATTTAAAATTTTGGAATTGAATTGGTAAAAGAATAGGTTTCAGTAGAAATTATCATCAAATACCAAACAAGCTGGTTAAAATATATTTCACAAGGAACGTCGGTCATCGTTACTGCGCAGGAGAGCTCTTTATGAACCTTACCCCTTGCACAGTGATCTGACCTTGCTTTGTGTAGCATGGCTGCAAGAAATGTCAGGTTCCCCCTACAAAGGCTCGTCAAAACAGTAAACCAGTTGAAACCGAACTCTGCAATGGCTACTCAGGCGAGGGACATTTCCGCAAACTTTAATGCGAGAAACGACATCATGCTACCGAAAGGCACCTTTGAAGGCAAAGTTGCATTTGTCACAGGGG